GCTGGTTCTGGAGACGCTACGCGGCCGCGACCGTACTTCGTACCACTTCTTCAGCAGGTTCTTGGTCAGGCTCCTCCTCCTTGTCCTCCTCCCTCCGTAGAGTGTCCTCCGCCTGTCCAGTCGCAGTCACAGTTCCCGCCTGCCTCGCCTCTCCCTGGTCCCTCTCCTTACACTGGTCCCACAGGAGGTCTTACAGAGCGTCGTGAGCCTGAGTCTCGTCCTGCGTCGCCTGTTCGTACTGCTCGCACTGGTCGTCGTGTCCCACGTGAGCGTCCTCCTCCTGTCCCTGGCACTCACTACATGACTCTGCGTCCCTCCACTGCTCCTCAGCGTGTTCCGCTGCCGTCTCCTCCTGCGTCCTCTCTGCCTACTCTTCCTGATCCGGAGTCTGACTCCCGTCGTGCTGTTGTCGCTGACCCTACCTTTGAGTCCTCTGCTGCGTCTGCTCTGGTCGCTGAGTTGATAGACTTTGCTGCCCGGTGTCGTCTAGACTACGCCACTAGCCTTGTTGCTGAGTCTGAGTCTGAGTCTGTCTGTCCTCCGTCCGTCGGGGGTGAGTGTGCTCTTGGCATGGACGTCCTTGAGGACAGACAGGAGGAGTTCCAGTGCTTTGCTGCTGCTTTACCCCACCTCGTGTCCATGCTAGTTGCCCCTGAGGGAGACCCGGATGCACCAGACATCCCGACCCCGCGCACTTACGCTGAGGCGATGGCGGGTCCCTACTCCTCTCAGTGGCAGACAGTCATGGACGCAGAGATGGCTTCCTAGAAGTCCACAGGCACCTACGTCGACGAGGTTCCCCCACCTGGGGCGAACATCGTCAGTGGCATGTGGATTTTCAGGGTGAAGCGGCCACCGGGTTCTCCTCCTGTCTTCAAGGCGCGCTACGTGGCAGTCAGCGAGAGGGAGTTGACTTCTTTCAGACCTTCTCCCCCACCCCGAAGATGACCACTCTTCGGGTGCTGCTGCACATAGCCGCTCAGCGCGACTACGAGCTTCACTCACTTGACTTCAGCACTGCTTTCTTGTAGGGCAGCCTGCACGAGGAGATCTGGCTGCGCCGCCCTCTTGGCTTCACTGGGTCGGTTCCTCCTGGTACCCAGTGGAGGCTTCAGCGGCCGGTCTACGGTCTCCGCCAGGCACCGCGTGAGTGGCACGACACACTGAGGACGACACTTGCGGCTCTTGGGTTTGCTCCCTCTACTGCTGACCCGTCACTGTTTCTACGCACAGACACCTCACTGCCGCCGTTCTACATCCTCGTGTACGTCGACGACTTGGTCTTTGCCACTGCTGACACCGCGGCACTCGCCCACGTGAAGTCGGAGCTGCAGAGGAGACACACGTGCACAGACCTGGGTGAGCTGACAAGCTATCTTGGCTTGCGGATCACCCGGGACAGAGCACGGCGCACCATCACCTTGACTCAGTCACACATGGTGCAGCAGATCCTTCAGCGCTTCCGCTTCACTCAGTCCACTCCTCTGCCTACCGGTCACTCGCTCTCAGCTCTGCCTTCGGATGAGTCCGTAAAGCCGAGTGGCCCGTATCCAGAGCTTGTGGGCTGCCTCATGTACCTGATGACCTGCACTCGACCTGACCTTGCATACCCTCTTAGCATCCTTGCACGCTATGTCGCTCCTGGCCGTCACAGGAAGGAGCACATGGATGCCGCTAAGAGGGTGTTACGCTACTTGTGCAGTACGTCGGGCATGGGGCTAGTGCTTGGAGGGCGAGACCGAGTTGTACTTACTGGACACTCAGACGCTTCTTGGGCGGACGACCAGGCTACTCAGCGGTCGTCTCAGGGTTACACCTTCAGCCTTGGCTCCGGCTCAGTTTCTTGGCGTTCTACACGCTCTTCTTCTGTTCTCAGCTCCAGTTGTGAGGCTGAGATCTACGCCACAGCCATGGCTGCCCAGGAGCTACGCTGGCTGACCTACCTGCTGACCGACTTGGGAGAGCGGCCTCGTTCTCCTCCAGTGCTGTACGTCGACAACCAGGCTGCCATTGCCTTGTGTGAGGAGCACAGACTGGAGCACAGAACGAAACACATCGCTCTGCGGTACTTCCTTGCTCGAGAGCTGCAGCAGCGTGGTCAGCTTCGTCTGCGTTACGTGGCCACTGAGGCCAACCTTGCTGATGTGTTCACCAAGGCGCTTCAGCCTTGTGACCATCAGCGTTTCTGTACTCTTCTAGGCCTTGTGCCTGCTGGACCTCACTTACTTACTTCTTGACTCTGCTTGTACTGTGATCTTTATATATATGCCTGCATGTTTACACTTGCTAGGTTGTGATCACTGTATCTCTTGTTATATTATCAACCTGCATGTGAACTGGTCTTGTGACCACTTGCTTGTGCTCGGAATTTGTGTGGTATCCTTGAGATCCACCCTGAGCTTGTTTTGCTTTGCTTTGACTGGTCTTGTGACCCCTTGCTCTCCCCCACTTTGCCTATGGGGGTGTGTCAAACATTATATATGTTGTGTTTGTTTAGGCTACAGTGGGTTAGCCTATAGGGGGTACACAATTCTAGGGTTAGGTACTTGTACTGATTTCACTGCTAGTTCAATCATTCCTGTCTGTTGATTTCGACACACGCATGCGAACAGGTACAAGGCGGAGCTGAAACTCTGAAATCTCCCAAATTATGTGGATTGAAAATGTTAGAACCTAGTTTTATTAAAATACAAGGCCTAATCTAGTAGACTGGCAAGAAAATGGCACTTATTGTCTCCACAAACATAGGTAATGCGTTGGTCAGTTTGGTCGGCATGCGCGCATGAATTTCAGGTACTATGCACATTTGGAATGCCTACATCTGTCGAATCATTTAGATTCAAAAGGTTAGAACGTGGTAGAGGGGTGCGGAATGGTATACTATAATGGAAAAGGGAAAAATATGTGGTACTCACTGTATTTCTACAGAGAAAGTAATGCGTTGGTCGGTTCGGTCAGTATGCACGCATGCGCTGGTCAGTTTGGTCGGTATGCGCGCCTGTAGTGCATGTACCATGTACGACTGGAATGTCTATATTCGCCAAATTACAAAGATCCGGTAGGTTAAAATGTGGTAGGGGGGTAGGGAATGGTATAATTTAAAGGAAATGGGAATACATATGGTATTCAAAGTATTTGTACAGAGAGAATAATGTATAGATGGAATGTAGAGCACCTGCTGCACTTCCTGCACATGTGCGGATCCTTCCGTGTTTTGGGGCTGGAAGCGCTCGTTCCGAGCGTTTTTCTTCCGCCGAGTCACGTGGCCGCGCTCTTTTGGGCCTATTACCAAGCCAACAAGGGCATGGGAGGGTGGCGAGCATCATCGAAAACTAGTGCTCGCGAATGAAGAGTGCCCGCTGCACTTCTTGCACATGTGCGGATCCTTCCGCACATTGGGGCTGGAAGCGCTCGTTTTGAGCGTTTTTCTTCTGTCGGGCCACGTCTCTGCGCTCGTCTGTAATCTAGAAAAACTTAATAAAGCGCTTCTCACTATTTGAGATTTGGATGAGCGCCTATTTCCATGCCAGCAAGGGCGTGGGAGGGTTGCGAGCATCATCGATCATCAGTGCTCGCGAATGGAGAGTGCCCGCAGCATTTCCTGCACATGTGTGGATCCTTCTGTGTTTAAGGGCCGAAAGAGCTCGTTCCAAGCGTTTTTCTTCTGCCGGGTCACGTGGCTGCGCTTGTCTGGGCCTGCTACCAAGCTAGTAAGGGTGTGGGAGGGCTGAGAGCTTCATTTGTCATTGGTGCTCGCAAATGAAGAGCGCCCGTTGCACTTCCTGCACATGTGCGGATCCTTCCGCGTTTTGGGGCTAGGAGGAAGCATCCGTTCCTAGCGTTTTTTCTTCCGCTGGGACATGTAGTTGCGCTCGTCTGGGCCCATTACCAAGCCAGCAAGGGCGTGGGAGGATTGCGAGCATCATCGGTCATTGGTGCTCGCGAATAAAGTGCGCCCCTGCATTTCCTGCACATGCGCGGATCCTTTCGCGTTTTGGGGTTGGAAGCGCTCGTTCCGAGCGTTTTTCTTCCGCATGGTCACGTGGCAGCGCGCGTCTTGGCCTATTACCAGCAAGGGCATGGGAGGGTGGCGAGCATAATCGGTAATCGATTATTGCGAATAAAGAGCGTCCGCTGCATTTCCTGCACATGTGGAAAAAGCATCGAACGACCTTAATTTTTTTTTTTTTATATTAGGGTGGCCCATGCTCGAATAGACATATCCGAGCAATTTCAACTTTAGGCGGGGCGCCAAAGGAAGGCGCGCGCGGAGAGACCCGCATCCCGTGCATGCGAAGGGCTCGTACAGGCGTGGCGGAGGCAGTGAAATGGCCGAGGAGGAGGCGGCAGAGTCGGGTGAAAGGGAGCAGGCGCGAGGTAGAGGACGCGAGTGAGTACCTCCATGTTGTGTAGGTGGCGGGAGGCGCAAACGGCCGCAGTCTACATAATGCACTGCACGCGGCTGTGATACTGGCAACTTGCAGCAAGTGACGACTGGCCGAAGGGCGTTGTGGCAGGATGCGTGGTGTCGCCATTGGATAAGCAATGGTCAAGGCCAGTGAGCGACCAGCACTGCTCCCGCTTCTGAACTCGGCAAAGTATCCGAATCGAGTGGAGTGAACCGACACACTACCCGTGCAAAATTTGCCCTTGGACCTGCCAAGCCCTTCAAGCTCGAGACACTTGCAATGGTTCCCCCCTTCGTGGGTATCACATTTCATTCCAGCTTGTCATGTTGCATATTGGAAATGCTTTTCTGTTTGTCTTGTAATGCTCAAAATTGTGATGTTTACACCACAAGCTTTTTATGAAACCAGGGTGGCTTCTATATAGCGCCAGAGTTCGGCTTGCTATGTCGTGATTTGCGTGCTAGGGTGACGGACAATACCTAGATCGTAGGGGTGGATGTTTGCTTGCCATCATGAGCAACCACAACGCAACTTCGGCCTGTTGGCTCCCTGGGAACACATCTTTTTAATCTACTGTTATTCTCTTCGTGTATGGCCGCGCGGCGGGACGCGAGGTGCGAGAGCGCGATGCTGCGAGTGTTGGCGCTCGCACTGGCTACGGCCGCCAGCGTTTCGGTTCCGTGCTCCGGCGCCGTCACGAATGAAACGCAAGGTAGGCGCACAGGGCACGGGAGAGCGGCACGGTATGTGCACGGTGAGTGCCGTTTCGCGGTGCTGCTCGTCCGTCAACAACGCCCTGCCCTTTCCGCTTGTTGTCGCCCACTCGCGCCCTTTGCCGCGCGTGTTTCCCCTTGCCCTGGGCGTGCATGGCTGGGTGACAGCTCTGAGGAGCATGGCGGCACAGTGGCAGGCAGGTGCGGCGCTGGCGTCGTGGCAGGTGGACGATGTGTGTGCTGTGGCAGGAGGTGCCACCGGTATCACATGCCAGGACGGATCCGTCACCGCCCTGTGAGCCCCGCCCGCCCCCTCCCTCTCAATCAACTCCTCAACGCCCTCCGTCGTGCATATCGCGCTCCCTTCCGTGCGTTCTGTAGCGACCGACAATAGGCAGTTGGAAAACCCCCGCGCACTGCTTCAATGCTTGGCTCCGTTGATCGCTCCATGCATCACGCTGGAGAGCACCCGTAACAGTACGTGCACCATAGGCTGCTCCGCACCTCGTGCCCCCGTGTGCCTGCGTGACCGCAAGGCTCTCCTCATTATGTCGCTGCCATGCTGCCGTGCTGCCGTGCTGTGTTGGTGGGTGTGTTGGGGCGTGCAGGTCACTGAGCAGGACAACCCTGTCAGGGCCGCTGCCAGGGGAGATAGGCGTCCTCACAGCACTCACTCTCCTGTCAGTGCGCATTACTTTCTCTCTCAAATCACCAGCTGCTTTCTCTCCACCATCTCTCGCTGCCGGCCAACCTTGTTTCATCCCACCTCGCCCTCCCTGTTGCTGCGTCAGTAAATTCAATGACAGCTCCTTGCGCTGCCCTCACCTCATCATGCCTGCATGCACGCATTCCCACTGCTGCACGCCGCACCGCGCTTGAAAACCCCCACGCAGCGTGTGACTCTGTTGGTCGCTCATGCATGACATGACTCTGTCAATCAGGGCACCCGTGCGTGACAGTACGTGCACCACAGGGTGCTCGCCATCTACCTCGCACCCCCGTTTGCAAAGAAGACGCCAAGGCTCTTTCCATTGTGTCTCTGCCATGCTGCCGTGCTGCCGTGCTGTGTTGGTTGGTGTGTGTTGGGGCGTGCAGGTCACTGAGCAGGACAAACCTATCGGGCCCTCTGCCTGGGGAGATAGGCGACCTCACAGCACTCACTCTCCTGTCAGTGCGCACTACCTGCTCTCATAACCCACCATGTGCACTGCGTCCTGACAGCACTTCTCTCCTGCAACCAGCCGTGTTTCATGCCTGCTCTTCCTCCCATGCTACTGCTCCATTTGATGTGTGCACGCATTTCCATCACTGTACGCTTCACCTCGCCCATTGCTGTGTTTTGGCCTTGTTGCACCCTGTATGGTGCATGGTGCATGGTGCATGGTGCGTGGTGCATGGTGCAGGGACCTGAGCTACAACATCCTCAATAACGCCATTCCTTACAGCATCGGCAACCTTGCCAGATTGCAATCGCTGTATGCTCGCACACCACTCTTGCACCTGGACCCTCTCAACTGCATGCTCCCACACAACATCGCATCTGCATGCTCCTACACTGCATGCTCCCACACAACACCGCATGCATCTGCTTCGCCTGCGCCACTGTGCCCATCGTCCGCCCTCGTGCCCCCGCGGCCATGTGCCTCACCACTTCCACCGCCCTCGTGCCCCCGCGGCCATGTGCCTCACCACTTCCACCGCCCTCGTGCCCCCGCGGCCATGTGCCTCACCACTTCCACCGCCCTCGTGCCCCCGCGGCCATGTGCCTCACCACTTCCACCGCCCTCGTGGCCCCGCGGCCATGTGCCTCACCACTTCCACCGCCCTCGTGCCCCCGCGGCCATGTGCCTCACCACTTCCACCACTGTGCGCTGCCATGCGGTGGTGCTGGGGTGCAGGGTGCTGAAGAGCAACGCCTTCAATGGATCCCTGCCCGACGCCCTCTCCGGCCTCTCCAGCCTTCTTCAATTGTCCGTGATGTCATGTGCCCTCACTCTCATGCACACTCTCACACGTGCGCACACTCACATGCACACACTCACATGCACACACTCACATGCACACACTCATATGCACACACTCACATGCTCACACTCACATGCACACGCACGCAGACTCTCACACACACACACACACACACACACACACACACACACACACACACCATGCACCCATGCACACATACTCGCACAGCACACTGACATGCTTACTCCTCACTTTCTATTCCGACCTCTACTTACTTCATCCTGTCTCCTGCCCAGTATCTCCTTCAGTAGACACCATGGTTCTGCATCGCGATGCTGCCATTCATCTTCCCTGTGGCGACTGTCCTTTCATGTGTGCATGGCCATGTGTGCATAAGCGTGTGTGAATGTGCATGTGCATGTGTGCATGTGCATGTGTGTGTGCATGTGTGCATGCCCATGTGCGCATGTGCATGTGTGCATGGTCATGTGTGCATGGTCATGTGTGCATGGTCATGTGTGCATGGGGCGTGGGTGCACACAGAGATGTGCAGCGCAATGTCTTCAGTGGCTCCTTGCCTTCCTCACTCTTCTCCCTCACCACCCTCAGCAGCCTGTAATGTTCTTACCTATCTCGTCAACTCTCCTGGTGATTTCACTAACTCTTTCCTCTTACAATACCTCTCTGTGATTCTCTTCAACTTCTTCTTACTCCTCCTCCCCCCCCCCCCCCTCCTCCTCCTCCTCCTCCTCCTCCTCCTCCTCCTCCTCCTCCTCCTCCTCCTCCTCCTCCTCCTCCTCCTCCTCCTCTCCTCCTCCCTCCTCCTCCTTCTCCTCCTCCTCCTTCTCCTCCTCCTCCTCCTCCTCCTCCGCCTCCTCCTCCTCTCCTTTCTCCGTCTCCTCATGTCTACCCATGGTTCATCGCATGGCCTGTGTTCCATGACTGCGCGCCCGGGTCTCCTTGTCACTGTTTTACCTCCTCTTCCATCATGTGTGGGTTCATATCCATGTGTCCTCCTGCCACTCTCTCGCCTGCCGCGCCTCTGTGTGCAGCTACATGGACGGCAATCAGCTGTCCGGCACCTTGCCCTCCCAAGTGGGCGCGCTCACCAACCTCTTCACACTGTCCGTTGCATCCTCTCATCGCCATGCCATGCCATGCCATGCCATGCATGCCGCTGTCTCTTTAACATCTTTCTTCCTCTCTGCCACCTGTGTGACTTGTGCACCCTCTATCTTCCAGTGCATTAATCCCCTCGGCATACATTCGTATGGTGTCTCTCATGTTCGTCCCCCCCCTCCCTGGGCAGTCAGGTGAGCAACAACAAGTTGAATGGCTCCCCCCCGGCTACACTCAGCCTGCTCTCCTCCCTTCATGAGCTGTATGGCCCCACCTCCCTCCCACTGCACCCATGCACCTCACACTGCACCCATGCACCTCACACTGCACCCATGCACCTCCCACTGCACCCATGCACCTCCCACTGCACCCATGCACCTCCCACTGCACCCATGCACCTCCCACTGCACCCATGCACCTCCCACTGCACCCATGCACCTCCCACTGCACCCATGCACCTCACACTGCACCCATGCACCTCACACTGCACCCATGCACCTCCCACTGCACCCATGCAGCTCCTACTGCACCCATGCACCTCACACTGCACCCATGCACCTCCCACTGCACCCATGCACCTCCCACTGCACCCATGCACCTCCCACTGCACCCATGCACCTCACACTGCACCCATGCACCTCACACTACACCCATGCACCTCCCACTGCACCCATGCACCTCCCACTGCACCCATGCACCTCACACTGCACCCATGCACCTCCCACTGCACCCATGCACCTCCCACTGCACCCATGCACCTCACGCTGCACCCATGCACCTCCCACTGCACCCATGCACCTCCCACTGCACCCATGCACCTCCCACTGCACCCATGCACCTCACGCTGCACCCATGCACCTCACGCTGCACCCATGCACCTCACGCTGCACCCATGCACCTCACGCTGCACCCATGCACCTCACGCTGCACCCATGTACCGTGCTGGCGGCATGGTGGATGAGCATTGCGTGTCCCTTGTGCATGGCACAACACCCACCCTGCCGTGCATGTGTACCCCATGCACCTCACTTCACACCCGTCTCTCCTTCAACCTCATTTCCGTCTCTCCTCTCTGCACTGCCGCCCTGCCCCCATGCAGGCAGATGAACAAGAATAGCTTCTCAGGGCCCTTCCCCTCGGTCGTCACCGCCCTCACCAACCTCACCATGATGTACCCACCCGCCACCCCTCCCCTCTCTTTGCTGCCCACGCCCTGGCTCATGCCGCGCCACGGAGCAAGCACTACTGCTGTGTCACTGTGTCCACTGCGGTTGTCCTAGGTGTTATGGTTCTGTGGTGCTGAATGATTGTGTGGATTGCAACAAGGTTATCAGTATCGTTGTGTGCACGGAAACAAGCGACACTCACACTGCTGGTGCAGAGCTGAACGCTGCATGTCAGCAATAGTGAGTTGGTAATTGCTGCCACCTCTCTCTGCTTGCTCTGCTCCTCTGTTTCCATCTCTGTCAGACTGCCTTCTGTGCTAATATGGAGGTTGGTGCAAAGGAACAAACAAGCAGGCTGTGGACACACAACACACACACACACACACACACACACTCACACACACACTCACTCCCGCTCTCTCAAGATCTCCCTCCCTCCCTCCCGCCCTCACAGCTATGCCAGCAACAACTCGTTCGTGGGGCCTTTTCCTGCGTTTCTTGGGGACATGACTCAACTCGCGTTCCTGTAACCCGTCCTTCCAAGCTCCCATGCATGCATGCTCCCGTGCAACCATGCATCCATGCATGCATGCTCCTGTGCAGTCAGCGGGATGGCTCCATGCATCAATGCACCCATGTCCCACGCTCCAATGCACGTGCATGCACCACCACGATCGCTATCAACCCTGGCACATACATGCAGTGAAGTGAAGGAGGCAATCATGGATACCACATGCACATGTTAGCATGGGAACATGCCAGCGCCTTCAATGTTTTTCCTCCCTCACTCTGCTCCTCCCTCACTCTGCTCCACCCTCACTCTGCTCCTCCCTCACTCTGCTCCTCCCTCACTCTGCTCCTCCCTCACTCTGCTCCTCCCTCACTCTGCTCCTCCCTCACTCTGCTCCTCCCTCACTCTGCTCCTTCCTCACTCTGCTCCTCCCTCACTCTGCTCCTCCCTCGCTCTGCTCCTCTCTCGCTGTGCTATCACCTCTCTCACATGTGTACTGGCATCAGGAAGATCTATTCCAACAAGCTCCGAGGCACGCTGCCTCAGAGCTACAGCCAGCTGCGCAACCTCACCCACCTGTATGACGCTGCTTGCCCCGCCTCACCACCCTCTGCCCCTCGCTTGCTTGCCCTCATTGGCCACCCACCCTCCTTGTGTGCGGCCATTCAGCCAGTCGTTCCCACACTCCGTGTAATATGCTCCATCCATCTTCGCCTCACATGCTATGCTGCTCTCTCCTGCCGCCCTCCCCTTTTGCGTATGCTCTCCCCTGCACACTCCCCTGCGGCGCAGCGACCTGAGGGACATGCAGCTGTACGGCGCGCTGCCCACGTGGCTGGGGCTGCTCACGCGCATGCAGTACCTGTACGTGCCGCCCAGGGGACACACCAGGGCGCGCTGGGGAGGCAGGGCGAGGGGCGTGTGAGGGGAGGGAGGCAGGGGAGAAGAGACAGAGGAAGCAGGGTTGATATACGCCAAGTAACAAATCGATTATTGTTCCCCAAGCCATGTGCTGTTTCTCTTGTCACGTTGCATCGGTGTGCTGCTGTGTGCTGCTGTGTGCTGCTGTGCTGCGTGCCCTCAGGCATTTCCGCAACAACGATCTGTCTGGGGCGGTGCCGGAGTCCATGGGGAACCTCACCAACCTCATTGAGATGTCAGTCGTACCCACACACGCACTACACCGCATGTACACCGCACCATGTGTGTCCGCACCATGCTTATGCCTCACACTGTCGTGCACACCCCGCTGCACTGCCTGCTCTGCTGCCAGGCACGGTATCACCGTGCATCCCATGGACTGCCACCCTGCCCTTGTGCTGCGCCGCTCCCCCCCTGCATGGCAGCTCGCTCATTGGCAACCCCAAGCTCAACGGCACACTGCCTGCGTGCTGGGCCAACATCATCTCCCTGGGTACCATGTGCGCCCCTCGCCTGCACCCACCGCCACTGCCTCTTCTTCCTCTCCCCGTCCCGCCCCTTCCCGTGTTCGCAACTCACCGCTTCCCCTATTAGCGCAAGAGCTCTTGTTCGTGCAGTGTGATCCGCCTTCACCCCATCCGTGCACGCTCCGTTGCACGCGTGCCTCTTCTCAACCCTTCACTCCCGCCACTGCCCCTATGCCCTGCCCCCGCCCCTCTGTGCGCCCCTGCCAGTGCGGCATCGCGCCTTCAATTCGCCTGCCCGTCGCCCAACATGTGCTGCCCCACGGGCAGCCCCATCCAGGACCTGCCCTTCTGTGTCAACTTCTGCCCCCAGTACTGCTCCGCCTGTGCTCCAGGTACGCGCGCCTTACCCTTCCCAGTGTGCTCCACTTCCCTCTCCGCACGTTTGTCTTGTGCTTGTCTCGCCCCTGCCACACCTCAATTGCTTGCGCCTTGCGTGACTTTGTGTGTTCTGCCTACTCCCCGCACAGGCATGTCGCCGGCAGTGATAGCAGGGATTGCAGTGGGGTGCTCCGTGGCGCTGCTGGCAGTGCTGGCTCTCGCACTCTACATCTGGTACTACAGATTCGGCCCAGGCCGCATACAGGGTCAGCGCTGCTCTCTGCTTTCCCCCATACCCCTCCATCCTCTCACTTACTTGACTCGGATCATCATTCTCTCGTTACATCTTGCAAATATGCTATGATGGTGTATAGAGTTGGGCACCCAAACTTAGTTTGGGTGTACAACAACTTTTTGTCCTAATTGGTGTTGCCATCCCAACCTTTGCTCAAAATTGTCGTATCTGTAAGGTTGGATTGGAGACCAGTGGAAGCCTTCAATAAATTCTAAACCCAACTTGTTAGCGGGGCCCAATAATCTTGGTCAAGAACCCAGCAACTTCTCCTTTTCCTTCCACTACTACATATACCACCTTGTTCTTTTGAAGCTAATGTTTTACTCTTACTTTGTCTCTCAAGCATTGTTGCCATGCAAGCCCAAACCTTGCTCTCGTGTTGCTCCTTGCCCCAATGTGCTTGTGTGCGTGCATGTGTGGGCGTGGCAGCATGGGAGCGGGAGTTGGACCGGGGCTTTCGCAAGTACACGTGGAGGGAGATCATGGATGCCACGGACAGCTTCAGCGAGGCCAGGAAGCTGGGCAAGGGGGGCTTTGGCACCGTGTACCTGGGGCAGGGCGATGCACCGCACCAGCTCATCGCCGTGAAGCATGCCGCCTTTGTGGAGCGCTCCTCCAAGATAGCCACCATGTTCGAGGAGGAGGTGCGCCCTGCTCCCCATTCACTCCATTCTTTAGTGCAGTCCACCATCTTTTCCTGTTGCTGCTTCCCCCCTCACCTTGAGAACGTGTGAATGCCCGTGCATGTGGGGGTGCAGGTGAAGGCGGTGTCGCGGCTGTACCACAAGAACCTGGTGCGGCTGCTGGGCTACTGCAACGACCACATGGAGCAGGTGCTCGTGTACGAGTACGTGCCCAACGGTCCCCTCTCCGACCACCTCTACGGCACCATCAAAGGCAAGCCCTCCACCACGCATCCTCCTCTCGCCTCATCTGCTTCCTCTCAGTTTCCTCCTCCTCTCACCGCGTCCTGCCATTGCTTGCTCGGCTGCTCATGTCGTGCCTGGCATGTCCTTGTTCCTACCCGTCCCACTGCACCACTCTTTCTGCCGTGTCACTCATCCTCCTGTGTGACGTGATGTGATGCGGTGGCCGTGTGTGTGTGTGTGGGGGTGGGCGGCATCAGGGCAGCTGCTGTCGTTTGAGCAGCGGGTGGAGGCGGCGATAGGCCTAGCAGAGGGGTTGGTGTATCTGCACAACCACACAGAGCGCCCCACCGTGCACCGTGACATCAAGCCCTCCAACGTGCTGCTCACCCACGACTACCAGGTACGTGCCGCCTGGCCATGCCCATCAGCGCCGTGCTTCCAAGGCCAGCTCCTCCCAGGGCGCCACTCATTCAGGGGGCGAGCAGTTCTCAGTCTGTGTGTTCCACGGTCACCTCCTCCCCATTCCTCCCACATTCCACTCACCACACTTGTGCTTGTGCATGTGCGTGGGCGTGGGCTTGGGCGTGGGCGTGGGCGTGGGCGTGGGCGTGTGCATATGCGTGGGTGGGCGTGCAGGTGAAGATAGCGGACTTTGGGTTGTTGAGGGAGGTGGGCAAGGAGGAGATGGGCACGTTCACCAAGGTGGCGGGCACGCGGGGCTACATGGACCCCGACTACATGACGCTTGAGATGCTCACCACTCGCAGCGATGTCTACAGGTACCGCAGCGATGCATACCACTGCGCTCTCTGTCGCTGCATTCGTGCCTTGTGTCCCTCAACTATCCTTCTGTACTCACCCAGTTTCCCTTCCACTACTCTCATCTCATCCCACTGCCCTCTCTACGGGGTCACTCACACATGTGACTTGGACTCTCCTTGTGATTCTACAATGCCTCTTCCTATTGTGCTCTCCTCCCTATTGCTCATTGGCCCGTGTGTGTGTGGTCAGTTTTGGAGTGCTACTGCTGGAGCTGGTGACGGGCAGGGAGGCGATGGAGAGGGATCCAGACGACAAGGACCGGCTGGTGCACATAACCACGGTGGTGCTGCCCTTGGTGGCCTCGCGCCACATCCACCTCATCGTTGACACGCGCATCGCCACGCCGCTCAACCTGCCCGCACTGCTCTCCATGGCTCAGATTGCAGCGCACTGCGTGCAGCAGCCCGCTACCAGGCGACCCGAGATGGTGGAGGTGGTGAAGGCACTGCACGCCGTCAAGAAGACCTACCTCGCCTCGCTTGCCGCTCATGCCGCTCCTGCCACCGCTGCTCCAGGCGTGGATGGATTGCAGGCAGTGAATGAGGAGAGGGGAGCGAGCACTGGTGCGGATGCGCTAGGTATGGCGACTTATGATGACGCGGCGGTGGGTGATGCAGCATGGGCGGGTGGGTGGTCACGGGAGGTGCTGTGTGCGTGCAATGTGAACCCCGCCAATGAGGTGGACGTGGCCACGTGGCGCATGGCACACGCCAGCTCTGCCCTCGCAGCCGCGGCAGCGGCACTGATGGAGGCGCGGGCAACAGTGGAGATGGAGGGGCTGCGCACTGACAGCGAGCGCACGGCAGAGGCGGTGCAGAGCAAGGCGGCCGTGGGGGAGCTGCCGGCGGTGCCGCTGCTGGAGCAGCACCGCACGGGGGGGTCTGCCATCAACCTGAGCCGGTCACAGGAGGGCTCCAGTGAGGGCCGGCGCATGGGGGACTCGGGCAGCTGGGTGGCCAAGATCCTGGGCCGGGGCAAGCAGGGGGGGGCTGCATGATGTGCACACACGGTGGTTGCGGGGCTTGTTGGGTGGTACGTCTTGCGCACGCACTGCTGCTGCGGCTGTCAACAGTCCTCCTTGGCTGCGGTTGGACACGTGTTGCATGCACCTCTGCTGCTGGCCTGCGTGTGTGGGTGGAGAAGCCATGCCCATGGCCATTGTCGCTGGCATTGTGTGTCCAAGGCACCCAAGCATAGTGTATGAGGGGGGGGAATGTGTGCTCTGTGCTGTGTTGTCAACAGCTGTAGATTTGTAGTATGCCTCAGGCAACAGTGGTTTGCATGCAACCTGTTTTGTGTTTAAAATAACCTTTTGGTAGGCTGATAGTGTGTGTGTTGCCTGGGCCTTTTTGTTGTCGCAACCAGCTGACTAACCGCCTGCCTTTGCATGACTGCTGCAATGGCATGCCACGCCTGCAAAGTGCTGTTGCTAGAAGAAACATGCCATTCTAGGATGCATCGACACTAATGTGCAGGGGGGCCAAAGGCAGCATGGTATGGATACACCTGCGTGCCACTTAGCAGCACTCTTCTATTGACCCCAAACTCCCCAATCTCCTCCCCTCTTTCATCACTCGCATCACCACCGCACCACCTCCTCCCTGCTCTCCCTGCCCTGCTGCTGGCCAATCACACCATCTGCGTGTGTCATGCCTCCACCTCTTCGAACACCTGAGGCACAGCCACAGCAGGTTCGGTGCCGCTGTCCATCCAGGCGGGCAGGGGCAGCCCCTTGGAGCGCAGGAAGGGCGGGTTGAAGAGGCGGCCCTGGTAGCGCGTGCCCAGGTCACACAGCACGGTGACGATGGTGTGGCCCGGCCCCATGGCACGCGCCAGGCGCATGGCACCCGCCACGTTGATGCCCGATGACAGCCCCACACACAGCCCCTCGTGCCACAGCAGATCGTACACCACTGGCAGCGCCTCCGCGTCCTCCACCTGTTGCACATGGGGGGGGGGGGACGGCAGCAAGGAGAGGTGCGGCAGCAGTAAAGAGCGCCGAAGGTGAAGGGAGAGGCGAGAGACATTGTGGATGGGGGGCAGGTGGGCAGTCACCTGGCAGCAGAAGTCAACGCATCCTCCTTCTCTCTCTGGCAGCCCCCACCCCTGCAGGTTGCCTGTGATGCGCCCCTGCCCTATGCCCTCTGATATCTGCACTCCATGCACGCCACACAGCAACAGCATGGGGCCAGTGGTGAGGGTGACGGGTAGAGCGCAGCACACACAGCGGTGGAAAGGACGCAGTTACCATCTCCCAGCCCCGGGCACCTCTAGTGCACTCACCCCATCCACCCTTCCCAACTTATCCTCCCCCTTTATTCACCTTTCCCCAATATTCCCTTCCCCCCCCATCCCCATCTCTCGATCATCCCCCTGCGCCCATTCCCTGGGCGGCATCTCACGGAGGAGCCTTGCGACTCGAGAGTGCCGGTGGTGTAGTAGCTGAACATGGCGGCGCCCATGGGGTCCACCATGCCCACGCGCACTCCCGCCTTGCGCTCCTTCAGGTACTGCACACACCACGGCCAGGAGAGGGCACGTGAGATGCGTTGAGGGTAAGGCCGGAATGGGCTAAGAGGGTACGAGGTGCAGGACACAAGAGGACATGGAAGTGTGCAGAGCAACAGGGGTTGGGGACTTCAAGCGTGCTACATTGCTGCAAGACTTTCAAATGCTCCAGGAGCTGCAGACACCAGTTGACTAACCCTTCCACCATCGCCATCCCCCTCTCCTCCCAGCCCTTCCCCACCACTTCACCCCGGCTCGCCCAGCCTCCCAGTTTTATCCTCTCGGCCACCCTCCCGTGAAGAGCAAAGCCCACCTTGCCGGTGCCAGCGAGGGTGCCGCCCGTGCCAATGGCGCAGATGAAACCGTCCACTCGCCCCTCCGTCTGCGCCCAGATCTCCGGCCCTGCCACCCACCCCCACACGCGCACAGCACAACGCTCGCACCAAGAGAGAGGGGGGACAGGGACGCAGGGGATGGGTGCATGAGCGCTGGCAGAAGGGACGAACGAGGACGCACGCAGCACACGAGGGCCTAGAAGAGACATTACCCAACTCACCTGTTGTCTCGTAGTGCGCCTGGCGATTGGCTGTGTTGTCAAACTGCAGGGCGGCACATGGGAGGAGGATTCAAGGGCACGCGCATGAGCAAGGCAGGAGAAAGGTGGGATTGTAAGAATGTCAAATAAGGAAACCAGGTTATAATACAGGGGATGGAACGTGGACAACTGACAAATGAGCGAAACGGGGAGCGAAAAGGGGCGTGGTGCATAGCAACAGCAGTGAGCGCGCGGGTGCTGGTACAGCAGGGCATGCAGTGTGCAGACAGCCCACCCATGCAATGCAAAGGCATGAAGCACACATCACGTGCTTCCCCCCACCCTCCTCCGCCCCACTGATAGCGCTCACCTGGTTGCCCCATATGGCTCCACCTGGATGGGTCTGCAGCACAGAGGGCCCGCAGACAGCAGGGCGCAGAGGGCACGGTGCAAGGAGCAGAACACGGGAGAAAACGAGGGTGAGAGCAAGTTGGGAGGGAAGGAGTTGTCGGTGCAAGGCATGGTGTGCACTGTGACAACAATGGCATGCGCGAGCAGAGCAGCAACGACACGTGGTGCAGGGCGTGTGTGGGAGCGGGAGGGCACCTTGGCAATGGCTTGAGCGAGCCTGCCCGAGTACTTGACGTAGTTGTTGGGGTTCTTGTATGGCACTGCTGGCACCTGCACGCCCACCCCCATGCACGCATGCAAGCCATGCACGCCACACACGCAGAGGGGCATGGCAGTGCACAGGAAGTAGCAGGTGAAGATGGAGAGCGGAGTGGTGGTGAGGAAAGAGGCGTTGCTGTTGAGGAAGTAGAGAAATGGCAAAAGTTGAGTCGGACGAGCAGTGACTGGGGGAGGTGGAGCACGGGGGAGGTGCACGGTGACACGCACCTCTACCAGCGTGGCTCCTGCAATGCGCAGCATGTCCTTCTTCTCCTGCTCCTTGCATGGCACTCACACACACTCACACACACTCATGCACTCACACACACAAGCACACACATGCACACACATGCACGCACATGCACACACATGCACACACATGCACACACACACATACACACACACACACACACATGCACACGCACACGCACACGCACACACACACACACACACACACACACACACACACACACACACAAACCATTGATGAGTGGGGGCACTGACAGAAGGAGCATGACATTGCAGCCATGTGCACGTGTGAGGGTGTGTGCGCACCTGGCTCTGTGTCTCTGGAATGACGATGACTGTCTTGTACCCGCGTGCATTGGCCACCAGCGCCAGCCCAATGCCCGTGTTGCCCGCCGTGCCCTCCACGATCACCCCGCCCTCCCTCAACTCGCCACTCGCCTCTGCCGCCTTGGGGGGGCAACATAGGAGGGATGGCGACATGATGTCAAGTGGGGAACAGTTTGCTGGATAGCGGTTCTGGAGATGTGAGAGATGCAGCAGCGGCGCAAGGACGACGAGGCGTGCAGCATGGATGGCGTGCTGTACCCACAGCCCTGTGCTCACCTTGATGATGTACAGTGCTGCCCGGTCCTTCACTGACCCTCCCGGATTCAGAAACTCCGCCTGCTCATCCCATCCGCACGCCACACCCCACATGCCATGCCACGAGCATTTAAGCATGGGTGAGCAGAACGCATGGAATGGGGAGGGCAAGGGGCACGGGGGGGGGGGGGGGGGGGGAGGGAGGGGGGAGAATTGGGGGAAGGGCAGTGGAGTTTGGAGCAAGTGAGGCGCGCAGTGAGGAGCTTGCACAAGGCTAAGCGCGCGACATGGCGTGGGTGACAGCCTATTGGCACCCATCATGGCTACCATGCCACAGCCTGCTAGCACGTATCCCTCCCTCGCCTTGTCATACAACTTCCGGAAACTCCACACCCTTGCCACCTCTATGCAAGCTTGCCCCATGCGTGCCAGCATGCCCCATCCCTGCCAGCGTGCCCCATCCCTGCCAGCGTGCGGTGTGCATGGGCGCACCTTGCCGTAGATGTCGCAGCCCGTCTCTTGTGACGCGCGGTTCAGTCGGATGAGCGGAGTGTTGCCCACCTGCCACCGCCCGCCACACCGTGTCGTGTGCACACACAGCCATGTCACGCGGGGCCAGGGAGACGGCAGTGAGCAAGACAAGGGGCAGGTGAACAATGGCGTCATGGCAGGCGAGCATGCAGCCTCGACATGGGAGAATAGAGAACGCGGCCTGTGCACGCACGTTGACGCCTCCACTACGCATGCTTGCATCCCGCCACCACCCACACTGTCAACGACTCAAAACCTCCCTCGCTGCCACGCCCGCACCCCGTCACTACGCCCGCACCCCGTCACGCACGCCATGCGCGCAGCTCCCGCATTCCCCCAGCCCCTCTCACCGCGTCCACGAACCCGCCGCGCACTCCCAGGTCGCCCACGAACGGCCGCTTGGCGGCCTCCGCGGAGGCCATGGCGGCTGTCACCGCGGGAGACGCCGCGACGGGGACTGGCGCGACGCGCACGCGCTGATCGAGAACAAACGGAGGCGGGGAGCGCGGGGAGCGGGGGATTGAGGGGGAGCGGGGATTGAGGGGGAGCGGAAGACGCCGTAAATACATACACAGGACACGACCGGCTCCGCGCCGCACGCTGACTGTGAATGGAGCGGACCGAACAGGGCGACTGAGCCCCCGGGCGCGAAGCAATCTACTTGGAGAGGGATGCGGAGCGGAAGGAGGACGGGAGGCAGGTTCGGGGAAACGAAGAAAAAAAAAAGAGGGGGGGATAAGGGAGAGAAGGTGGGAGTGGAGGGTGGCATGCACCTGAGAGGCAGGCGAGGCGTGGTGCACTGGGAGAAACGACGACAGCAGCCCACGCCTGGACGCACGCACCGCCGCAACGGGCTGCAACAGCTGCGAGCCCAAGGCAAGCGAGCGACTTCCGGAGGCACGGATGGAGGGGCGCGGAAGCAGAACAGCTGCGCGCCTATGCGGGGCGGGCAGGGGGGGAGATACGGTCATGGGGAAGGACGGATGTGGGTGCTGCTGGAGGTAGGATGAAGTGACGAGGCTTGTGAGGGGGAGAAGAGCTTCCCCCAGAGGTGGGTGGTACACTGCCTGTGTGATCGGAGATAGAAACATCAGGGATGGGGCGAGTTAGGCGGGGGAAAATGTGCGTCTGATTGGATTGATAGTGGTGTGGTGTGGAGGAAATTGGAAACATGCATGCATGATCCACAACAGTGACAGTTGTACAATGTCACAGAATTCTCCTTTCCTTCAGTGTTGAAATGCATTTGGGAGAGTGATTATAAATAGATTCTATAAAACTATGAAGAAAGCGCCTTGACGTTGACATGTGAGTGTTATTTGATGCAGATTTTTTTCAGAATATGACAAAACGCTTATAATAATCAATTCCACTTATTTACAAAGTCTGTGACATTGCAAATCTTTCACTTCTGCAAAAGTTTTTCTATCAATTAATCAAATTGCACACCTCTTTACTGGTCATTGTTGCCAGTTTGCAGAACCTGTGTAGCCAAACCCATATTCTAATAATTATGTAGCACACACCACACCCGTCTATTTGGTTTATTCACTCACGAGGTTAGCGATTTGGCGGTGCACGCAAATATCAATGCCACGCCATTCGCGGAGCTGAACAAGCACGGGAAAGTCGGGATGTTCAGAAGCCCTCTTGGGAAAGCCCCGCTTCGGCTCGACATCAAGCTGCTCTGGTGATGAGCCTGGCATGCTCGCTCTGACTCACACACACTCCACCTCGAGATTGGCTCCACCCTGCACTCCAGTCACTTCGCTTCCTGGTTTTTCTTCTGGTTCCTCTGACTAGGCTCAAAGATTTGAGTGGAAGCTTTTGTAGGAAACAGAGGGGTTTCCCCCGTTCATCCAGTACAGCTTACGGTGAAATGGATGCGAGTGAGAGTGACATTTATTACTATTATGCTTGGAGATGGCGTGGAGAACATGCTAGACCTTGTATGAATATTCCTAGGCATAAGCAAGCGATGGGGCTCGTAGGACCGCGTCGGAGGCTAAAAACTGCTGTGAAATGGGTAGTCACGGCGGTTTCGATTCTGGTTTCCGCCGTCACGAGGATAATTCGAAACCCTTTGCAGAAAGCTGGGAAGAGCTTTCTCGCAACGAGTAGGACGTCAGCGGTGCTGGCTTGGCGGGGTATTAGGCAGAGCTTTACCGGACGCAGCTTCAAGAATTCGGCTGCGATAAGCAAAGTCCGCGCTCTCGCATTTCCTAGACTACTCAAAAAGCCATATCCCATCAAGCTTGAGTCACTGTTCAACCGGGCGAGGAAACAACCGCCGGCGGCGCGGCGTCAAGTAGTAAGTGGTGCCGTCATACTACTTTATATTCGGAATATTCAATCCCTGTTCTTACACGTTGCTTTGTTCTTCACTGCAGAGGACCTGGTTTGGCTCAAGATCACGGGTAGCGCCACAGGAGAGGGTGCAGGACGGGCAGTTCTCAGCGTGGACTGCTGACTCGCGGCCGAGTATCGTCGGCACCAATCAACCCATGCGACGATGTTGCTCACTAGACAGCTTCATGGTAAGAGATCCTGGAACGCCCGGCGTAACTGTCAACACCATCGCATGCCTTTGCATGCCGCGGGCTCCCCTAGCTGAAGGGACTAAAGCCACACAACCTAGCTGTTTGGGCCTGAGCAGCCGGGGGGTGCGGTGGAGCCGAATTGGAGGCATGTGTGGCATCCGCGCATCGCGGTGGAGGACAGGCGCCGCTGATGAGTGCGATGGTGATCTCGCGCCCGGTGGTGACGCGAGCAGCTGTGCGGCGTCGACGCAGAGTACGGTGGACAACTCCACGGAGTCCGCCAAGGAGCGCCAGGAGCGCGAGTTCCTGGCCGAACTCAGCAAGCTGGAGGGCCGCGGCAGGCCGCCGCCCACAACCGCCATAGGGCGACACACCCTCAAGGCGGGGACGAGCTGGGATGCTGACCTCATATCTCCAAGAGTGGGTGGGGACGGCCGCGATCTTCATGAGGACGAGGGCCCAAGGCTGGGCATGCTGACGGGAAGGAAGAGCACCAAGAGATTCGGCAGCCACGCCGATGTGACTGCTGCTATCGCCGCCTCTGCTGTGGATTTCCCTGCTTGCGACCCCACCGCTCTGCTGCCTCGCTCCGCGCGCCAGAGCTCCTGTTTTGGGGGCAGATCCTCGCGGTTTTATTTGGAGACCGATGACGATGCGGATGTGTACGGTGGCGACGCGCTGATCGAAGACGTGGAGTTCGAGCTGGTGGAGAAGGCGCTGCCCGGGTGGGGTCGGGAGACCGTGCGGTGCTTCAACCCGTTGTGGAGCTGGTGGGGCTGGGACGAAGACGCAGGGCCGTGGGACAGTGACGCGGAGGACGAGGGCGGAGAGGGCAGACGGGCATGTAAGGAGGAGCAGGAGGAGGAAGCGGTAGAGGAAGAAGAGGAGGAAGAGGAGGAAGAGGAAGAAGAGGAGGAAGAGGAAGAGGAGGAGGAGGAGGAGGAGGAGGAAGGTGATTTGGAAGAAGAAGACGATGAAAGTGAGGAGGACCAGAACATAAGGAATGACATACGGAAAGAACACGCATTTATTGGCCTGAGTGAGAGCCATGTTGAGATTGAAGGGGAGGGAGAGATGGCAGTGGGTGTATCTGGCCATCGTGGGTGGGAAGGAGCAACAGGCAGAGCGAGAGAAGGAGACAGTGGATCGCAGGGCGTGGGGGGCTCGTCGCCTGTGTGCGAGCAGGCAAGCAATGGCGAGGTGAGCGACGGCATCTGCTGGAGCGACCTGGCTGACAGCGAGGGTCTGGGCGTGCGCAGTGGGGACGAGGCGGAGGCGCTGGAGAAGCTGCTGCTGTACGCTGAGAGTGGCAGCACGGGCGAGGGACAAACGGAGGGGGTGGAAGCTGCACCCCAGGGACGTGCTGGGAGTGAGGAGTGTTGCGGCGTGCAGGTGGGGAAGGAGGTATCGGAGCGTGCGTGCTTCACCGAGGAGAGGGTGCAGGTGGAGGTGGAGGCAAGTTCCCGTGACCACACACATGGCGGCAGCAGCGCTGGTCCATGCTCGGTGCAGGCAGCGGACGCTGCTGGCCGTGCGAGGCATGGCGAGGCAGTGCAGTGCACGAGGGCAGTGAGCACCCTTGAGCTGGAACCAGACGCTGCGAGTGCTCATGACTCGAGTGAGGTTGAACTGCCACTGCACCGCAAGCCAAGGCCCACTGGCAGCCGAAGCACCATGGGTGGTAGCCAAGGGGATCCAGCAGGGGATCAGGAGTGGCAGAGGGAGGCGCAGGCAGTGCTGGGGGCGTGCAGTGCGAGCAGCGATGGCAACGTGAGGATCGTGCGGTTTCTGGACATATTCGATGTGGGGGGGTGCGTGGGCGAGGGGCGGTGGGGCAAGGTGTTCAAGTGCCAGCACAGGACGTCGGGGGAGTGGCTGGCATGCAAGACGCTGCGCAAGACAGAGCGGCGCATCCCAGTGCTGCAGCAGGAGATCAACCTGCTCACAGCCCTCGCGCACGTGCCCAACGTGGTGTCGCTGCGTGGCGTGTACGAGGAACCCAAGCGCGTGCACCTGCTGCTGGAGCTGGGCCGCTGCGACCTCTTCTCCGTCGTGGAGGCGGGTGGGGGTGTGGACGAGGCGAGTGCAAGGGCCATGTTCCGCGGCATCATGCAGGGCCTGGCGGGCATCCATGCGTGTGGTATCATACACCGCGACATCAAACTGGAAAACGTGCTGCTCGTAGGGCCCTCTGCCACGGCAGGGCTGGCGATGGGTGAGGCAGCAGCGGCAGCAGGCATGTGGGCGTACAGCGCAGAGGACACGGTGAAGATCACAGACTTTGGGCTGGCAGCGCAGCTGCAGGCGGGGCAGTGGATGGGGCCAGACGTGACCGGGTCGCCGCACTACATGGCTCCAGAGGTGGCTCTGGGTGCACAGTACAACCACAAGGCAGATGTGTGGTCTGCTGGCATCGTGCTGCACGCACTGCTGCTGGGCGTGTACCCCAGCTGGAACGAGGACAAGGGCTGCGTTGACATCTCACACGAGCGCGTGAGGAAAAGGACGCATCTCGAGAGCCCACCATCAAGCCGTGGAATGCAGGGGGGTGGGTTCAGAAGCACAAGTGGAGGCACCGGTAGCAGTAGCAGCGATGGTGGTGGTGGTGGAGGTGGAATGGGCATCTCCCGGAGTGCTCGTCGGTTGTTAAAGATGCTGCTGCAAGTGCGGGTGGAAGCGAGGCCAACAGCAGAGCATGCAGCACGAATGGCTCAACTCATAACCCACCCACGCGACACGCCTCTGCCCTCTCCCACCATACACTAATGCCATCATCAACTCATCCGTTGCACTCCCCAACACTGCAGCTGTGCCTAACATGACGCTCTGGCATCTGCCTAACCAGTGCAGTTGCATGTCAAACACCATCCCTCAATATGTTGCGAGACTCGACATGTCATTCTCTGGAATGTATTTGAACGAACTGGCTGGTGCAAAGCAGAAGGTTGCATAATCTTACAAAGAACCAAGCATATCGTATAGTACATGGAAGAGGCACCAACTTACTTGACTGGCACCAGTCTACAGAACCCTCATCCAGAGGCACCCAGTATATGTATACGCCTGCGCATCAGGCTAGGCCAGCAAACCAGGAAGCCAGGCAGTTCCATGCCCGCATGCTCCCTGCACCACACGCACAGCTCTCTGCTTGCCGTAACCCACCTCAGAGGGTCGTTGCTGCATCTGCTGTGAGCCTGAAGAGCAGCTGGTCAGGGGTATGGCACGTGCAGTGGTGTGCTGCCCACCCACGTGTGTGCCTGGATGAATGGGTCCGGCAGGAATGGCCCTGCATGCCGCGCGGCCAGCTTGCCCGGGTGCACCCACTCCGCATACGCCCTGCGCGCCCCCGGCCCGTAGCTGCCTATCTCCGCCAGAAACGGCTTGGCGCGGAAGTTGATGCCATTCCACTGCGCCCACCCCACTGGGTCTATCACCTGGGGGCAGGGGGGCGGGGGACGAGGGGACGGGGCAGTGACAGGGTTGATGAGGGAAGGGAGACGGCGGAAGCAGCAACAATCCCAGGGAGAGAAGGCAGCATGGAACGCGGATGCACGAGCCCATTATGCAGCGCCGTGGCGTCCTGATACGCGGCAGCGCAGCGGCGGCGGGCTCACATTGCTCATGTACGTGTTGATGAACACCACGCGCGCGTACGCCTTCCACGGCCGCCCCAGCACGGCCCTCGCGCCGGGGTCGCGCGCGTTGATGGCGCAGTCCACGAACACGAACCCGCCGCCGCCCTTGCGCGCCGTGCGCCCGTTGGCCGTGATGATGCTGCGGCCCAGGAAGCCCGCCGCGCCCGTCCACTTGCGCACGTCGAGGCGGCACTTGTCGAACACGGCGGACGCGTCGCGCCCGAAGATGAAGTCCAGCGCGCCCTCCACGCGGCACTCGCGGTAGTACTGCCGCCCGCTGTGCGCGTTCAGCGTGTCCTGCGCGCGCGCAGAAGCCGCGGGAGGGAAGAAGGGGCGGGAGGGTGTTAACGGGGAAATTGGATGGCAGCACGCCTATGCCGTGCAGTTGGGCGGTACAGCGGTGGGGCCGCGCACGGCCAATAGGTGAACGGGCAGCGTCGGTGAGTGCGGCGAGGGGCGCAGCGGTGGGCACCTGGAAGGCAGAGAAGTGGCATCGGTAGAGCAGGGACTGGTCGCCCACCGCGCGGAACGCGACGCCCGCATCCTTGTACGGCCCCGCCGTGTTCTCAAACCGGATGTTCGCCGCCGCGAAGCTCGCACCCGACGCCGCTGGGGAGGGGGAGAGGAGGAGGGGGGGGAGGGGGGAAGGGCGGGCAGCGGAGGAGAGCGAGAGTTGGAATGAGATTGGTGCGGCTGGGACGCGAGGGGCGGGAACGATGGGACTACAGGGAGAGTTGAAGAACGAGGAGAGAAAGCACAAGGGTGAGTGGGCACGAAGAAGTGCGTGCGCGATAGGCGTGGTGTGACGCGGTGACGTGGGCCAGCACGCGGGGCACGAGAGCAGCGGGTGGCGGGGGAAGTGCGGGGCAGCGGGTGAGGGGCATACAGAACGTGGCCGTGTCCCATGTCGCGAACCCGTCCGCGTTACTACGCGAGCCAGTAATGACAGTGCGAGTGGGGCCGTCGCCTACGAGCGCGACCATGGGGCGCGCGATGTCGACTTTGTCGGTGTACACGCCCGCGCGGATGTGCACCACGTACCACCCCTGCGATGGCGGCACGCCGTTGATTATCTCCGCCGCTCTCTGCACAGAGGCCGCCATCGCACACAGGGCAAGAGCGCGGATGATGGGGCTAAGCGGGGAGCCGGAATGGCAGCACGCTGAACAGGCTCAGAAGGGAGGATAGTCGAGTGGAGGCGGTGAGGGTGCGACGGAATGGGGGCGAGGGGGGGGAGCTGGGAAGAGGCAGACTAATGGAAACATATGAATACCGGACGGGAGCTGTCTGAACAGGCGCACGACAGGGAGACCAGGAGATGCTGGCGAGTAATAAGCACCCAGCGAGACATGCGAGCGCGCGCCTTACTCGCAGCGTGGTGACATCGCCCGTGCCGTCCTGCGACACCACCAGGTTCGGTTTCACCGCCCCCCGCTTCAGCCACCGCCGCGCGGAACCATGCCTCCGCCTGCCCGCTCGGCCCAGCGGACCCGCGCCATGACCCTTCTCCGGTGCGCGCGGCCAGCTACTATTCGCGAGAGTCTCCAACCACCCCATCAGCCCGGAGTCCAGCCATTGCGGGCCCTGCGCATGCGCGTGGTCCTCCGCCGCTGCTGCGAGGCGGGGGAGAGGCGCGTCAGAAGGGAACTTCGGCAGGCAATGCGCGCTGTGGAGGGCGCAAAGCACGAGGGGGATGAGCGCGAGCGAGTGGAGGCGCAGGTGAGAGCGCCTCGTGACTGCGCCGCTCCAGGAGAGTGCGCGGCCGCCATGGGTGCGTGCGCATTCAGCCGTGAGGAATGGTGTGCTTCGATAGCACCAGCCACCGCCAGCGAAGCACACCCGAGACATGGGAGCGGCGGCTCCAACTCACACCAGCCAAGCGCACTTGCGGAGAAAAAGCTGTCAGGAACGCGTGGTGGCGAGGCTGGCTATCGGTGGATAATAATAAGCTGTGACTAAGTCGACCGTTGCGCGTCGACTGATTGCGGAATACCGAAAGCTATAACTAGTAATCAGACGTCAAGCTTGATACGAGAAACCAATTACCTTAGCAGCAAACAAAGAGTGCGCTCCTAATGCACCAAACGCTAACCATGATCCTGGTGCTTTGCCCAGTAAGTTTGTGGCTTCCACCCATCTCATGGCCCCGGGCCGGCCCCACCTAGCAGCGCTGCAGGGAAAGGCAGCTACATTTCATCAACGAATCGCCCTCCGTCATGATGACAATCAACCAAGGGTCGAATCGAACCAATGGAGCCTTTGCTCCTCCAGGCCATTTCGGATTGGCTTGGCATTCGTATGCACGCGACGCGTGCCTGTGACTACATCGAGTGGTCTTCCTAAGTCGTCCATATGCGCCAGTCAAATTCGTGGTTTCACCTTGCAAATTTGCAGCCACTCTGTGAGGGCACGTGTCGCATCTTCACCTCATCTGTATACCGCGGACAATCTGTACATCAGCCAAGCTTCAGCATATATTGAAATGTCAATGCTTAAGATCCTTCTTGTTTGCTCAAGCTCGGTATCCATAATTTATATATAAATCCGTAAAATATTCAACTACTTTTTCACAGTTTTGTATTAACCCCAAACCCTTAGTTTGAGAGATTATTTGAGGCTTTATGTTTTTTTAATAACAGCACATTACAAATAATCGTAAAGTCCCCCGGGTCTTAGTTTGAGAGAAATTATTTGAGGCTTTATGTTGTGCCCTCCATACATAGACACGAGACACATCCATTCCATACATTTTCCATTTATCTGTACACACTGAACTGAACTGAATCCGAAGGCTGGAAGGATGCCTACACATGGGCCGGCACGAAAAGAAATCCTCAGCTTCTAGACGTTGCAAGCTCCCAGTGGTATCGTCTGTTTGTATCTCCTGAATGCCAGCTTGAACTCGCTGCTTTTGGATTCACATAGCATTGTCGTGTCATGAGGTGAGGCGCCCTCAAGCATGAGGGGGGTAAACTCGTTGCACAAAGCAACTACCCGTCAAACTAGTAATTTCATTTCTAAATGCTTTGGAGGTAGACTATTATGTTGTCTGTGATTGATGTTTACACCGTCGCTCAAATATTTCCCACCCAAGTCATCCATCATGTATTTCGGCTGTGGTGGTAATTGCACAAATAATACAGACCAATAAAGGAACGATTGAGAGAAAATGGATGAGCTCCTCTCGGTGGTGGAAGTTGAGAAACATAAACGATCAAGCATGTGGTGGATGAACAATGCCACTGTGCTGGTCAAAGTGAGGTGCGTGAGGTGAGTGGTGTTCTGTGAGCCTCACACATTTTGGACGAAGGCGACTGGGCGACTGGAATTTTCCATTTTGCCTGCTTTCGAATCGCAAATTTCTTGTTGGAGATGGGCCTTGCGAACTTATGCGCGAACACTACCATTGTTACAGCGTTGCACGAGTCAGGGGTGCGCTAGGTACATTGATCAGAGCGTCGTACTTCCCTCTTCATCCTGCCTTTCACCTTATACAGTAGTACCTCCTATCGTCAAGGTCGACCTCTCCGTCGGCTCTCAGCTCAAAAGCCCGACCTGCGTTTGGCTCTCGTCGAGACAGTTACGTCGCCATGACGAGAGCACTCTCAATGTGTGTGTTGACGCTGGCGCTGACGATCGCACTCTTATGTCCCTCTGCTTTCGCTGGCGGCGGTAGCAACAACGGCAATAAGGCTTCCCCACCACCACCTGCGAGCCCTCCGCCGAGCCCCCCGCCAAGCCCTCCGCCGAGCCCTCCGCCCCCTGGCACAGTCACTCTGTCGCCCGCGGGACAGAACAACAACAACGGAAATGGAAATGGCGTGAGCGCCGCAGTCATAGATTGGTACAACGACCAGGAATACCCCACGTGTCCTCTCCAAGACTGCCCTCCGCTCAAGTTTTTCTGCTCTGGAGGCATGTGCAATGACACTGCAGGGATCCTAGGTCGCTGGAGGGTAAGCATTCGGAATTCTCAAGATAAAACGTCCATTTTTGCAATTCTAGAGCTTCAAGCTCCGGCGTGTCCATTGACGGCTGCGTTTTTCCATGCGTCGGTGCAGCTTCCGGTGCAATCGTCTCTCCAATGCCCTCCAGGCAGCAGCAACCCGAAGCCTAACAACCAGTGGTGCATCGATAATCTCACCGTCTCGGAGTGCTGCGCAGCGTGCTCTAATAGCGCCATGCCCTGCCGCCTCTGGCAGCACTACATCGGGTACGTCTTGTTTTAGTGCACAGATTCCGAACATCTCCATTTTTCAACGTTCACTCATTCGATCTGTCGTGGCATTGGCTTCTCAGGACGATAAATCCGTCGGGGAAGTGTCTCAAGTGCGGCATCTGCTGGCTGTACCCTCCTGGTGACTCGCCCAAGTGCGAAACGCAACTGGACAACAACAATGGCTACCGCATCAAGTACAATTGCTCACGCATCGGCGCCTCGTGCCCCTACACCAAGAACGACCCGCACTTCCGAGGGGCGCACGGCACTCGCTTTGAGTTCAACGGCCTGCCAGATAAGACGTTCTGCCTTTTGACCGACCGCCGTGTGCACCTGAACATGCGCATGCATGGTTACTTGGACGATCGCACCATCGGCGCGTCCATTATCCGCGGCGGAAAGGCCGTGCGCACGTGGATCCGCGAGCTGGGCCTCATGTGGCGCGAGGAGGACGCTGTTGCTGGTGACGTGGATCGCGAGCACAGACTGCGGATGGTGGCACGACGCGGGAACAAGCAGGAACGCGGAGAGGGTTTCGTGGAGCGGCTGGAGGTTGACGGGGTCCTAATCGGTCGCATGCGCCAGGGCGAAACACTCAAGCTGGCAGGAGGACTCGAATTGACATTCGCGGGTGTGCAGATGCGAGGGCCAATGGAGGTTGACGCGTACCATGTGAGCATCCCGGGCCTCATCGAGCTGGATGTGAAGCTCCGAGTGGCGCATCCCCTGCTGCAGACTGCAGATGATGCAGAGGCTCATATCAACCTGGCTTTCCGGCAAGTCGAGGCAACAACGGACATTCATGGCGTCATGGGGCAGACCTATCGTCCAGGGAGGGAGCAGCGGGCCATGGATTACACTGCTTTGTCTGCTCTGCTGCACCGACCCGTGGCTGTGGACTCTGAACAGGGTGCAGGTTTCTTAGATGGTTCTGTGCGCGATTACGAATCAACCGACGTGTATGCACCAGACTGTAGGTTCTCGGCGTTTAGATCTGGGCGCATCTCTGTCTGATGACAGAGCTGCTGCCTGCTGGACTGACAACCCACCACTCTTCTCATGGTGCAAACTCAAGCCTCCTAACAGACTAGTCCACATTGTGCTTGTGTATTCTAGCCTCAATCAATGTAATCGATTCTGTTTACGGTGGAATTCTTCAAATAATATGTATAAGCAGCTCCTCACATGCACATACATCCTTCATAATATCAACCGTAGCATACATTCTTATGGTTTTGTTTATGGCTGCTGTACGTGATCAACATCGTGTAGCATGTAACTGATGTACACCTCTCAGCAAGTATTTTCCGAGCTCACCCCAACGTTTTGCAGCCCTTGTTTGTGACAGTCTTTGCCGTCATGACCCGCAAAACTTCTATCCGAACCCTCCCCATCTCAGTTGCGGATTACTCGCCTGCGGTCACGCCGACCTCTCCACTTCCAGTCTCGTCATCCGTGACTTCATCCCGCCATCGTGCCTCCATGTCCGAACAATCAGGGTTCCCCACGACCGCCGTTGCTGCATGCCATGCATCCGCGGTGTTGCTCGCAGGTCTCGTGACCTTCTGGGTCGTCGGCTTTCAGGGAGGAGCAAGCTGGGATTCCCAAAAGCCTGACACTCTTTTCAATGTTCGTCTTTTCCTTTGTAAAGATTGAAATTATTCCGTTTACGAGTCGTCATCTGTACTCTCCTATCCTGTTCCGTTTCCTTACTCTGTGCGCGCCGGGTGCTTTTCGCCGGGCGTTTTCTCTAACATGGGGCTCCTCCGTACCGTATTTCCGCTTTGCTGTTCGTGGCACAGTACCATCCCCTCTTCATGATCGTGGGCTTTGTGGTTGTGTTCGGCGAAGGTGCGTATTATTTTTCTCTCTATTTTTGGTAGTTGTAGCTTTATCTTGCTGCCAGCATCCTGCAGTAATTACCCATACTCCGCCTGTATTCGCAATTCCTTAAAGTCTGTTTCGGCTTGGCTGTGTGCGTCCCACATTGATGCAGGCATCCTTGCATACCGCCTGCTTCCTCTGTCAAGGCCGGCCAGGAAGGTTGCGCACTTGGTCATTAATGGCGTTGCGCTGCTGCTAGCACTGGTGGGAGTGTGGGCAGTGTTCAAGTTCCACAGCATCAAGTCCATTCCTGACCTTTACAGCCTCCACTCTTGGTGTGGCATGGGGGTTCTCGTCCTCTTTGCGCTTCAGGTATGTGTTCCGCCCAATATTAGGTTTGCTAGTTGTGTTGCGATCCCCTGATGCACCTTTCACCCTAACTTGTCGCACTTGATATTTTTAACACACCTCCATTCAATTGATATTATCCAGAGCTATTGTTCGTTTCATCTTTCCCCACTCATCCATCCCCTCTCACAGTGGTTGTCTGGCTTCTACGCGTTCTTCTATCCAACCACATCTCTTGCTACTCGCCAAGCTTTCATGCCATGGCACACCTTCCTTGGTGTCTTCCTTTTTTGCTTCGCGCTTGCCACCGCGTCGCAAGGGGTATTAGAAAAAATGACGTTTCGCTTTGTGGGGGGCCTTGACAAAAGGGGTCCAGAGGCGATCGTTGCAAATCTGCTTGGCCTGATGATTTTCGCCTTCGGTGCTGTAGTCATCTGGACCGCCACATTGGTCGACAAGGCACGCGTTGAGGAGTACAGAGTTCTTGAGTGATGCTTATGTGTGCCACTACTAAGCCCATGGGCCACCATGGTTGGCTTCTCTCTAGTGGATGTTGAGGAATGCTTTTATTATAAATATGGGTACAAGTCTGCGTGCAGCCTGTTTCCTATAGAAGGCTGGTTGGTGAGCTCGGCTCGGTGTTTGGTTGGCAAGATAACGCTCGCCTTTGAAATGCACAGTTTGTCGTGTCGTCCCACGCCCACAAACGGGCACTCACGTTTGGCTGTAACGGGCACTCAATTCAACAGTGTCCATGGTCACGTGCACCTCAGCGGGCGATTCTTTCATTCTGGCGATCGAGTTCTTGGGGTTTCCATCCACTCGCTAGACTTCGCATTCGCTTCGCCTTGCCCAATCAATGGCCCTGGTTGGCCTTCTCCGTCGCGTCTTTGTGCTCGTTGCTTGTTGCTTGCTTGTGCTGCTGTCGCTGCCCAGTGCCCACCCCAAGTGCTGTGCTGCTCTTGCTGTACCTGCCCGCAATGCAAGCTGTGTGTTCGTTCCTTCTGAACGGGTTCTTCCTTTCCCGTCGCAGCGCAGTAGTGTCCCAGGTCTGCACCAATACTTGTTCGCGGCTCACCATGTTCCTTCAGTATGGTTGCGCATAACTTTCCAGTTAAGCGACCCCTTAAATCCTGTACATAATTCATCGCGCACACGCCAACGGTTGTTTCAGCAGCCACCGCGACGGTGCAATGCCGTCTGCAGAGCTCAGACACTGCCTGCTGTGAAGTCAGATGCCTCTTGCTCCTTGCAACGCCCCACCAGCACCGCTTTCTCTGTCGCTTGTAATATACCCGTTTTAGGCCTCCGTTCTTAACGTCTCGCTCGATGCGCGCGAGGATCACGTGCTCATTGCGCCAGTAGCGCCCATCCAGCCGCACACCACGGTACGGCTCCTGCGAACGTGCCCTCTCGATTAGCGCGCTTAGAAGCAGGCCGCGCGGTGCTCAATCTCTGCTTGCATCCGCCGTTCGATCCCCCCGCTTCTTGTAGCGGCACGTCAAATATCGCAGCGGGTGCCATCGCATCAACGGCCCCCACATTGCATACGCGTCGTGCGCCAGCGGCCCTCCCCGCATACCCCTGCGCGCCTCGTCCCCATCCTCCCCACCTTGCCCTAAGCCTTGCCCACCTGCGCATCGGTCGGCGTTCAGCCCAGCGGATCGTGCGCACTCTCGCCCGCCCCTGCCCCTGGGCTCCCGCGCGTGTGCTCGCCGCTGCGGGCGCCCCGGCATGGCGTGGCGCGCATGCGCATAGCTGTCACGGCATCGGCGCCTCCCTTGCGTACGCGCATCTCTTCACTCCCCCGTCCCTTGCACTCCTCTCCCGCGTTCTGACTCTCTCCCCCACTTGCTGACCCCCCGCCGCGCTTGCCCTTCGGTCAACCCAGCCTCCTGGCGGCAGTGGCGCGCGCATGGGGGGGAAGGTGTGGGTGGTGGAGGTGGCGTCTGCGCGCGAGGCGGAGAGGGAGGGCGAGAGGGAGAAGGCGAGGGAGGGCGAGAGGGAGAGGGAGGGGTGCAAGGACGCGCTGCTGATGGCCATCGCGGACGCGCGCCTGCACACGCACCCCGTCGCGCTGCTGCTCGTGCACGTCATGACGCACGTGCGCTCCCATGGTATGCCAAAGGGGCAGGACATTGCGTGCCATGGCGTGGCATGATTGTCATGTGCTTCAGTTCTGCTAATCAGGATGAGGAAGGCCCTTCTGCTCTTTAAAGCCTTGCACTAGGGCACACATGTAGGGGGGCTCTGTGTTTCGAAAATGTGTGTTGACTCAAGGCATGGGTGTGCATGGCATGGCATGGCATGGCATTAGGTGGTGAGGAGGTGGATGTGCAAGAGGCGGATGTGGCAACAACGAGGGAGAGCGTGCAGCGCGTGCAGCAGCACGTGCTCAAGCCCCTCGTGCTCTTCGCCACGCACAAGGAGGTCAGTTGTCACGGATTCTCTGCGTTGATCCCCTGTTTTGGAACAAGCCCTTGCTGTATGTAGCATGCATCACTTTGTACGCTCCGTGGCATGGCCCCTGGTAGGTAGCCACTTCCTTGGCACACCAGAGCACCTGAGCACGTGAGTGCACGGCCATGCATGTACAGGCGTGGTCTCATGCGCGCATGTGCTCTCCACCCGTGCATGGCATGTGCAGGTGGCGGCAACGGGCCATGTGGAGTGTGACAGCAGGCGGGAGAGAGGACTGTGCACCGCTGTTCGCCGCGCTTCCGCCACTCGCCTCTACCTCTCTCTCAAAAAGTAGAGTTGCATGCCCTGTGCCTTCATGCCATGCCATATATGCCATCCGTACCATGTGCCTCGCAACTTCCAAACTCGTCCATCACCCACTGCCTCTGCTGCGCAACCATACCGCCTAATACCTTTATCCCGAACCGTTCCCTCCATTTCATTCACACCAACCAACCACGAGCCTTCCAACTCCCACCATTTCTCCCCACCTCCCTCCCTCACACGCATCTCCTCGTACTCACCCCCCACGTGTGGAGAGCAGGAAGGCGCATGCGCGGGGGCTGCCGTCGTCATACCTGGTGGACTACTGCGAGGCCGTGCTGCCGCCCTCCACCACCATCACGCTCGTGCTCGCCTCACACAAGGTCAAGCGCCTGCCAGGCCGCTGCTCCCTGCTCGACCCCCTCTCTGCCGATTCTGCCTCTCTCTCTATACCGCCGCCACCGCCGGCAACGCCTGGGCCATTAGCAACAGCAGCAGCAGGAGAAGCAGGCGGGGTGGGAATAGCAGGGGCGGAGGGCAGCATGGAGGGCAGTTCAGCAGGAGCACGAGCAGGGGCAGCAGGGGCGGCAGCAGATGAGGTGCGGGGACTGGGCACCCCCGCAGCACCAGGAGCGGCAGTGGCAGCAGTGGTGGCGGCAGCAGCGGCAGCTCGGTTGCTCTCCCAGAGCAGGGCGCGCAGCAGCAGCAGCAGCGCTGGCACTGCCGCCACCAGCACCATGGGCAGTGGCGGTGGCGGCAGAAGCAGCAGCCCTGGTGTGAGCCAGGGCAGCGGCAGTGGCGAGGGCAGCGGGGCAGCAAGGGAGGCGGGCAGCAGGAGAGCAAGCGCAGTGCAGGGCAGCGCCTGGCAGGGCCATGGGTGCAGGGCAGGTGAAGGGCGCGGCGGGCAAGGCGGGCAGCAAAAGCCGGTCGCCACTGAGGAGAGTGGTGTCGCTGGGCGTGGGGGGAGAGAACGCCAAGCTGGCGCGCAGGGGGAAGGGTGCAGAACAAGGGGGCAGAGAGGCAGGGGGAGGGGATGGGGTCCCGGCTCTGAAGCACGCGTGGGAGACACAGAACGGCACAGAGTGGGAGCAGAGCAGTGGCTCTGGCAGGGAGCCTGCTTTCCACCTGGACCCACGTGTACACGCCCCAACAGCAGCAGCAGCAGTAGCAGCAGCGCCCTCCCCCAGTACCTCCTCCCCTGCCCCCTCGCCCTTAGCCCCCTCAGGGTCCGCCATGAGTTCGTTCCTGAACAAGGCGTGGAAGGAGGGCTTTCTCTGGCGCCTGCAGCAATCCAACGCCCACACCCCTGCACCGCTCTCCATCGCTGCGAACCACAGTGACAGCGAAGCGGACAGCGATGGCGAGGGGGCGGCTGTGGTGGCGACGCCTGTCACCACCGCCAACGCCCGCTCGCTCTTCTCCCCCTCCCCACGCCCCTCCCTCCAACCCCCCGCGCATTCCCCCCGCGCTGCCCCTCATGGTGCTGCTGCCGACGCGCACAGCCCTCGCGCTGCAGGGGACGCCCAGCCACGCCGCAGTGCGGGCAAGGGACAGGCGGACAGGGTGAGGCGCGCACATGCAGGCGCAGAGAGGGGCAGTGGTGAGGGGGAGGGGGAGGCGCCTCCAGGGATGAGAAAGAGCCAGTCGGAGAGCAGGGACCCGGGCAGTGGGGCGAGCGAGGGCGAGGGTAGTGGGGGCGAGGGCAGGGAGGTGAACAGCGATGGCAACGAGGGGCTTGGGCGGCGGCACCGGCGCAGAGTGGTTGGTGGACGCGGACTAGCTGCCTCTAGGTTCCGACCTCAGGGCCGAGGGGGTGGGGAGGATGGGGCGTGGGACGAGCGGCACCGGGAGGGCAGGGCGGATGGGGAGGGGGGGTTGGGCAAGGGAAGGGCAATGCAGGAGGAGGGGGGGTATATGAGTGCGGGCGGGGGCGAGGAGGGACGGCAAGGAGGGGGTGAGTATGTGGACAGAGAGCGTGAGAGGTGGCGTGGTGATGGGTGTGAAGGGATGGTGGGCACGGGGGAGGAGTGGGGGCAGCATGGTGAAGGGCGAGGTGGGGGGCGAAGGGAATTGCGCAAGGCGAAAGCAGAGAAGGAGAGAGGGGAAAAGAGAGAGGCGAGAAAGGTGGGTGAGGGAAGGATATGGAGGCATGGGAGCGTGGCGGCACAGGAAGGGGCGCGAGATGTTGTGAGGGCAATGAGTGCAGCGGTGGTGATGCCTGGTGATGAAGTGCAGTCGCCCACACGGCATGACTCCCCCCGGTGGCTGTTGCACGAGGAGGAGAGGGCGAGAGGGCGGGCAGACGAGGCCCAGCAGCACGGCACGTACGCGTACGGGGAGGCGGAGCGGGGTGAGGGGTCGGATGAACGGAGCAATGGGGCTGCTGTAGGCGAGACTGGCAGCAGCAGCAGCAGCAGTGGTGTTAGCTGGCTGCGGCGGCGGCAGCAGCTGCGGCAGAAGCAGAGGAACAAGCAGATGGAGAGAGCAGCGTGGCAGGAATCAGGGCAGGCGTTGCGGCATGGGGAGGAGGAAGCGGAGGCACGTGGGAGCAGTGGGGAGCAGGAGGGTGGGGGCAGTGGGGCAGAGGAAGGCGAGGGGCATTTGGAGAAGGCGAGGGTGATGCAGCGGCGGTGGGAGCAGGACAGGGCATGGTCGCAGGTGCGGCACACAGTGCAGAGCGCAGCAGAGAATGGTGTTCCGGCTCCCTTCCGATTAGAGGTGCGTCCGTGCTCTTCATGCTCTGTGTGTGTGGTGGGAGTTATGGGGCATCCCTCTCGTTCATGCACACATTGATGCTCGATTCGTTGTGCATGCACTCACACTCTCTTTCACAAGCACTCATGTACTCACCCCGTTGTTCCATCATCTATGTTGACTGTCATGACTCAGTGGTTCTCAAGTCCCTGCCCTCCAACCTGCACACATGCCCTGTACATGCAGATTGGCAGGTCCCTCTCTCCCTCCTCCACCTTCGCCAGACGCACTGCCTCGCCAACCACTCATCACCTCGCACATGCGCACCACTTACCATCATCTCCCTCTCAATCTCCCACCCATGCTGCCTCCTCTGCTCCCACGAGTACCTCTCCCACCGCTGCTGTTGCCGTTGCTGCTTCCGCGAGCAGCGCTGTGCTCGCTGGTACCACGGACGCCAGTGTCTCCACGAGCAACACCGTGCTTGGCGGCGCCAAAGGCAGTGAGCGGGCATCCATGCACAAGGTAGGGCGCGCTGTCAGCAGCAGCAGCAGCAGCAGCAGCAGCCACGTGGGCAGCACAGCCACAACAAGCCCACGGGGCTTAACTGCGTCCTCTGCTGCACCCCCTGCGGCCCCTCCTGCTTCTGCCACCGCTGCTGCTGCCGCCACTGTTGCTGCCACTAGCACGGGCGCCAAGCCATCCCCTGGGGTGGCCTCCCCCCGTGCAGGTGCAGCCGGGTCATCAGGCAAGGGGCGCAGCAGCAGGGCGGGCAGTGGCAGCGCCAGTGGGCGCAGCAGCAACCGGAGTGCACGTGGCAGCAGTGGCAGCCTGAGTGGGTTGCTGTCACTGCCCCGCACGTCAACGGCTGACAGCTCTGTTCTCACCGCTGCCACCTTCATCAGCAGCAGCACCAGTGGCAGACTCTCCCTCGACGCACATGTGCCATCCGCCCCTCCTCCTCTCGCTTCCTCCACCGCTGCAGACACTGCTGCACCCATCACGGTACCTGCATCTTCGGCTGCTACTGTCCAGGAAGATGATGCCTTTGCTGTGACTGCTGCTGAGCCGCTTCCCTCTGCAGCTGCTGCGCTGCCATCTCATCGCAGCATGGGCAAGGAGAAGAAGCGCGGCATCAAGTTACCGCGCTCCAAAACCGTGGAGGGCAACGCCTTCTCTTCCTCCTCCTCTTCTTCCGCCACCGCCTCGTCCCTTCTGCCGCCCTCCCGCTCCTCCTCCACCTCTGTCTTCTCCCGTGCAGCCTCCTCCTCTTCCACCATGGCCAAGTCCGCCTCTCTCTCCGCACACACCTCCCCCCCTCGCTCCCACGCGCCCACCGGCACCTCCCCCACCTCGTGGCTCTCCTCGCTGCTGCCCCTCCGCCGCCACTCCTCCCGCTCTGACTTCCCCTCACCTCCACACCCACCAGCTGAGCCTGCCACTGCTGTGGTTGTGGTGGCCGATTCCCCTGCAACAGCCCTCACTGCTGCTGCTGGCGCGGGCACTGCTGATAGCCTGGACAGTAGCAGTGGCAAGCAGGACAGGGCAGGTAGTTTCCGGGGCGGGGAGAACGGAAGGGACAAGTTTTACATCTCAAGGGCCACATCAGTGGCAGGCGGATTAGGGAGAAGGAGGGGCAGTGGCAGTGGGCGGGGCAGCAGGGGCAGTGGGAGCATGGTGGAGCTATCAGAGGCGTGTGACTTGCTGGCAGAGCAGGCAGGGGCGCTGGTGGAGTGGGAGGAGGGCGCGGAGAGAGACGGGGCCACGGGCGCGGCGTGCATGCCATCGCCTCTGCGGCACCCCGCAGTGCTGAAGCGCAACAACAGCAGCGGCAACATCTTTGCCCGCATGTGGCGGAGTGACAGTACCGGCAGTGCCACTCAGGGTGCGGTGGAGAGCGGTGAGCAGGGCGGGCAGGTGGGGCATGAGCGTGGTGGGGACGTGGACGGGTCAAGCAGCGATGAAGGTGGCGTGGAGGGTGGTGATGGGGGCGAAAGGGTACAAGGGGGAGAAGGGCGTGTGGAGCAAGGGAGGAGGATGGAGGGGAGTGCGGGGGCAGGGGACAAGGGCGATGTGGGGAGTGCACAAGGGAGGACAGGTCCACTCAGCAGCGTAGCACAGGATGGCAATAGAGAGCAGGGGCGGGCAGGGGAGGGGCTGACAGGGCATGGCAGTGTGATGCAGCAGGAGAGGCAAGGGGTGGGGGGCGACAAGTCACAGCAAGCTGCATTGCAAGGGCGAGTGGGGGAGAGCGGAGCAGAGCAGGGGTTGCGAGGGGTGGAGGGGAAGGAGGAGGCGGCAGGGGAGACGGAGGAGTGGTGGCGGTACACTGACGACTTCAACATGCCTCTGCCCGGTGACGACGAACCCTCTCCCACCGCCTCCTCCCTCCACGCACCCCGCCCCACCCTCGCCTCTTCCCCACGTTCCTCCTCCCTCCCTGCCGCCTCTAAGCCTGCTTGCACTCCCGGCACACACGAAGCAGAGGAGGCAGCTCCAGATGCAAGCGAAGCAACAGGGGCAGCGGCAGCAGCGGCGAAAGGGGGGGTTGAGGGGAAAGCGGGGCGGGGCGAGGGGCAGGTGCAGCAGGACAGCATAGATGCACTCATTGCGTCGCTGCTGGCCATCCCAGACGTGCAGGGAGCCATGCGCATTGGGGACTTGCACGGCGCGCAGCAGGTGGACGTGCGTGCAGGGGACCCGCAGCCCTGGCAGCAGCAGCAAGCTGCAGCGTCCCCGCACCACCATGCGTCCCTCTTACCACTCCCGTCCGCGCACTCCTTTGCGCGCCCCTCGTCGCGGCCGCTGACGCCCTCCTCAGTGCACCGGGTGGAGAGCCTTGACAGCAGCCTGCTGCGCGCCGCTGCCGCTGACTGGCGGGCCGCACATCCTGCTGCGCCAGGCTCCGCCACAGCAAGCCCTGTGTGGGGCGCACCGCACACACCCGAGCGGAAAGGCGGTGCGGGTGGCAGCGGCATGTGGGTGGGGGGCAGCGAGAGTAGCGGTGGCGCGGGCTCAGGCATGGGTGCGTCTGCGTTTGAGCGGCGCAGTGTGGAGCGGCAGCGGTCAGTGGAGGTGCGGTCACTCAAGGAGGAACTGGCGGCGTACGAGCAGTTTGATGCGGGCAGTGACGTGTGGGAGGGCGTCAAGGCTGGTGGTGCACGGGCGAGTGATAGGGTGGAGGGCGATGGGGCGAGCGGTGGTGAGTACGACATCTGGCAGTGCGTGGAGAACCTGGAATCCTCCCACACCTCTGCTGCTTCGTCCGCTGCTGATGCATCAGTGGATGCGGTGAGTGCGTGTGGATCAGCAGCAGCTGTTGCATCACCCATGTCTTCTCCTGGGCGAGTGCATGGGAAGGCCGCCCTTGCTGCCCTGCCAGGGTCCTCCGCCCCTGCTGCTGACAGCAGTGGCGGCAGGAGTGTTGGGGAGAGGGGCGGGGGCGGGGGCGGGGGCAGCAGCAGCGGTGGCGGGGCAGGGCGGCCAGGCAGCACGCTGCAGAGGTCGCGGCTGAGCATGTCCAGTGGGCTCTCCGATGTGCCCTGTGCCAGTGATGCAGGCACGGTCAGTGCTGGTGGGGAGGGGGGGAGGGAATGGGCGAGTGGGGAGGAGGAGAAGGGCACAGCTGAGCCAGGCAGCGATCACGCGGACAAGGCAGCAGCAGCACCTGTGGCGGCTTCCCGGGCATCGCTATCACCAGCGCTACTGTCGCTGCACCAGTTCCTCCATCCCAAGAGCTCCCCCCGTACCTCCCCCTCCGCCTCCGCCTGCTCCTCCGCCGCCGTCTCCCCTGCGGCCTCCCCCTCACGCCCGCGCACGCCCTCGGTGCACCACTCGCACACGCGCTCGCTCTCCTTCTCTCGCAGCCTGCTGCGCCTGCCCACGCCGCGCTCCATCTTCTCACCCTCGCGCACCGAATCCGAGGCTACTGCTGTCGTGCCCGCTGCTGACCCGCCTGGCAGACGCCGAGCCAGCGAGGACAGCGCACGCACACGTGCAGGGGAAGAGGGGGTGGTTGGAGGGTATGGCATGGGAATGCAGAGTGGGGAGGGAGTAGAGCGGAGGGATGGAGCAGGGAGTTTATCTGGCGCTGTTTCTGCTGCTCTGGAGCGTGAGAGTGAGGAGGGTGTGGACGGCTTGTCAGCTGTGGTGTCACTGGGTGTGGCGAGGGGAATGAAAGGAGTGGGGGCGAGTGGAGGAGGAGGAAGTGGGAGTGAGGACGCAGGGGATGCGGGTGAACTCCTGGAGCCGCCCACGCCGTCTGTGGGGTGGATGCAGCAGCGCACAGCGGGGCAGCAACACCTGGCTGGTGCGGGCAGGCATGGCAGTGGGCGAAGGGAGAGAGCAGAGGAAGGGCCAGAGCAGGGGAATCGCTCCAACAGCCAGAGTGCAGCAGAGAGCAGCGGGGCAGGGGCCCCCACACTGGTTCTCCCCGTGCATTCCGCCAAGCTGCTGCGGCCTGGCCTGGGCGACTCTCCTGCTGCATCCCCCTCGCACCGCCTGCTGTCCCACGGGTCCCTGCCCTGCGCCTCTGTAGCCGCTGCCATCTCTGCCGCCACCACCCTCACCGCCTCCAACCCCTCCTCGTGCTCCACCTCCCCTCCTGCCGCCTCGGCCTCGCCTCCACTGCAAGCATCCGTGCCTCGCTCTGCTGCACCTGCCCTCGCACTCACCAGGCCTGCCACGCCAGCTGGCAATCGGGCCCTGCCTGCTGATTCTGCCACTGCCTCTGCTATGCCCGGGTCACCCATGCTTGGCAGCAAGGCAGAGGCAGTGAATGGGATCTGTGATCCGTTCTCCAGAAGCAGCACATGTGCAAGTGAGCAGGGGGCGGGGGAGAGCAAGAGCTGGCAGGGCATAGCAGCTTATGAGGCGAGCCTCACAAGCACAAGCGCTCCCAAGTCACCCAGCATCTCCAACCCTCCCATCTATAGCATCGCCAGCACCAACCATAGCAGCAGCGGCGGTGGAATCACAGGGGAGGGGGACTGCCGCACCTTCTCTTCCGCTCAGCTGCTGGCGGCCACGGATGGCTATTCCCCCGCAAATCTCTTGGGTCAGGGCGCTTTTGGTCAGGTCTTCCGGGGCACGCTTCTTGGCTGCCAGGTGGCGATAAAGCGCCTGTCAGGCGCCAGCTGGCAGGGCCCTCAGGAGTTTCAAACGGAGGTGGCGGTGCTGACACGCATGCGGCATCCCCACATTCTCCTCCTCATGGGGTGCTGCCCCGAGGAGCAGTGCTTGGTGTACGAGCTCCTGCCGGGGGGGTCTCTGCAGAGCCTCTTGACTCGTGGGGCGCGCATTCGCAGGAAGCGTGCAGCGGCGGCTGCCAAAGCAGCCATTCAGAGCGCCAAAGCTGCTGCCCAAAGACATGGCATGTGGGGCGATGACGCATGTGCAGCTGGTAGTGCTGGGAAGGGGCAAGGAGGAGGTGAGGGACTAAGAGGAGGGGATGAGGCTGACAAGTGGGAGAAACAAGCAGCGAGCTGGCATCGGTTGCATGGTGAGGGGGCAGACATGGGTGGCGGGGACATGGACAGAGAATCTGGGATGGGAGATGGTGGTAGTAGTGACTCTCAAGGGAGCGATAGTGACGAGGATGAGGAAGAGGATGTGACTGAGAGGGTTGCTCCTGAGGATGAGAGGCAGCGGCAGTTGAGGAAGAAGCAGCAGCAGAGGCGGAGGCAGCGCCGGAGCCTAGAGGTAGACAGAAACCAGCAGAAGGGCCACCAGCGGACTCTAACACCTCCCCTCCTTCCATTCTCTGCTTCAAATTCATCCACAACTTCTAGTTCCACTGGCCAACCAACATGCCCGATTCCTTGGTCTGACAGGCTGCGCATTGCAGCAGAAGTGGCATCGGCACTGGCATACCTGCACCTGCACGATCCCCCCATTGTCCACCGTGACTTCAAGCCAGACAATATTCTTCTGGATGCAAACCTCGGTGCTCGTGTCGGTGACGTCGGATTGGCACGTCTGTTGGAAGGTGAGGGTGCAACGACGACGCGGGTGCAAGGCACAACAGGATACATAGATCCGGAGGAGCTTGAAACCTGCGAGATTTCGGTTTCTGCAGACGTCTACGCATTTGGGCTGGTGATGGTGCAGTTGCTGACAGGCATACCTGATGTTCGGAGGGTCCACAAGCTGCTTGCTGAATGCTGGGCCGGCACAGATGGTGATATATTTCTGGCAGTAGCAGCACTTTCTCGCCATTTGGATGATTCAGGAGGAACTTGGCCGAGGTCACTTGTGGAGGAGGTTCTAGTTCTGGCTCTTGAGTGTGCTGACCGGCGGAGGTCCTTGCGCCCGGACCTTGTTGAGGAGGTCTTACCTGCTATCGTACGGGCAGCAAGGGAAGCGGCAGCGGAGATGCAAAGAAGGCGGCGAATTGCTCGCCTGCAATTCTTGTGCCCGATATCCAAGGTAAGAATGATTGACATGCCCACTTAGCACTTGCAGCTTCTCTCCGTTGGTTCACTTGATTTTTGGTCGATGTGGGAAATTGGATGTTCATTCAGTTGTCTTGAGCAGTTTTCATCTCGTGATGAGCAGCTTGAAGTGCCGAGAGTGTTCCGCAGATATGTTCTTACCCGCTGCGCTGCCACTCCTTGATCCATACCCAATGTCCCCTGTCATTGTTTTTCTCCCACCTGTGCCCCGCCAGACCACCATGTCTGATCCTGTGGTTGCGGCAGATGGGTTCACTTACGATCGGAGCAGCTTGGAGCATTGGCTGACTAGTTCTCGTCTTTCACCAGTAACAGGGGCACCATTGGATGACACCAGACTCGTTCCTAATCACACTCTCAAAATGCTGATAGAAACTCTTCAGTAGAGCATTGCCCTATTTATTCAGCTTGCACTTTGGCCAATGTTATAAGTTCTGAGGCTACCGGTAGTCTCCTGTTAGTCTCCTTTTGCCAATGTTGATAGTGCAAGGTAATTCACCATCATGTGCACCCAATACTTCACCCAGCTCAGTTCAGACGCAAACTTGATACCGTATGTAGCCTCAGAAGTTTGTTTTGGAGTTTGCAAGATTCACTTGACTCAGTGGAAGTTGAAAAAGAGGCACTCATCAATAATAAAGCTGATGTGAGACATTGCTCGCTTGCTCATGTGAAAACGGACGACCATAAAGTCACGCCATCATTAATACCGCCAGACAGGCTTCTACGGAGTTCAAGCATCTCGAAATTGATGAAGCGGTTTCAGAAAATATCTTAGTGAAGACGACGAACGACCTTCGCCAGGAGTTTTAACTCTCCCGATTGAGGGCCTTTGTTTCTTCAACGTAACGAGACTTGTCTTCTTCGGCCATCTTGAGATAAACAGCCTTTTCCGAACTTTCAAGCGAGCTCCATCGCTGTCCAAGCAACTTTCCTGAAACGTGTGGTTGCTGAAGTGAGCCAACAGGTAAAAGGATACTTAAGAAGAAATAACTTCATCCGTCAACTCACCAATTTCCCCAAAGCTTGCCGTTGGGGACTCCTTCTTCACTTTGTCTCGGTTGTCTTTCGCAAAGAACATGAAACCTGACAAGGGTCTCTTCGGCTTGACAGAGGGAGTGACAGACTTCGCTGCTCTAGGAGCCCTTGCCATCTTGAGAAGATAGTGCTGGCGGTGTCGGAGATGCCTGGATTGTTGAATTGTGAGTATGACATTCGTTGAAGAACAAACTGGGCATTTGTAGTAAAAAGGCGGTTCGAATCGATGGCAAGTCCTCGAAATTGGCTCGAAATTCGACGAGCGCGGAAATTTCAAGAAGTCGGAGATGAGAAGGTGCACCTGCTAGCTTGTAAAAAGGTATATGAGGAAATTTATTACTACCTCTGCAATTATAGAGGCAACCTCCAACTTATCAAATGTTGTGGAGAGGTATGCACACTGCAATGTGCAGATAGATTAATTACGCAATAACATTCATACATTTGATTCTTTAACAAAACTATCTGCATTTGAGCGAATGCAAGGAGTAAAACTACGGTATCTGCATTTGAGTGAATGCAAGGGGTTAGCCGTTACTTTATTCCCGTCCCTCCCCTTACCAACCTTAAAAAGAACAAAAATCACATCCCTCAGCCCAGAGGCTTCTGCAGCCACGAAAACGATGTTCTGTCATCCCAATGTCCCATAAGTACCCTGCTATGGCCATCCGGTTTCCATGGCTTATATCCCTTCTATGCATCCACCTAAACCCCATCCCCTTGCTGAATGCAGGTTAGTTCTGTACAAGCCAGCTCCGTGAATCTCCCCACCTGCGGCCCTGCATTCTCACGAACAAAATCCGCCAGAACCTTATCCGCACGGTGAATATCAAGCATGTAAGGAGGCAGGAATGGCCGTGTGTACCCTGTAAACTGGTGGAATGTAGCACCATTTAGTAGCAGGTCGTTGTACGATCGGATGGATGGCGTGTTGTCAAACCCAGCCGTTCGGAGACTCTTCTCCCCAAACCAGGGTGTGACTTCTTTCCGACTTTTGCCGGCAATGAAAATGTTTCGCTCCGACCTGATGTTGGCATACATCCGCCCACCAATGCAATAGTAGGTCCAGTTGGTGTAGAGGTTGTTGGCCACGTGTATTTGGCCCCAGCGTGCCTTGGGCTGCCTCTGGCCTGACTGGTCGAACCAGTTGCGGTAGATTGTTACCCGCATGTTGGCATCGTTCATGTCCCCATCGTCTGCTCCCAGCAGCATGGTGAGGTTCCTTCATGACAGGAAAGGTGGCAGGGGAGGAAGGGAAAGTGTAAGATGATGCACGAGCGTATAGACATACAGGTTTGATAGTTTGAGTGAAAACATTCTCAATGTCTTAACAGCCGAGTTGACACAAGCATGAAGATGTAAGAGGTAGAGTACAGACGCACTTGTTACGGATGTAGCAGTTGGAAATGGTGACATCTGTGGAGCCGTATACAACGTCTACAGTGCCCCGAATGGCGTTGTACACAGCGCAGTGGTCCACCCATACACGTGTGGAATTGGATATGTGGATGACGTCATGGTCGCCAGGAAGATTGCCCACTATGAAGGGAGTCAGGTGACAGAGGGGTGGGGTAAGGGGACGTCAGAAGGTTGACAGATGATCGAATAGCAAAGATGAAAGTTGACATGTCCGCCTGGTACACACAGGTGGAAAGATGAAAGCAATCAACAGAGCTTGAAGGGCTGGCGAGTGGACCCGGTAAGATATTTGACGGGATGGAGTGAAACCAATTGCAACAGACACAGGAGATATACCATTTCCACACATTCCCCCAAATCGCACCTGCCACATTGTGTATGATCACGTTGGTTACATTGTGCACCACAATGCCGCCGTTAATCGCCACACGTGCCCCCCGACCATCGATAGTGGTATGTGGTGGGAGAAAAAGGCGCTGCTTCAGGTTGATGAGCATGGACGACGCGAACCGGATCGTGACACCCGTTCGGCGGTAGCGGTTGAGGCCAAATCGTATCGTGCCAGGTGCGACGTTCTCGACCATGTCGTCATTGCTGGTAACCAGATATATTGGACGTTTATAGCCGCCTGGAGGTTGTTGACGGGAACAGAGAAAAAGGCAAGGAGGGAAAAGGTAGAGATTACTCACAATGAATCAGATTGCATGGTTAATAATGTACAGGAGATATGATTGTTTTAGTAACAAATCCCACTTGGTTTCTTGCTTCCCCATGTCACCTACGTGCCAACGTCATAGTCCCACCTAAGTTGGCTTACCTGTCACCCCTGCGAACTGCAGCTTACCTGTCACACCAGCGTGGCCAGCGTAGCCTACAGCACACCGATGCAGCTTGCTGAACGCGCCTTTTTCTCTGTACTGGCAGTCCACCACTTTGAACCGCGGCTTAGTTCGCGTCCTGTGGTTGCCCGCCTTCTGTTCGCCCCCATACCCCGTCTCCCCGGTTCCTCCTCCCGGAGGCTTCCTCTCCCTGCCTCCAGCGCCCGCCCCCACCACCCGCTTCCCCACCATGCTATTAGTACTTAGAAACATCATGCCAACGTCTCCTCCGCCGTCATTCGCGGCGGCGAATGCGCTGCCGCTGTCGTACCCTTGTCCCTTGCTGCTCCCCATGTCCATTCCAATTCCGGCCGTGCTCTCCTGGGACATGGTCTGGGCGACCGTGCCGTAGTCCCTCTCGTCCCCGTCCCCGCCTTCCACGTCCCCGCCAAGCGATATCACGTCATCGGCGCCTGTCGAGCCACTGTCGTCATCAGTCGTGTCCGAGCCGTCGCTGCTCATGTCATTCCCCACATCGCCACCGTCCAGGTTATCTGCCCCACCATCGTTATTCCCGCCCACTCCTCCACTTGCTCTGCCAGCTTCTGTTAATCCTTTTTCACTTCCGCTCGCAACCTCTCCCCCCACATGTCCGCGGGAGTCCTTGAAAGGGCTCTGCTGGTGGTCTGCTTGTTTCCGCGACTCCGTCAGCTGTCCTCGTTCCCCCATGTCACCCGCTGCTTGTCGCTTCCGCACGTCTATATATCCTCCTTGTGGCACCACCGGCTCCCCATACTGCGCCGTCTGCTGTTTCGGCGCTTGCCCAATCGTTTGCTCGCCTTTTCGTTGCCCAGCGCCTGTCGAGCCCTTTCTTCTTGCCACGTCTGGAGCGGGCGCGTTGGCGCTTGCGAGAGGCAGAGGCAGCACTGACGCCGGGGCTTGCGGAGTTCCGCTTTGCTCTCCGTTCTGCCCCGCTCCTTGCGCAGCACTCGCGTGCTCGAAGTTCTGAGCAAGCTCCTTCATTTCCGCGTCTGTGGCGGTATCTTCGAACAACTCCACCACTTGCTCCTCGCCGCCCTTCGTCTGCTGCACCTGCATCCCGGGCTGCGCTTCCCAGTCGCCCTCACCATCGTCCACGTAGTCATCACCACTCTCTTCCTCTTCTTTCTTCTCCGCCCCCTCAGTATCGCCGCCACCAGCCATTCCACCAGTTCCGCTTCCTGCCCTACCCTTCTCTTCCGCTCCGCCCGTCCCTTCTGGGTTCCCACTCCTCACCGTTGCCAGTCCTGCTGCGCCACTTCCATTTCCATAGTCAAATGCCTCGCTACTCCCCAATCCGCTTTGGTTCCCCTTATCGAACATTTTCACGGAACCGTTTCCATTGCCCTGCTGACTCGCCGCGCTCTCAATGCTCGGTGGGCTTTCGGCAGCCCGCCTAGCTTCCAGCGCAACAATATCTGACACTTTAACCCACTCGCCTTCCCGAACGGTCAAAGCGTCGTTCAAAATCACAACATCTTCCTGACGCAAGAGGCGACGAAACCCTGCGGCCTTGCCGACGCTTACTAACTGCGACGCCGAGCGCGACAGCCCGTTCTTTGGAGGCGACAAGGTCGCAACTGCAGCCTGCGAGGGGCAGGCAACGCCTAACACGACCATGAACACTGTTAGGAGGATTATAATATCGCGCATTGTTAATTTTCCGTGACGGCACAACCGATCCTTTCTCTTGTAGAGATATCGGCCTCGTGCGGGCGGCATGTGTATCAACCGTTGCGAGGCGCCTCGACCAAGGGTCATTGTGGCTCCTAGCATCTCGGCATGACTTCCCTAATGACTACGAAACAGTCAAAGAAGCTCTCGTATGAGTGCACTTCGAACCTTGACGCAGTAACAAACAAGGTGTGAGTGGTATTCCGCCTATCATCATGTAGCAGTCAAATAAGACGGTGTTGTGAACCAATCAAACCGCTTTGACGGGGAGAGCAGATCAAGAGGTGCTAGTCAGTAGCACGTGCTTGATGAGATGCGTGGTGATGGCTAGGGAGGGGAGGCGGCAAGGACAGTTTCCATCAAGTGTGTTCTGTAATGGAAATTAGATTCAATTTATTCCTGGTCTCCTTACATTGGTAAAAAGAAACGTGTACTCTCGTTTCCTGCGGCTTTGTAAGTTTTTTTTAGGCTTATAATCGTTTCTCGGGCAGAGAGAAAATTCCGATACGGTTTTGATGCTCCTTTGGTTACCCATCTGCAGCCGCGACTCGAGGCGTCAACAGGTGGTGCTCCCCTCCGCCCCCAAGCACTTCCCCTGTGGAAGGGAAGACGAGGCAAACCCCTGCTTGAAAATTGGTCGCCTCACGTAACCCCAAAATTAGGAGCTGAATGCTGCGGTTCGTGTGGGCCAATGCGAGCAGAGAAATTTGGGACCCCAGACGTGTCAAATCGGGATGCACGACAACCTGGTGAGGGGGGCAGACTAGCCTCAAAACAGCGCACGATGCGCTAGCATGAGAAAAAACACTAAATTAAAATATATAACACTACACTAAGCGGAACCTCTAGCATAATTAAGTAACCACCAAAATACTGCTTGAGCACATAAGAAATTTTAAAAGGCCTCCCAGAAGTTACAGTAAAGTCCTTAAGCTGAATTGGAGTTTTTTATATTAGAAAACATCAACCATTGAACAAGGTTGTAAGGCTATGATACAGCCCTGGTATACGGAGACATGCATGTAGTCTGCAAAATCATTGCAAATAAACTTCACTTGCGAGCAAGAATGAAGCAATTGAACATCAAAATTGCAGATAAAATCATACATCAGGAGCAACTGCCACAAGATAATCAAAGCCTGACTTAAGGTATACTTTTTCTCTTGACCGAACCTGAGTCTTTGCCATCTGTTGAAGAGTCAATGTATGCCTTCATGTACTTGTCTACTGTGTCATGTATCTGGACAAACACAGGGCAGAGCAGAAAAGACATAATCAATGAATGGCACGCCCTCCAAAGACGAAGGCGGAAGTTTTCTTGCAAGACGAGCAAGAAAGTGAAATAGTTAAGGCCAGGCAGGGCACTTGCAGCAGTTCCTGGCACTGTGTTTTGGTGCAAGAAAGCAATGGGTTGCAGCAAAATGGCATGCAAAAACTGCAAGGGTGGTAATAATGTTATGCTGCCGATACCCTCTCAAACGCGATGCCCTTACCGTCGACTTGAGTTGCGAAGTGAGGGAGCCCTCAGGGTCCATGCCACTCCCCGCTTCTCGCACACTCTGCATCACCTGGTGGATTGTGCAGGAGTTTGGCATGGCACAGTGAATGAGTCACAAGTAAACCAGCCGGGCTTGGCACAGAGTGATGCTCTCCTGGTCAATATAAGGTGATAGCACCTCCAATGTCATGGCCATTGGGCGCTTACCAGGACTACACAGGCACCATGATCCAAGACGTCAGGCTCGGCTGCTGCCACGACCTGCTGCATTGCTGCATGTGCAGATGCCATGGATTGGTGAGAGCACAGACCTGGCATTCTCTAGCCGCGCTGCTGACCCACCATGCCTCTGCAATTACAAACACAACCTGCTTGCTCACCTCCTCTGTGGCCTTGCGACTGATCTCCCGCAGTTGCTGCCGTGTCACCCTCTGCTTCTCCCCCATTAAACCCACCAGGGACGCCACATACCCTTCAACAGCTACTCTGCACTCAGCCACACAAACCCGCCGCTTGCCACCACCCATCCCCCCCACGACTGATCCACCGTCGTGCACAGGACACTCCCTCCCAGCACCACCGGCCAAGACGGGTGCACGTGGTGACCCTGCACCATTCCCCTTGCCCACTGCTTGCACACACGCCTGTGCCTGTGACCTTGTTCTCACACCACTCCCACTCACAGCCCTCTCCTCCTCACTCCTGCTCTCGCCCACGCCCCTCACCCCGCCATTCACATGGCAGGCTTGTCGTGACGCCTGACCACCATGGGGCGAAGCACTGCTGCCTGCCTGCATGCCCCGTAACCTCTTGTGTGCACCTGCTCCCATCCCATTCGCCTGCCCTGGGACTGCCTCCTCCTCGTCCTCCTCGTCCTCTTCCTCGTCCTCCTCGTCGTCGTCCTCGTCTGCTGTCCCTAGAGTCCCATCCAGGCCGGGCCATCTCCTCTCCTCCTCCCCGACCCTCGCTCTTGCCCAAGCCCATGCAGATGCGCCAGCCCTCACCCTCCCTCTCACTCGCCCAGGCCCACTCGCTCCGCCCTCCCACTCCCCCCCACTCTGCTGCCAGGTCCTGCCTCTGCTTGCCCGCATGCCGCCTCCAGCCCCATCTACTGCAGAAGCACCCGACTGTCGCTGGCTGCGTAACCGAGTGACCTGCTGCTGCTTGCCCTGCGCCACTGCTGCTGCACCCGCTGCTGTCGCAGCAGCAGACGCTGCATTGCTGCTGCGAGGTGCACCTGGGGACGGGAAGGCACCAGCAATGGGTGGCTGGCCTGCCTGCCCTTCACCTGCTGCCAAGGCCTGCAGGCACAGTAGCGGCATGGCAGATAACAGTAAGCACAGGAAGATGGGGAAAGCAGGGAAGGAGAAAAGGGAAATGAAAGGATGAAGAGGAAAGGAAAACGAGAGTACGAGGGGGAACTAAGACGCCTGTGTGACTTTCGCCCTCACCTCTGCGGCTAGTCTTGCAGCTGCCACTGCCACGGCAATCACTCTGACCGCTGCACCACTGCTTCCCATCCCCTCCGGTGCGCCTTGTTCAATGCTCTCACCGCACTTGACCGTGCCCACACCATGCGCCGTGCTTTCAGGTGCCTCCACTGTGAGCAATCCAGTGCCCGGTGTGCTGACTTGAGCTGCTGCTTCTTCCCTGACTGTCATGGTACATGAACCAGCAGTCGCAGTATGGGCAGCAGCAGCAGGAAGAGGAGCCGGGGGAGAAGCAGCAGCATCAATATGGCACAGCAAATGAGCAGCAGCATGTGGAAACAGAGAACTCCCTTTCGCCATCATCCCAAACCCCTTTCCATTCGTCATCCCATCCTCTCCACTCCCTTTCATCCCTCTCCCTAATTCGCAACTTGCTCCCTGCCCTTGGCCCTCGTGTGCTCCATGGCACACCTTACCACTGAAGCAGCCACCCGACCCATCACATCCACTTCCCTGCACCATGCCACCCACCCCACCTCCTGCCTGAACCCCTCCCTCACCTTCCACCCTGCTCGCTTCTTCTCCTCTTCCCGTCCCTCCCTCCTCCCCCTCTGCCAGCCCTCCTCCTCGCGAGCTGTTCTCATCTCCGCGCGCTGCCTCCTCTCCCTCCCGTTCTCCCACTTCACCCGCCCCTGCTTCACCCGCCCCCCCTCCACTCCCCCTCTCTGCCCCTTCCACGTCTCCACACAGCTCCACCCGATCACTTCTTGCCTCGGCCTCACCCCTCTCCTGGCCCTTGCCCTCTTCCCCCGTTGCACTTTCCCCCGCGCCTGCACGTGCACCCACACGCCCCCCAGCAGGAGGGGAGGAGGCAGGGGGGTGGCCCAGCGTGTGCCAGAGGCGCATGAGGCGCGCTGCCAACGACCGCACCTCCCGGCCCACCCGCGGCAGCGTCAGCAGCGCACGCACACTCACAGCCACTCCTGCACCCGTGCAGAGGCGAGGGGACGAGGTGGACGCCAGGGAAGGAAAGCGTGGAAACAAGGGCTCACTGATAAGGGAAGTCGATCTGACATGGCTGGTGGAAGGTACAAGGGGAGTGGGAATGTGAACGCATGTGCACGGGTGTGTGCACGTGTGTTTGGAAGTCTGTGTGCGTGCGTGTGCGAGCCCCACTAAGCCGTGACAAGCATGCATTGGCAAGGCTGACCTGAGGAGCGCACGCATCGAGGGCAGGTGGCTGCAGCAAGCAGCAGGCGCAGAGAGGCCGTGAGCACCTGGGACGAGCTGCAGTGTAGCGACTCCTGGTAGGGGAACGTAGGGGATTCAGTGGTGGGAGGTGGTTGAGTGGCCACACATGATCCAGGGAGCGATGATGAAAGTGATACTTAGAAGTGGCACCAGTTCCACCACATGCTCACACTCACACCGTTACTCATCCCCACTCTCCCACCCACACTCACATCCCCACTCAACCGCACACTCACCACGATCCACTCGCTAATTCGCTCCAGCCCCTCCCTGCTGCCCGCCACTGCCTCCAGCACCCTCCTGGGCAGCTGCAGCAGCTCACGACACACAAACACCCGCCCCCCCACCGTGTGCACGCCCCCCTCCCTCTCCACACTCCCTGCATGCCCGCCCCTCCCCTCCCCCACCCCCTCCGAGCTGCCTGCTGCTGCTGCAGCCATGCGCAGTCCACCAGACATGCGCAGCACAGCAGCCAGGGCCGCACCTCGCCGCAGCTCTCCCCGTGTCTCTCGCCTCCTCAACGCCCTCTCCTCGTCCCCACCCTTCTCCCCTCTCACACCCCCTCCCTTGCCCCCCTCCTGTCTCACCACCTCCCCCTCCTGTGTCACGTGCACGGCAGCACCCACTCCATCGCCCTTCCCCATGCCACCTACAACCACCCCCTGTTCGCTAGCCAATCCCAGAGTCACCTCAGTCTGACCATCGTGCCCTGCCTCCCCACTCTCCTTTACATCACTGGGCCTCTCAACACCCCCCTTTCCATCCCCAGCCATCCTCACCCCATCCTTCTCGTCCACCGCACTACACACCTCTTCACCCCTCACATGCTGCACCGCACTAACACCCACGACTTCGTTTCCTGGCCCATCCCTTGCAGTCCTATCCTGCCCTTCCGCCTGCGCACATGCGCTATGCCCTATGTCCAGGTCAGCCCACGCATGCCATGTGCTCGCCCTCCCCAACGGCTGTCTCCCCACCTGCTCTCCTGCATCCTCTCCAACGGCATCACCATTGCTTCTCACCCACCCACCTCTTGTCCCAGCCCTTCTCACTCCCTTCTCCCCATCAGCTCCCTCCTCGACTCCCTTCATTTCCACCCCGTTCCCCCACTCCCCCCCTTCTCTCTCCCCTCTCTCCGCAGCCCCCAGCACTTCCCTCACCCACTGCACCTCCTCCCTCTCCTCGTCCGTCTGCCTATGCGCCACGGCAGCAGCGGCCGCCTCAGCCTGCTCCCACACATCGCCCTCCCCCTGCAGCACGCCGGCAATCCTCACGGCCTCGCGGCGCCCGCTCAGCATGGCGCCACCCACGGTGTCGGGGTGCTCGCGGCTCGTCGCCTCCCCTGCAAAGAACACGCGTGCACGCACCGGCCGCGCCAGAAGGTCGTAGTCTCGCCCTGACGCCCCCACCGGCACGTATGAGTATGCTCCACGGCTGGCGGGGAGAACGGGCGGGCACAGGTCACAAATACGCCAAGGAAGAGGACGGGAGCGCAAAAATCACAACAGGGGTGAAAGGGAGGGATGGGGTGGAAGAAGGGCGACAGGAGGAGAGGGGAGATTGGAGAAGTACACGTAATGCGTAGAGTAGGAAGAGGAACAGCACGGTGTACCTGTAAGGGTCGGTGCCCCAGAAGGTGACAGCGGCGGCCTTGGGTTTGGGCACGTTGCGGCGGCCGAACACGGTCTTGAGCACACGCACTGCATGCTGCACCACCCGCTCCTTCCGCTGCCTCTCCTCCTCCGCCACCCCTCCCTCCCCCTGCCTCTCATCCCCGGCACCGCCCCCCTCCGCCCTCCTGAGCCGCGCACTCCTCCTCCTTGTGCGCTCACCCTCTTCCCCTTTCCCACCGCCCTCACCACCACTCTCCTCTCCCCTCTTCCCTCGTGCCGCCCCCCCCTTACCTCCACCTTCCCCCTTCTCCTTCCCAGCTCCATCCACCCCAGTCCCCTCCGCCACGCCATCCCCCTCCCCCCGGCCCTCCATGGCCATGGCAGCGCGCCCCACAACGAGCGCAGCTAGCACGGGGGCACCACAGACGCGCTGCAGGTTCCAGAAGAGGAAGCAGTTGCCGCGCTGCGAGGGGTGCGGGTGGGCGACAGCACCGAAGTAGTCGACATGGGGATCCCAGAACGCGCGCTCAAACTCCAGAATCACCTTGTTGATCGTCCCAAACCCCAACCGCTCAATGGCCCGTGCCTTCCATGCGGGCAGGGGCGGAGAGAAGGCCACGGCGCCCGCCTTGAGGCAGCCCAGAGGCACTGTGATGAGTGCTGCGTCGCACGGGAACACCTCTCCTGACGCTGTCGTCACATGCACTGCTGCTGCTGCTGTTGCTGCTGCTGTTGCTGCACCTGTAGTTGTTGCTGCTGCTGTCGCTCCATGCCCATTGGCGTGTGAGTGAGTCTCTGGTGTGCCTACCACATTCTTCTCAAGCTCCATGCCAGCAACTGCCTCCGCGCTGCCCGCCGCTGCCCCAGCCTTGGACACACCCACACTTGTGTGTGCCCCACAGCACCCCCACGGCGCACAGCCACCCTTCACCCCAGCCACACTCCCACACGGCGTCTCACCCCCTCCGCGCTCCACCCCTTTCTCCACCCCATCCGCCTCCCTCCCAACCCCAGCACCCCCCGCGCGCTCATCCCCCCCCCACGCGACCTCAGCAACGGGGTGTCCCAGGCGCACGTCCAAGCCCTGAGCCAGCTGTGTCATGGCACGCGCAAACCCGCCCTTCACCATGCAGTGCGGCCCGCCAAAGCCGCCAAACGCGTCGTCCTGGTTCCAGAACGGCAGCGACAGGCGCGTGAGGTCCGTGGCACACCCGTACTCCAGGTTCGCAAAGTGCCACCCCAGCACCCGCCGCTCCACCTCCCTCCTCTCCTGCTCGCGCCCATTGAGGCTGTGCCCGCTCTCCCCGCTGTCTAGAACGGCCACCAGGTCGGCAATGGACCGCCTCCGCACATCCCGCACCACCTTGCTGCTGCTGCCCCGCGCCTCCGCGCCCTTCCCTCCCCCCTCCCTTTTCACACCCCTCTCTGACGCTCGTTCGCCAGGAAGCCTGCCAGCCCTCACCGCCCCCCCTGCCTGCGCACTCGTTCCCCTCTTTACTGCTTCCCTGCCCTGCTCCCCATGCCCATGCCTCTCCCTGCTGCTCTCTCTGCTGTGCTGCTCTCTCTCCACCGCACCCCTGCTCTGCCGGCGAGTCACAGGCCCTCTCGCCCTCTCCTGCACCTGCTCCCCATTCTGCACACCTCCATTCTCAACTCTTCCTCCCTTTCCAGACTCCCCCGCCCCATGCACGTCCTGCCCCATCGCACTATCGACCTTCACCGCGCCCCGCTGCTTGCTGCTTCCACTCAACCCCGCTCCTCCATGCTCCCCATCCCCAGGCACCCCCCCTGCCCCGTACGCCCCTTGCTCCGCCTTGAGCCGCTCTGCGCGCCTCACTTGAGCCCTCGTCCGCACCTCCATGCCCCCTGCACCCCTCCCACTCTCCCCGCCCTTGTCTGCATCCCCACCCTCGCCCTTCCCCCCCTCGTGACTCGCCACCCCCTGCAGGTCTTCCCGTTTGACTGCTTGCACCGTCGACCCTGTACCGCCCTCCCTCGCAACACCCACTGCTCCTCTTCCTGCTGCCTCTGCCGCATCCCCACTGCCCGCCCTGCCCTCCTCGGCCTCGCCTCGCTTTGCCTGCTTGCTGCTCCGCTCGCGCGATCTCACTGCCTCCTGCCCTCCTTGCCCACCCAATGCTGCCACATGTCCTGATTCCGTTGGTTCCAGCCCTGCTCGCTTCCTCTTCCCCATCCACCGAAGCCCTTCTGGAGAGTCGCTCGTGGCGAGCACCACACCGCCACACCCCTCCATGCTCTCGCATCCTCCCACCCTGCTGTCCCGCGCATCTCCACCATCGTCACACACGCCGCCCTCTCTCTCCTCTTCCATTACAGACGCCTCTCCAGCCCCCTGCTGCCCCTCGCTCACCCCCACACAGCCTATGGAGGGGAATGCACAAGGCTCCTCGGCCCCACCCTCACTAGCACGACTCATCACACCCAATGCTTCGCTTTCACTCATGATTGCTGCATTCGCTCCCTCATTTCCTTCCTGCTGCTCCTCCTGTGCTCTCGCCTGCCCCTGTTGAGTTTCTTCCTGCCCCTCTTGTGTTTTGTGCTGCCCCTCTTGTGTTTTGTGCTGCCCCTCTTGTGTTTTCTCCTGCCCCTCTTGTGTTATCTCCTGCGCCTCTTGCGGTATTTCCTGCCCCTCTTTTGTTTTCTCCGGCCCCTCTTGTGTTTTCTCCTGCCCATCTTGTGTTTTCTCCTGCCAATCTTGTGTTTTCTCCTGCCCATCTTGAGTTTTCTCCTGCCCCTCTTGTGTTTTCTCCTGCCCATCTTGAGTTTTCTCCTGCCCCTCTTGTGTTTTTTCCTGCCCCTCTTGTGTTTTCTCCTGCCCCTCATGTGTTTTCTCCTGCCCCTCTTGTGTTTTCTCCTGCCCCTCTTGCTTTGTGTCCGGCCCCACTTGTGTTGTCGTCTCATGCCCGTCTTGTGTTTTCTGCTGCCCACACTCCTCTCCATCTGCCTCCTCTTGCACTCTTCCCTCCTCACCTGTGCCTTCCCTCTTCATCTCCGCCCCCCACTCGCTCCTGCCGTCCCCATCCGCCATGCCCAACTTCCCCTCTGCAACCTCTTCCTCCTTTCCTTCTCCCCTCTCCTTCCCAGCCTCTCTTCCTTCCACTCCGTCTCCCATCCCCTGTGCCTCATTTTCCCTGCTCATCTGCTCCACCCCTCCAACAGCCCTCTCCCGCGGCTCCTCTTTCATCCCACCGCGCTCGCTCATCCCCACCACGGCCTTAACTGCAAGTCCATCACAACCCCTCGCTACGTCCTCTGCAGCAGCAGCGCCGTGCACAGCAGGCGTAGCAGCGCCGTTCCACTTCCCGCCCGTGATGATACTCAGTGCTGTTGCTCCCCCCCCACACAAGGCAGCATCAAACGCACCACCGCCGCCACCAATATTGTCCCCATCGTTCTTCTGCCTGCTAGACAAGCTATCCCTGCGCGCCGGTTCAGCCACCATCCCCTTCATTGCGCCTCTGCCCGCCCCGTCCCTGCGTCTCTTCTTTCCACCAACATCCTCTGCGCATGCTTCCTCTCCACCACCGTGCTTCGCCCCCTCCCGACCACCCTCCACCACCACCCGACCACGCCCCTCCCCATCCACCCGCACCCTCTCCAGCCCCTGTCCCTCCACCAGCGACCCATGCATCCCCACCAAATTCTCCCGCCCAAACGCCTCCCCCAGCGTCTGCATGACGCCCTGAGCCATGGACATATGCACAGCAGCCTGCCCCTGCTGCGCCGCCACCCCTGCGAGATCATCCAGCAGGCGGTTGAACTGCCTCTCCACACGCGCATCCACATCCGCTGCCACCCTGCCCCCGCGCACCGCATCATACAGCGGGCACGCCTCTCTCAACACCACACACGGCAGCCCTGCCTGCTGGCACAGCAGCGCGGAGAGGTCCGGGGGGAGGTTGTCGTGTAGGTCAGGGGCGGCGCCTGTGATTATGCTGGCGCCCAGGTCTACTGGCACGGAGAGGGAGGTCCAGTCCGTGTGCACGCGCCCGCCCACGCGCTCCCTCGCCTCCAGCACCACCACGCGCGCCCCCAGGCGCACCAGGTGGCGCGCTGCCGTCAGCCCTGCCGGCCCCGCGCCCACCACCACCACCCGCCGCCCATGCAGGGGGGGAGCAGGTGATGCGGAGGCTGATGGTGCTGGGGACGGGGTGGTCGGAGGCTTGTGTGCTGGTGGTGCGTGGTGTGGTGGGGATGAGTGGAGTGCAAGGCGTGCTGATGGCTGGCAGTAGCAGGGGGCGGGCGAGGTGGGCAGGTCTCCAGCCTTGCAGAGATTGATGAACGCCTGATGCGCAAGACAGGGGTGGGCGAACACAAGGTGGGTGATAGAAAGGTCGGCAAGGGGGCGAGCAGAGGGAGAGGGAAAGAGACGTTGCTCTGCTGGTGCACACACACGAGACTTTCTTGAGGTTGTGTCAAAATCACGCTTGAGCTTGTGGTGGTGATGCACAGAGGAGCAGGAGCAGGGATCCAGCCAGGTGGAGAAGAGGCATAGCAGTCGTTGCCACAGAGGCAGCGGTGCCATGCCATGCATAGCATCGCACACACGCACCCACCGCAGGCAGCAATGGTGCAATCATGCATGGAGCCAATGGAGCAGCATGCGCAAGAACGCCACAAGAGCACGATAGCAGGCAGCAAGGTGACTCGCCAGGGCGAGCGTGTAAGCACCACCCCCCACATGATGAGCAGGTGACTGCCATGCCTCGTCCCCCTTATGCGTGCAGCACGCACCTTGTCGTTGAGGAACGTGTACACGTGCCGCATGACGCCATACCATGCGGGCTCGCCCGGCAGGGGCATGCAGGGCACGCCAAAGGCCGCGAGCGGCAGTGACTGAGACACGTCCGCGTACCACGCTGTCAGCACCATGTTGCTGCCGCGCACACAGGGGAATAGGGCAAGCGGGACCGGGGTTGGGGGACGGGACACAAGGTCAGAGGAGGGGGACATTGCGAGGGGGTTGGGGGAGGAAAGACAGGGTAAGGGAGAGCAGAAAACAAAAGGGATCTGAGACAAGGAAACGAGGGCGCTTGTGGCACTCCTGAGTGGCGTCGACAGTAGGAAGCGTGAGGAAAAGGCGACTGAGCTACAGGCGTGGAGAGGCGGCAGTTGAGTGCAAGAGAGCACAAGGTGGGCGCGTACCGGCACTGCAAGTACCCGGCCATGGCTCCCTTGCGCCGCAGCAGGTCCCTGAACTCTAACCGCTCCAGCGCCAGCAGCCCCCGCGGCTTGAGCCCCACGGCCACCGCTGCCTGCTCCCCCAGCTCTGCGGCAGCAGCCGCCGCATCACTCTCCCCCCCACCACCTCCTCCACCTGCTGCCGCTGCTGCTCCCGCCCCTGCTCTCCCTACACCCTCCTGGGCAGACCCCGGCCGACCCATGCATGCTTCGCGCTGCCACTCTCAGCAACGAGCGCGCGGAACGGGGTAAGGTGCAGAGCAAGGTGACGGGAGCCCGGGGAGCGGGAAGGACGGGGAGGGGATCCTGGGGAAGGCGTTCCTCGTAGCGAGGCTTCGCACGGATGAACGCTGCGGCTGGTGACTAAAAAAGACGATAGCTACGTCACGGTGGGGGTGCAGGGGTGCTTCAGCACAGGCCTTGGTTGGAACGGGCGGAGGGGAGCTGAGGACTCACGAGGGGAATGGGGATAGGCGGCAAGAGAGGCAGAGGAGATGACGGATGCAATGCAGGGTTGGGGTACGAGTCGCGTGTGACGGACAGAAGTAGGGGAGACTGGGGGAAGGCAGGGACCAGAGGATGACGGCTAACGGAGAGGCTCCTGGAGATTACAGGGATGTCTACCAACGCAATGAGCCGATACTGCGGGCAGTGCTCGCCAGTTACTCGGAACTAGCTGTGGTCACGAAGACTGTGAATGCGCTGCGGCTTGGAAGCTTGCGCACGTACATACACATGTTCTTTTTTACCGATTCAAACCTATCAGTCTGCCAAGATTGCAGGAACTACGGGATTAGGGTTGGACCAGGGTGGCTGATTAGGGTTTAGCTGTGGGAATGGAAAGACATGGAGGAACCTACCGTACGACGTCCCTGTCACCGACGGGTTCCGTAATGTCAAAACGTTACAATAATTTTCTGTCTCATAGATCCTATTTGTAGTCGCTTAATAATACATCAACATTCTCCAATCATGAGACTAATATTATTAAAAGCTGTTACTAGACAAATATAACTTGACGAGGTATGACGAATGTAATACCAACCTCATACACAACAAATCAAGCACTGCCAAAACAATGGCCGCATTTGCAAGCACCAACAGCACCAGACCAGCATGTCGCAAGTAAACTTGTACAGGACCATAGCTGCACAACGTGGCATAAGGGAGGAATGAAGGGAGTGAGGAAGCAAGAGATGATGAGGGGAATGGGAACAGGGGAGTGGAAGAGAATAGGGGCATTAAAGATATGGAAAGCTTGAAGACAACAACAGGTCTGGGTTTCATAACAGAAGAAATGAGAGGATGCAACAATGAAGTAGGCAGATTAGCGACTTTTGGGTAGCTAACAACGAGAGCTCTTACCTAAGAGTTTCCACCCAGATCCTCCCTTGAGGTTCTACTGAGCATCGTGGACATCAGCTCCGCTGCTCTGCTCCTCCGCATTTCCCACCAGCTTCACAATCTCCTCCTCTGCCCCTTCTTGGCTTACAGCCCCCTCTGCCTGTGCGGCAACAACCACACTCCCACCAGCACGCTCTTCCTCCTCCGTTCCAGTTGTTGCCATCTGCTGCACCTCTTCCCCTCCCAACACCGATTCACCTACAACCTCACTCTCCCCAGCTGTGGCCGTGTCCTGATCAGCGGAGCTGGACGCAGGGGCATCATGTACTGCCACTTCATCACCCTCAGCACCATGTGCCTCAAGGGAGTCACGCACAGCAGGTGCTTGCAAGGCAGCTGCATCATCAGCCGCTTCTCTCTCCAGCTCCTCGCCTCCTACGGGCACACTTGGAGATGCAACTGCTTCTGCTTCATGTACATTCTGACCATGCTCGGCAGCATCAAGGGTGTGAGCAGCAGAGGCCTCTGATAGCCCTGCTGCTTGCTCCTCTTCCGCCACATCCGGCTCTGTCTGCTCGAATGCCACTGCTGAGGTGGCCATAGCAACATTGGCAATGGCAGCCTCACCAGCGGAAGCATCAGCAGCAGATAAAATGTCATTAGGGGCAACAACCTCAGTGCCAGAAACAGCCACATCAGCAGAGACGTTAGAAGCAGCAGCCACATCAGCACATCCATCAACAACATCCGCCACATCAGCAGAAGCATCACCGGAATCCGCCACAGCTGCTGAGGAATCAGCCACATCAGCAGAGATAGTAACTGGATCAGCCTCAGCTGCAGCCACATCAGCAGAGACATCAGCAGCTTCAGCCACGTCAGCAGAGACATCAGCAGCTTCAGCCACGTCAGCAGAGACATCAGCAGCTTCAGCCACATTAGCAGAGACATCAGCAGCTTCAGCCACATCAGCAGAGACATCAGCAGCTTCAGCCACGTCAGCAGAGACATCAGCAGCTTCAGCCACATCAGGAGAGACATCGGCAGCTTCAGCCACATCAGCAGAGGCATCAGCAGCTTCAGCCACATCAGCAGACACATCAGTAGAGACATCAGCAGCTTCAGCCACGCCAGCAGAAGCATCAGCAGCAGGCACCACATTGGCATCCGCAGACTCAACAACATCAGCAGCAGCTGCCTCCTCGGCAGTGATAGCAGAAACATCGGCCGCATCAGCAGTAACATCGATTGGAGCTGCCACTTCCGCAGTGACATCAGCAGCATCCGCCACATCAGCAGCATCTGCCACATCAGCAGCAACCGCCACATCAGCAGCATCCGCCACATCAGCAACATGAGAAGCAGCCACCATGACAGAATCGGTCACACCAGCAGCATCCACAGCATCAGCAGAGATACTAGCAGATTCAGCCACATCAGCAGCATCCACGTCATCAGAGACACCAACAGCAGCTGCCTCATCAGAAGAAACACCAGCAGCAGCATCAAGCACATCAGCAGAAACATCAGCAGCAGGCACATCAGCAGGAACCACCACACCGGCAGAGATGCCAACAGGATCAGCCACATAAGCGGAAACGTCAGGAGCATCCGCCAGGTCAGCAGAGGCAGCAACAGACTCAGCCACGTCAGCCACAGCAACTACATCCTCAGAGGCATCAATCGGCGCAGCAGCATCAACAGTCTCAGCTGTTGACAGCAATTCTGCCTCTGTGTGTTCATGAATTGGGTCCTCCTGGCGTTCAGTGGGCGTAGTACTGGCTTCGGCACTGTCAACAGCAGCATCACTACCTGGAGGAGACTCAACAGCTGCATGGGAGGCAGCAGGGATCTCCTCACACTGGCTCTCCTCCTGCTCTGACTGTGTCGGCTCAGAAATCGCAGCAGATTCAGTGTGCGTGGCGACAGCAGTGACCTCTTGAGCATCATCAGCAGCAAGAGGCGGTTGTGGCTGTCCCGCAGCAATATCCACTGGCTCCAAGTCGCTTGACATGCTTGTCTCCTCTGCTGTGCCAACCTCAGCCACAGCTGGAATCGAAGCAACTAATTCAACAAACTCTGCCTGTGCTTCTCCTTCTGTCGCTGCCACAACTCCTGCCTCTCCCTGTGCCCCCCCTTCTGCCTCTGCAACCACCTCTCTTTCTGCATTTTCTTCTGGCTCTGCCTCCGCCCCTACATCTGCCTCCGCAGCTGCCCCGGCCTCCACCTTCGCCTCCGCCTCCGTCTCTGCCCCTGCATCTGCCTCCGCCTCTGCCCTTGCCTCGGCCTCTGCCTCTGCCTCTGCCTCAGACCCTACCCCTGCCTCTACCCCAGCCTCTACCGCTGCCTCCGCACCTGCTTCTGCCTCCGCCTCCGCCTCCGCCTTCGCCTCCGCCTCCGCCTCCGCCTCCACCTCTGCCCCTGCCCCTGCTTCTGCCCCTGCTTCTGCCCCTGCTTCTGCCCCTGCTTCTGCCCCTGCTTCTGCCCCTGCTTCTGCCCCTGCTTCTGCCCCTGCTTCTGCCCCTGCTTCTGCCCCTGCTTCTGCCCCTGCCTCTGCCCCTGTCCCTGCCCCTGCCCCTGCCTCCACCTCCGCTTCTGCCCCTGCCCCTCCCTCTGCCCCTGCCCCTGCCTCCGCCTCTGTTCCTGCCCCTGCCTCTTCCTCTGCCCCTGCCCCAGTCTCTGCCTCCGCACCTGCCCCTGCCTCCGCCTCCGCCTCTGCCCCTGCCGCTGCCTCTGCTTCTATTCTTCCTACACCATCGGCTACATCAGGAGCCTTTTGTGGAGCTGAATCATCACCCTCCGCTACCGCTTGCAGTGGTGCATCCTCGTCCTTGCTTCCAGTCTCAACGCTTTCCTCCACCTTGTCATCCTCCTCCTTCGCCTCGTCCACCTTGTTGCCCTCGCCTCCATGGGCGGCCGTCTCTTCCTCCCCTTCCTCTACATTGCGTTCATCTCCTTCACTTGCTCCCTTATTCGGCTCTCCTTCACTTGCCACATCAGCGTCTAACTGCTCTTTCTTCTCACTGTCCTCTTCCTCCACCTTCTCCTCCTCGCACTTCTTCTCTCCCTCAATCTCTTCTCTCTCATTCATCTCTTCGACAACTGCCGCAACTGCAGGAGCAGTAACTGAAGCAATAGCAGCAGCAGCAGCATTACTCACATGAGCATCGTCAATAGCACCAGCATCGTCACCAGAACCAGGAACCGGCGATGCAGAGGGAAGGGAGGACGGGGCAGCAGGAGCATGAGGAGGGGAAGTGGGAAGGGCAGGCGGGGGCATACCGTGGGCCATGGGGGGTGGACCAGAAGGAGTGGGGGGAGGAGGCGAGGGTGTTTGAAGAGGGGAGATCTTGGTGGTGCTGTTGGCTTTGGCAAAGGCAGCAATGGCACTGGAGAGCACACTGTCGTTGGTGAGCGGTGGCAGCATGATGATCTGCTCGCGCGCTGGCTCCTCAAACTCCTCCTCCACATGCTCCGGCTCCTCCTTCTGCAGAGCAAGGGAATGTGAGCAGAGAGATGGCGCAGCAGTAAGCACAGACGATGCGGAGTGGCACACACCACAACGAAGGATTACGAAAAGCAGGATCCAGGCACATGCGATGAGGCCGCAAGGGAAACACACTCATCAGGAACAAAAACATGAGGACAGCAAGAGGGGGAGAGTCGTGCAAAGGAGAAAACAGGAGATGAAGAGAGTTTCTTTGGCTCCTCACCTTCTTCCACCAGCTCCACGTGCTGCTGCTCCTTGTACGGCTCTCATCCGCCCCTGCTGCTGCAGCAGCCATGGCTGCTGCGACGTGAGCAGCATTGGCCACAGCAGCGCCCACAGAGCTCGTGGCTGATGGCACCACCACTCGCGCATTTGCCAAGCCAGCAGGCAGAGGCACACCACCGCTACCACCACCAGCACCACTGGCTGCACTATGGCTGGAGTCACTTGAGAAACCCCACCCACCCAAACTAGCAGCAGGAGCAGGCGTGGGCGCAGGAGCAGGAGCAGGAGTAGGAGCAGGGGCAGGAGCAGAAGCACGAGCAGGAGGAGCAGTGCGAGGAGGAGCCGAGGCAGCAAGGGCAGCAGCAGCAGCGGCGGTCTGCGCCTGCCTGGCCTGGTTGGCTGCAATGATAGGCTCGTGCTCTGCCAGCCACTGCCGCACACGCTTTTGCTCCTTCTCCTTCTCCTCCACCTTGCGCCTGCACTCCTTCGCCTCCTGCAGTAGGGGACGAAGATTGCAGATGTAAATGAAGGACAGACGGTTTGAGCTGGCACTACAAACGTGCGAGCAGCAAAGTGGAATATAGGATTCGGAATGGAAGTTCATGTTCAGAGAGGATACTGGAAAGAACTCATTCAAGCCATAACAGCGTTCTCCCCACACCATGTCCCAACACACACAAGGCCGCCCTCCACTGCCACCATCCACTATAACCCATGACCCACCTGGTAGAGCTCAGGCAGGCGCTGGCGGCTCTTGGTGAGCGAGCTCTGCGTCCAGATGAGCTGCTCGCGCATCACACGGATCTCATCCAGCAGCCGCTTCCTCTCCTTCGCCGCGGCCGACGCCGCCGCCACCGCCGCAGCCTCCGCTGAGCTTCGCCCCAGAGAGAAGATCGACCCACGCGGCTTGGCAGGCGCACCGTCTGCCGCCACCTGCGCCATGAGGTACGGGTAGTCGCGGTCAATCTCCCTCAGCCGCAGGCTCTTCACCTCCAGATCCGCCTTGATCACATTCTCCGTGGCCTCGAGTGCAGTGATGCGCCCCTCCACCTCCTCCGCCTCCAGCATCTTCACCTTGGTCTCCTTCACTTCTTCCGTCAGCTCAGCAGCCAGCACGGACGCTGTGTTGCGCAGGGCGTCCACCTGCTGCACCATCATCTCCGCCTCCGCCACTTTAGCCTGTGCCGCGCGCAGCTCCCTCTCCACCTCCTCGCGTGTGCGCCTCTCCTTCTCGCGCACGCCCTCCACCATGGCGTGCAGCTTTTCCGCCTCCTCTGACCGTGCCTTCGCCTCCTCCAGCTCCCTCTCCAGCTGCACCACCATCTCCGGCCCTCCATGCACCACTGGGTCCCGCCCACTCTCCCCGCCCAAACCTGCGACCCCGCCCCGCCTCACTGCCTCCACAGTCGCGCGTGCCGCTGCAGCATTGGCAGCAGCCGCAGCAGCTGCAGTGGCTGCCGCTGCGTCTGCAACGCCTGCAGCACCCACGCGTGCAGCTCTGTTCTTCTGGCGCCCTTTCTCGGCCAGAGTCGCCTTGGTCTGCACCCACCGCACCAGCTGCCTCAGGTCCTCCTTCACTATCTCAATCTCGGCCGGGCCTATCTTATACTTGAGGTACGTGGCTCCGTTGTTCTTCGCCTGCATCTGCTGCTCCTTGATCAGGCGAGCGATCTCATTGAGCAGAGAGAAGAGGTTGCGCTCCACTGCGCTCTCCCTCACCTTGGCCTCCTCCACCATGCGTGTGGCCATGATCAGCTCGTCCTCGTGCATCTCTCGCGACCGTGACACCAGCTGCAGCAGCACGCGCCCGAACGCCACACGCACTGTCAACCGAGCAACCTCTGCCTCGGCAGCCGTGAGGGCGAGCTTGGAGTTGTGCAGGTTGAGGCGCATCCCCTGTGCCTCGCGACGCATCTCAGACAGCTCCAGCTTCAGATTCACCTGGCACACCTCAGCGGATGGCTCGTGAATCCCATCATCCCCATCCTGTCCGCCTGCTGCACCCCCCTGCTTGCCCTGCTCCGCACCTTCCTTCTTCCCGGCCCCATCCTCCCCTTCCTTGTGCGCCCCCTGTGCTGCAGACCCGGCACCGGTGCCACCAGTGCCAGCATTGCCTCCCTTCTTAGCCAGCTCTCTCTCAAGCTCCTTCTTCGCGCGCTCAGCCTCCTGTCTCTTCCTCCACTCCTCCTCAGCCACGAGCCCTGCCTCCGCCGCCAGTTCGCGCTCCTTCCTGAGGTCCTCGCTTGTAATTTCCAGTTCACGCACAACCTCCTCCTTCTCCTCCTCCAGCGCCTCCACCTTGGCCTGCAGCTCGTCGCCCGCGTCCTTGAGCTGCTGCACCTCCACGCGCGCGGCCTCCAGCTCCATCTCCAGCTCCTCCACCAGGGCCATCGCGCCTGCCAGGTCTAGCTCCTGCCTACCTTCTGCAGACGCACTCACACGAATAGAACGTGACTTCAGCTCAGATGCATCCTTGAACCTACTGTCGCCTTCTGCTTCCTTTCTCTCCCCATCTGCCACCTCCACATCCTCCCCCTCTCCTGTGCTAGCAGGCTGGTCAGCAATGCCACCATCTTCAGCGCTTCGCTTTCTGTCCTCTTCATTCTTCCCATCATCGTCACCAGTGCGCTCAGCACTATCCTGCACCTCTCCCTTCCCAGCCGCCACAGCTGCTTCCAGAGAGGCCGCGCGTGCCTCTGCTGCCCTCAGCTGCCCCTCCAGCTCCTCCACGCGCCGCTTCAATTCCGCCTCCGCGGCCTCCCCAAGCCCTCCTGCCGCATGCTCCCCTCCTGCCACTGCCACTGAAACCTTTCCAGCTTCCCCTTCTCCTGACCCTCCTTCTGTCTCCTCTGCCTTATCCAATCCTTCTGTTGAACCTGACACTTGCGGTGGGACGTCTGCTGCCCCTGCATCAGTTGCCACCTGCTGACCCCGCTGCCGCAGCTCCTCCACCTCTCGCTTCGCCTCCTGCAGCTGTTGCTCCTGTGGGAAGGACGGCAGGTTGGGGCAACGGAAAAAGCAAAAAGCGACAGGGGGAAAATGGAAAAAGTGGCGGCTTGAATAACGTACGGAACACACTAAGCGCCAACTGTAAACGCAGAGAACAGAAGGGTGGGAGAAAGGGATGGAAGAGGTAGTTCCGGCTGGAGGGGAAGGGCGGGAGCAGTGGTGTAATAGGAGACATTCAAGGTTTTTCAAATAGCAGAAGGAGCAAGCACACTGACCAGGTGCTGGCGCTGCTCTTCCTGAGCTTCTGCTTCGCTCTCCCTCTCCAACTTCTCCCTCGCCATCTCCTCCGCATGCTCCTTCCAGTCGCTCACCTCCTCCCTCAGCCGCGCCAACTCCTGGTTCACAAGGAGGGACACGGGTGGCCAGCAGCACAAACGCATGCACATACATTCGCACACGCACAGAAAGGAGAGGAAATACAGAAAGGCGAGAGGAGAGTGCAGGTTGAGCTAAACGGCAAGCACTTCGCCACTAGCGAGCTCTGTGGTGAAACAGTTCAAAGATGAGATAATACCACGTGCAGACGAGCGCAGGGCTGGGCACTCACTGCTTCAGCTGCCTTCAACGCGGCCGTTGAATCACCTCCTGCTGCTCCATCGTCCACACGTGCCTCTGCCAGCCCTTCTCCCCCAATGGCCTGCTTGCTGCTTTCCTCCAGCTTCTTCTGCAGATCCTGTGAGCGAGCACACATGTGTGAGATACGACAAGGCTTACTGGTTGAGCTCTGCCGAACACATACAGGGCACGGAGCCGGGTGCAGGACGAACGAGCTCTGTTAACAGAAAAGCCAAGTTTGCGCTGCAACTCGGTACCTTGACGTCCGCCTGTAGTTGCTGCATCTCTGCGTCCCTCGCTGCCAGCTGCTGTTCCAGCTGCTGCTGCGCTGTTGTCGCCGCCTCCTTCACTCTCTCCACCTCCTCCTGTGCAACGTAGCACGGACACACAATCAGACAGCACACAGACGCAGAGCATGCTCATAAGTGATGAGAAGAGGGAACATGAACAGGTCTAACCACCCTACACGGTACACATACCGCCACAACCAGCATGTCCATCACTACCACATAAGGCACTAATGCGCTCTCCGTATCCTGCCGTTCGCAACGCCAGCAGGTCACATCCATGCATACCAGACCACCGACAATGTGAAGCCTTCATTCTTTATATATCCTCCATTCTTTACTGTGGCTCATCTGTTCCATGCCCGACGACGTCCCTGAGCATCAAATAGCACCACCCTTCTGCCCGTGATCCCATGCGTTCTCCCTTCCCCAGCCTACATCAATGTCCTTTCACGGACAGAGAGAGCAAGGCTCAGCTACCCAACGCTGAGGCCCTTTAGCCATCAAACACCCGTCCTCTCCCTTACTCCATTCTTTTCCTCACCCTGAGTCTCACCTTCATCTCTCCCTCTGCCTTGCGCAGGGCCTCCCCTTCAGCCAGCGCCTCTTCCAGCTGCACGCGCACAGTATTCAGCTCCCCCTGCGCGGTGGATAACTCCTCCTTGGCTGCAGATAGCTCCCCCTGCACGGCGGACAGCTCCTCCTGCAGCGCACTGAGCTTCTCTTGCGCCGCACTGACCTCCGCCTGCGCCTCACTCAGCCGTCCCCGCAGCGCTGCAGCTTCCGCCTCTGCTTCGGCTCCTGAGCGCTGAGTAACAGGAGGAAAAGGAGAAATTTCAGAAGGCAGTGAAGGAGATGTAAGCTCACTACAAGAGACCTGAAAGAGCTGTATCTTCCCGCATCACTGGGCAGGCTCCTACCGAGCTTCACAGAGCAAATTCAAGGTACTAAGACCTACAATGCGGTTGTGCGTGCACCGAAAACAATTAGCTAGTGGCAGGCACTCACCGCGGCCGCATCCTTGGCTTCCTGCTGCTGCGTCAGCTCCTTCAGCTGCGCCTCGAGCCTTTCGTGCTGGCCTCGCAGCTCCTGATACCCACGGCAGAGGGGGAACGAAATCAAGGGAGGAAACGGTTCCGTTAGCTTAAGTGGGAAGCACGGAACTTCAGCACCCGTAAGGTGTGGCACGCACAATGAGAAAGCACGAGGCGGAAAGGGTATTGGAAAAATCATTCAGGGAACAGGGAATACCATTCCTGCTGTTCACAACATAGCCAAGTAGGGATGAGAGTACGCCTCACCTCCAGCTCTGCCTTTGCTTTCGCTGTCTCCTCATGAGCAGCATTAAGTTCCTCCTTGTGCTTCTCCTTCTTCTCCTTCTTCTCCTTTTTCTTCTCATCCTCCTCCTCTTCTCCACCCCCCTTGTCTTTCTTCTCTTTCTTTTCCTTTTTCTCCTTCTTCTCCTTCTTCTCTTTCTTTTCCTTCTTTTCCTTCTTTCGTTCCTCCTCGTCCTCTTCTTTCTCCGGCGGGTGGGCTTCATGGTGCTCGCCAGCGTGCTGCAAGGCATCAGCAAGCAAATCCACACGCATGGCCACCGCACGAGGAGCAAGAGACATGGTAAACAGACGAGCACTTTTGACAGCCAATCATTCGTACACAAGCGCGCAGAACCCAGCGGCAATTTCGATGACCAAACAAAAACATCGAATTGGGCCCACATCACACGTCTCGGCCACGAACAGAACTCGCATTTGCGTGCTTGTTATAGACACACGGAGTCACATCTTCTTGACCAAGCGACGGACATGAGCACGCGGTTCATCCTTATTTTTTCTCATTTTGTTATTACAGCAGGATGGATAGTGACAAATTCCTACCCGCAGGTGCACTTTGAAGGGATTGGAAGTTACAGCCGTCGAGGCATCGGCTGGGGCAGGCTCGCGCGTTTTGTTCTGCTTGAAGGGAAAGTGGTAGGATGTTTTGGGGGCAATGAGCGGTGGCTTGGATTAGTGAAAACTACCTTACGGAACGAATCTCTGCAGTTACTACATACGCGGCCCCTTAACTAATTGCGGTTAGCGAAAACTATCTGAAGGAGTGAATCTCTCAGCAGCTACTTCCTATGCGATTGCGGTTATCACATAAGCACGGGGAGAGAGAGCCATCGACGCAAAAGATTTGTAGAAAACTTCACCGGAAGAAGGGGACGAGCGGAAACTGACGGACAGAACTATCTATTATTGACTCGATACGATGCAACGGGTTTTGGCCTGGAATTTTTCCGGAACCAGACAGACATGACACTATTCTCACTTTGTGCTGCGACAAGAAAAGCATATGGCAGCACTAACGCCAACTCACGTGACGTTCCTGACAGCGTTGACTCGAGAATCAATGAGGAGCAGCAACGTTGTCTTACCTGTCGAAACCGAGCGAGAAGCTCGGAGACCCCTCCTTCACCCCCATCCTGCCGTCGATGTGACGAGGAGGGGTGAGATTGGAAGGGAAAGAGGAAAAATGCGATCTCATACTTGCTCGCTCAGAAGGATAATAGTGGGGAAACACGTGACGAAAGGTTGAATCGTGTTTGCACAGGACGGAATGATGTACCAGCAATGGCTCAATACTATGACTAAGCACCCAAATGAAGAAACCTAAAAAGAAGGGAACGCCTTTCAGTATACGGCAAACCCACTCACGGCACTATTATAACGGATGTTTCCGTATTCTCACCATGGTAAATCACTTTCTGGAACCCAGCGTGATTGGCTTGTTGAAAACAGATGACAAAGATAGCGTTCGTCAAGAAAATGAGCAGATTAATCGCCGTTGTGGACTTGCGTACGTTAACATTAGCTTTGCGGTAACATGGGTGGGATGCTAGATCTGCTGTGGAATGAAAGGTGTGAAGGCTCAGCTAGCAAGGGAGTGGAATCGCCACAGCAAAAAAAATCCCCTCCCCATCCCTGCTTCTGCTTTCTCCATCCCATCATTCATTTCCCGTCACTCCCTTTGGCCCCGCGTCAGTCTCTGGGACGATGAGAAAAAAATTTGCACGGTCGTGCGATACTCCCGCGCTTCTGACAGGTCGACGACATCTTACAGAAACCGTAGCTTGGCGCTGTCGTTCTGAGCTGTGCTTGGCTGGGTTGGGGCGACGGCCAAACGACGGTCAGAGGCGAAATGGCTCAGCCAGTGGCGTACCGTGATTGGCTTTCGTTCTGTTTTGGAAGCGGCTTGTGCGATAGGGTGCGACTTTGCGCGGGACAAGGGTGCCCGTGTGAAGAGGTTGCCTTGCCAGGAAACTTGGGGCTGAGATGGCAGGTCCCTGACCTCGACATTAGCTTGAAAGTGTGCTTTTGATTGTTGTCTTGACTTCGTTCATTCAAAATTTCACTTTTGCGCTACCTCCGCCAGATACTCCAGTTCTGATTCAAAACACCACATGCAGGCAGTCACCCTAAAGGATGAATCCCCATGCCAGTTGCATTCGGCTAAGAATCAGAGTTATGTTATACATCTACGTACAGCTATCAGTCCCACAAAAAGCAACACAACACATGCACAACCTAGTAGCACCCTCCTATTACAACAGTGCCACTAACAAAAGAATGCTTCCCATCACGCATGCCTTCTGAACATAAAGGCTATGTCATGTCTGTTACGATGATCATACTACCACTGCCATCACCCACTTGGCCAGCTCCTGTTATTCAGGGGTAATGACTTCACCCCCATACGGTATGACTGATTATGGCCCAGGTCAGAAGCCTCTAGGCAGCACACTGACATGACAATGGTCAGTGTGGAGATGAGGTGCTAGGAGAGTTGGTCCCCTTGTTGTTTCGCTGCTTCTAAGCATTCTTTGGCCCTCTGCACCTTGCTTTGAACATAGAATGATCCCATCTTCTCATTGCGCTCAAATAGCCGTTGGTACTTCTGCCAAAAAACAACGCCATTGCAAGAGAGAACATTAAAAGGCAATGGTGGAGACAGGGCTGTTGGATGAGGAGGCCCTGCACATAATCTCACTTCTTTAATCACTCCCCCTTCTCCCCCAAAAATAAAACGTGAGAGAAAAAAACCCATTTCCTGCCAGATGTGTCTCTCAATCCCTTTCTCTTAACATACCTCCAGCACTTGCTCCCAGGGCGTCTCCTCAGTGACCCCCAAAATCATCCTTGCCTCCTGGATTGACATCACTTTGGATAGCCGCCGTGAAGCCGTTGCTGCTGCTTCTTGTGCCACCCCGCTGCGAGAAGCATCTGGACGGGCGAGAGAGACCAACAGCCAGAAACACAGGGGTCACGCAGAGAAAATTGCAGGGGGGAGAGTGGGACGTGAGGGCTGTTCAAAAAGAATTTGCGTGAAGCTGGTACCACTTGCCAATAGTATTGAAGAAAGGCGGGTTGAAGATGCCGCCAGCATACGCTGGAAAACAAATAGGATGAACTTGACTGATACACCAGCAAAGAGCCTGCTGCTGAAGGCCGCACTAGTGTGCATGCGGCATGGTTGACCAGCAGGTGAAGTGCAAAAATATTTGCCCTTGCCAGCCCGTAAGAGTAATCATCTGGCGAAGTCTCTGTGGGCTAGGTGCTCCTGCTTGTGCATTCACTCACTGGTGAGCGCTTGCTGGTAGGCCTGAGTGAACGCCCGGATGACAATGCCTGAGCCCAGCACTATTAAATTTGCTATTATCTTTGCCGCCTGTGGGAGAAAAAACGGCGACATTTAGAGCAAAAGAAAGGGATGAGGGGAGCTGTGGGCAAATGGTATGGGGGACAGTGTGTAGAAGGGAATGGCACAGGTCGAGATCTAGCCTGCCCATTTCCATGCTTCTCTTCCTATGTGCTTCGGCTGCTTGCGCTGCTTGCGCAGTCTTGAACTTCTGTTTGTACTACTCTCTGTAACCACGTAAGAATACAAGAAAGGATATCGTGGTAAATGAGTGGGTGGGTGGGTGGACGTGCGTGCTCGCAAGGGGTCGAGAGGGATAACTACGGGAAAGAGGGAAAGAGAGTGGGGAAAGGGTGGTGCGGAAACGTGCGGAGAAAAGAAAAGTATGTTGGTACGCAGACGACGCGTCCAATTAAGCCTCGTACGACAGCGCTACTCACTGATTCGCCTGATTCACGGTTAAGCTACTGCTGACTTCAACAGGCCACATCCCGAAATCCTCATGCTGACCAACTAAAGAACTCCTTCATACATACCATGGGGGCAGCGCACTCGCCGTCACGGCCACACGCAGCGTAGCCAGCACAGAGGTGTGCCGATACCGACTGCCTCCCTCAAACAGAGTATCTAACGACGTAAATCCGATCCGATCGTTAACGCTCAACGCCTGTACGAAAGCTTTATTCAAGTGTGTCTTCGAGGAATGACAAGGGGTTCCAGAATCAAGCGCTTTGGACTAAGCGCACAGCGTACAACAGACGCTTCAAACGACTGAATTTCTCAACAACACGGTTGCCGGTCCCTGCATGCACGTAAGTTCGGGAGATTCAGCCGCAACACTCCACCCTTCACAAACTCACTCGTGGAAGGGGTCTGTCTAACGTGTGCACTCAGATCGCTCAAAGCGTGGGAGGACTAGACATGCCAGACTCGAAGCAGCAGCCAAGACAGTGCGGGTCGGAAAAGCGGAACGAGGGGTTGAAGGGCAGATTCTCGTAAGAAGGATGGATGCTAACTTCGACCCTAAGCCTAAGTCCGCTGGAGTGTTGGTTTCTAGAAAACTAGAAAGCGTGCGTTTTGCGCCAATAGAAGTGGGCAGGTCATGCCTTGTGGGTTCCCTTGGCACCGTACGCTTATGATTTGTACCGCTCAAAATGATATATCAACCGTATGTTTACGCTTCGGTGAATCATAATCTTTCCCCCCTCCCCATGCCTGCCCTTTTCTTTGCGTGACTGGACTCGGCTATGCTTGCCAAAAGGAAAGGCTTGGTGGAGGTCAGGCTCCAAACCAGGCATGACGTGTACCGCAGGAACCGATGGCTGGCGATGATTGTTCTTCCGAAGCATTAGGGGAGCTACTAACGAAGAATGAGGGCTACACAATACCACTTCAATCATGTTTGAGTTTGTATACACCAACCACACAGAACTGTTCAGGTCTAGCCACACAACACATCAGCCAAGTACAGAAAATAAGAAAACTAAGACAATCTAGCAAATAAACAGCAAGACAAGGCTTTAGTGTACATAACAACATCAAGATTACAGACACATGCCCACAACAACACAGCAGAAAGGGCAGGGCAGTACCATGCACTGCTCAGCAAGAACCTGCAGCTCAGTCACCTTTATAGAACCACTTTGCTCGAGTGCACTAATTTGATACACATGCCTCATTTACAAAATGGGCTCCGTTTTAGCCTAAAAGACCTACCAGCCAGGGAAGGCTGAGAACTGAGCGCGCAGGAGGTTGTCGAGCTTCAACCGATGGCCGTACCTGGAGAACTCCAGTAGCAGAAGATTCTTCCTCACGTGTCTGCTGTAACCTGTCCTCAGCCGCTGACACCTCAGCTTGTTGCTCTTGACCACTTAGCCCTCTTGCCTCTGCTCCACGGTGCTCATCTCTTGTATGTAGACTGCGGACCTGCCTTCTCCCCTCCTCCCCTCCTTGACCTGTCAAGCTCCCCATCAGCTGCACCTGCTCTGCCACCCCTCCCCTATCAGCCACCTGCTCTGTCCGCTCCTCATCCTGCTGTATCGTGTGAGGGACAGTGGTTGCTGGCGACGTCGAGGGATGGGATGACGAGTGATGATGAGCAACGAGTGTGTGCTGTGGGTCATGAGCACGGGCAGATGATGGCGATGGAGCAGCGGTTACCTCAACAGTTCCTCCATCTAATCCTCCTCCTCCTGCACCTTGTCCTTCTGCTGCTGCCTCCATCGCTTGCACTGCAGCTGCTCCTGCTACCGCAAGTGGTCGTGGCAACATTGCTGCTGCAAATGTTGCTGTTTGTTCTTGTTGCTGGGAGTGTGGGGGTCTGTCAGGCACCATTAACGTGCGGCACAGAGGACAGGAGGAGCTGCTGGAAAGCCACTCGTCGATGCAATACTGCGCATGCGGGAGAAGGGATAATGGAGAACGCGGATGGGGCAGCAGGGACAGGCAAAAAGTATAGAGATACTATGATTGCAATTTTCTGCATGACCCAAAACTCTACCTAGATTTAACACTACTTCACCTGCAATGCAATGAGATCCATAATTCAGAACATCTAATCAATCACCAACTACAACACGGCTGCATTGAGCTGACCTGGTGGAAGTGGTGGTGGCATTTGTTCAGGGTGCGCAGCACGTCGCCCTCCACATACTCACTCAGGCACACGGCACACTCGCCCTCCTCACAGCTCACTACCACCTCACCCTCACGCCCCGTCCCATCTTCCCCTGCGCCTCCATGCCTCATGCCCTCGGCTGCCCCTTGCTCCGCCGCCCTGTCTTGCTCCTCGTGGCAAGCGCCGTCGCACGCGCACCTGCCGTGCTCCCCTCTGTGTCGGCCGCGGCCGCGCTTGCATCTTGCCTCTCGCACCCGCACATCGATAGCCACACGAGACCACCCACTCCCCATCACGCCGTCTTTCGCGCCTGTCAGCCCGTCAGCCGCCCCTGAGTGCAAGCCTGCCGGCTCTCTCTCTATCGCTCGTGCTCCCATATCCTCAGCTCTTGTTCCTCGCGAAGCCTGCATGCCAATCGCTGGCTCGACTGTCACTATTATTCTCCCGGATGAGTTCAAATCCTGACTAGCCACCAACCCATCGTGGCCCTCTCCCTGCTCTCCCATCTCCCTTGCGCCCCCCTTCTCCGCCTGCTCCTCCGCCACCTCCCCCGCCCCACTCTCCGCATGGCGCAAGCTGCCCTTCACGCGGCTTTTACTGCGCTCGAACACCGTGAGAGCGCCCAAGGAGTTGATCGTCGCGACATCCAGTCCAGACGACGCCCGCCTGCAGCCATGCCCACGGCCACCGCGGCTATACCCTCGGGCGAGCCCAACGGCCCCGATGCGGTACAAGTGGTCGTCGGCCAAGGCGTCCCTGAATCCGTGTATGTCCAGCAGCACGTGCACCCACTCGCTGCTCTCGTCCCTCCGCCCTGCCCTGCCGCCACTACCGCCGCCGCCGCCCCCCCCGCGGAGCCTCGAGTTCGCTCCGCGACCCGTGCCCGCGCCTCCTGCTCCACCGCCGCTCGTCGCGCTGCTGCCGCTGCGAGCACTGGCAGCAAGGAACGCTCCGCCGGCATTCTCTTGGTTTTCCACACGCCTTCCTTCGCCGTCCAGTTGCGCCTCCCAAATGGTCAAGCAGGAGATGCGTAGGCGGTAGCGGTAGCGATGCAGGAGCAGCAGGAAGACGAGCAGCACGAGCACCAGCACCACCACGGCTAACGACACCTCGGGAATGACGTGCAGCGACGATGACGGCGCATGAATGGGTTCAGGGGGGGTTCCCCCGGCTCTGGCATCTGCAGGGGAGGAGAAGACCTGCGCCATGCCCCCCCCGTCCGTCGCGGGGTACGCAGCCGCCGCGCCGCCGTTGCCGCCGCTGCCGCTCACCCCAGGGCTGTTAATCATGGCGGAGGCGTTGAGCCCGGCCGCTTCGGGATCGTCGGACCAGAAGACGGCGCCGGGAGGCTGCGGCGCGGCTGTGGCGGCTGAGTCGGGACGCGCGGCGATCGGCACGCTTGCTGCCGCCATCGCTCCGTTGGCGGGGGAAGGGAAAATCTCGAGGCCGCCAACACCAGGGCGCGGGCAGAAGTTGCGGGGGAGGGGGAGGGGGAGGGGGAGGGGGAGGAGAAACGAACACAGAGAGGCGCCGGCGAAAAGCGGGGAGAAAGATGGTGGATGGGCGGAAGAGGGAGACGCAAGGCGCAGCGGCGTGAAGGGCTACAGAGGTCGTCGATCTACTACAGTGCGCATTCGCGCTGACGCCGTCGCCGTCATGGCTCGAATTTTGAGGAACAAGACGATTTCACCTGATTCGCGGCGGACAAAACGCTGCGTGCGACGGAAACTACCAGAAGCGCGCTTGAAAACAGCCTGCGAGTGGTAAGCCGGCGGGAAGCCGAGACTAGCAATCAGAGCAATGCTTTTATCGCGGGTGCTTAGCCTCCTACTCTAGCGTCGACATCGCCATGAGCGCCGTCCTCCTCATCGCGTCGCGCAGCCCGCGGTGTGCGTGGTCCGTCCTTCCACATGAAGCCTTGAGGCTTCGAGCCACCAGGTGCGTGTCGCGCGGACACTGTCGCCCCTCGCCGCAGCAACTAGACGCGGACCAGGGGCAGCTGCTATGAAAACGCTATCTTCTGCTCTCAATCCCCCGCCGAGGAGATTTTCGTGCGCCCTGGTAAGAGCTAGAGCTTGCAGCAACCGAGCCGCTGCGGTACTAGCAGAAGAGTTACTGGTACTCGCTACTGTTGGCTCAGCTTGCACGGCTCGACTCCCATTCCCCCCAACCGCACCCTCTGAAAGTGTTGGGGTTATTGTTGCGTCTAATGCTGATGATGGTACAGCGCCGCGTCATAGCTCTGCCTCATTGTTACTTGATCTCATCATCCCCCGCAATTAGATTTACTACGGCACTACCCGGTTACGCGGCGCCGTAGCCCTGCATAGTTGCCACTTATTCCGTATGCCTACGAGATCTTTTCGGACAGGAGGGACAGGGAGGCGTTTGATGTGTTCCAGAGACAAGTGGGTCTGTCACCGTGACTGGCGCTGTATGCGCATGGATCTGACGGCCTACTGAATCAGGCCAGGAAGGGTTATTTTGGGAGGTTGGAAGGGGAAGGGCCGATTCAGCGATGCGCGTTTGAGCATTGCAATCCAGATTTTTCAGGTGGTGTTGGAGCTCTCCCATGACGATTTGTTGAAACACCTGTCGCACCATTCACGAATCACGACTTGGTTGGTCCTACTGCGGATGTCTGCTCGGTGCTGACTGAACCTCCAGGTGCTTCTAAGACTAATAATCCTTCATTGGTATTTGTGTATGGGTAGACCGATGGTGCCAATCGCCAACAGCTACTTTGCATTCTTCGTGTTCCAATAGCTATTGTAAAAGCTATAGGTTGGCAACAACACGGGCGATTTTAAAGAAATGTCTCATTCTAAAAAGGTCCTAGCGATATGGGTGCTCAGAACCCTAATAGATGCAAACAGCCCTGCTAGAATCAAGCGGGTGGGAACTGGGTTTGATTGGGACGTTGTCTTGTCAGGCCACGGAATCACTACGGCACCTCGATTGCAACCCAGCCCAAAACATGCGATGGCCCCAAGATTCTGTACTACACACTCCAGAATGTTGAACGTTCAGCAGGAGTTGAGTGGGCTCTCACATCCCGTCAGATAGCCGTGTACTGTATTTGACGGACTATACAATGTTAGACGAAACCCATACTGCACCGTGCATTTCTGACGGTACTGATTGTGCGACCAACCCTGAAGACTCTAGGCACCCCAATCCCCCAACCAAGCGTGTTCACGTTCTCGTTAGTAAGTCAGCAAAAGATTCATTTACCAGTCTTCCAAGGTAAAACATTGATACTGCATCTACATACTCGAATATGAGAAGAACGAATATGACATTGTTGTGTAACTGTAACTATACATGCTTTCTATATCGATATAGGCACGTTCGAATGGTTGATTTGTAATGAAAAAAAAATCCAAATGTTAAAAAAAAAAAGAAAACCGCGATAATTCTAAAGGATGTCAGTCATCTTGGAGTTGTTGATGGAGGAGTGCATTAAGAAGCATAAGTATTTTAATATGTGCATGTAGACACTGTGGAAGCTTGTGCGAGGCTTGATAAAACGCTATTCCGTCAGCAGCTCCTTGCATGACGTTCGTGATTGTCAAAGCAGCTTCCGAAATAATTTAGGAGGCTTCGACTTCGGTCAAAGGGGCAGATGCAAGTTTTGTGCCAGTTGCAGAACAAATGATGCCAGCGCATTTATCGTCAACCAATAACGTACGCACACTCAAACACAGCGCCTCGCCCTCGTTAACACTGACCTGGCGCATGATGCTCGCTTGTGTGGAAATCTGGAGCAAAGAGAGGTTCAAATACACGAAACACCAGCTATTGCGGGATTTGTTTTCACTTCTGTTTGTTGGTTCCGAGGTTGTTTGTGAGAACGGCTGCCATTCCACCGATATTTGCGACTCGGGATAAACAATATTTTTCACTTCTGTGCATTTCCTTTGAATAATCGTGAAAAAAAAAACAGGAAAAGGTGACTTATGAACAAGTATAAGGACGTGTGTGAAATTGGATGGAGTTCGTAATCGGGGTCGAACATTGTATGGTTACCCTATTCGCCACATTTCGCCTGATTTTTCGCCAAATCCGAAAGTATTACCACGTTTGGGAAGTGCGAACCCTCAATTGTGAACACGATAGGGAAGAATTATCAAACTTCGGCAAACACAAAGAACCGAACGTGTGTGGTGTCAACCACGTACGAGGTTCCAGCGAATCTCGCGACTCTTTCGTGCGCCAATGAGATCACAACCAAGACCCTACACATTGCTGAACTCGCTGGGCCCACCACGTGGCACCCGACGTGCCACGATGGCCGGTCATGCGCGCGTATCTCCCGGGGCACACGATGAGGCCACGAAATCCCGCCAACATTCCTCACAACTCCATCGACCCCCAATTTCTCCCCGACATCAACCCCTGAGCATTAAATAGGTGGTATAGCACGCTTTCACACCGTGCCCACAACATAGACAGTTTCAATCATGTCAGCCTCTCAAAATGAAGCCACTGCAAACCCCGCACATACAAATGCTCCAGTTGCTTCCCCCGTACCTGCGCGCCGCCGTCGACAATACTACCGCACGCAGGTTAGACGTGATAGACCTCGATCAAGTCATAGCTCGTGTCCCCGCACACAACACCCCTCTTAACGCCACCGACGACACGCTCTCTTATTTCGACGCTGGTGAGGTCGACTGCGACGTCGAAGACATCGCAGACGATGACACTGACCCTGCTACCACGTCCGACCGGCCTCGATGGGAACCGCACGAGGTGATGCAGCTGGCGTGGATCCGCCACGACTACGACGCGCAATGGCGCAGCCAGACCCGCCTGCAGGGGCAGAACCGTGATGTCATGCTATTCGAGAAGCTCCGCGAGCGCCACCCCAACTTCAGGCATAACCAGGCCGCTGTTAAGGCCAAGGTTTTCAGGATGGAGGCGCAGTATCGGCGGGTGGGGGATCTCCTGCTCAACGACTCGGGCAAGGGCAAACCCCCGAAACTCCGCATCTTTTATGACATTTTCGATCGCATCTTGGGCGATCGCGCGAATGCACGTCCGCCCGCACTAGCAAGCAGCCTTCCTGGAGCTAATGTGGTTAATCTGCCTTCAACTGCTCCTGCTGCCGGTATGTGTTTTGATGTGCGTTTTTTACATCACATAATCCCCGAACAGCCTATCTCGATTAAAGGTGTTAGCTACATGTGTTACATAGCTATTAACCTTCAAACCGAAACCCCACTAACTACTACTGACGCATTATCTCCCCTTTGTCCCCATGCGGCTCTACTACCCATCGTCTTGCATGTCGTGCCATGCAAGCTACAGCAGGAATAACCACGGACGTGCACACGGCGGCGTCGGCGTCGCCAAGTCGGCCGAGGGGTACAGCCCGCCCGGCATCGCGCCAGCGCAGGCCTTCAACGCCGAGTGGGTCGCCTTCGAACGCGCCGCTCAACACGGCCCCAGCGTCGGACGACGAGCCCACAAATGCTGCCGCGGCGGAGTCTCCTGCCCGTTCACACGTCCTCGGTGCGCGCACGGGAGCTTCGCTCCGTGGGCGTGGCGTCAACCGTTGGCCTGGGCCTGCGGCTGCGAGCGATACAACCACGGCAAACGACCCGGGAGCACACGCATTAGGGAGTCTGATGAATGCTAGTGATGCGTCGTTGTGCAGGGAAATAGCCGCGACCATTGCGACGTCGGTAAACAGTGCTATGGCGGCTCAATTTGCTCTGTTTATGGAACGTACCCAAGAGTTGGTTGCGTCTGCTCAGGATGCCCCAGCCTCCAGGAAGCGTAGAGGCACGCCGCCATCCGAGCGCGACGACGAGCAGGAGTGAAGCCCTCCTCCCGCGGCAGGAAGTGCGGCATTTCGGCGGCGGGGCCTTCCTGCCACCACGTGTTGCGCTCGCGGAGGGAGAAGTCGGGGGCGGGGGCCGAGGAGCAGATCGATATTGTGCAGCACGATGCAGGCGGAGACGTACTGCGGGGCGCGGAAAATGTCACACTCCAGCCGCCCGTCCAGCATCCGCCAGCGCGACTTGAGCCTGCCATTCACCTGCTCAACGATCATTCGCGCGCGGCTCTGCTGCAGGTTCCACACGCGCTGCTCGTCCGATAGTCCGCGGCCTGGCAGCGCCCTGTAGGGTGTGTGAATGTAGTCACGTAGTCCGTAGGCAGCATCGGAGACGATGACGAAGTCGTAGAGGCCTCCTAGCTCGATCTTATGGCGTGCCGGACTGTGCTGGAAGACCCTTGCGTCATTGACGCTTCCCGGCCATCCAACGTAGAAGTCATAAATGTAGCCACTGCAGTCACAAATTAGTTGTGCTATGATGCTGAATAAACCTTTGCGATTGCGGAAATCCTCGCAATGAGGCCCTTGTCCTTGGCAGTGAATATAGGTGCCGTCCATGGCACCGACGACTCCTGGAATTCCCGCTTCTCTTCGAAATTCCCTTTCGAAGACTTGACACATTTCAAAGTCAGGCCAAATGACCCACTTCTCAAGTAAGACCCTGTTGACGAAGTCAAGAAACTGTGTGAAAAGTTTCTGGGCATGTGAAAAGGAATATCCAAAGTGCAGACCGAGTTGACGGAAGGACAGACCATGACCGAGACGGTTAAGTCCCATCGCGATGAAAATGAAGGAGAACATGGGCTGCGTGCGCGAAGTGTTGTTCGTGCGCTGGTACTGGCACACGAGGTAAATGAATACACGGTCAACGCGCATGTACTCGTAGAACTTGTCCTCGGGTAGCAGGGTAATCAGCTTGAACCACCGCATGCGGGCATCCTGGCGATCCCCACGGATGAAGACGCGGGTCTGTCGCAGAGTGAAGGCAGCGACGAGGGTGGGGATGGCCGCACCAATGGCAGTGAGCGTTGGGAGTACGAGGCATTGCAGATATCCTTGAACAACAATCCCGAGAAAGCGCACGAGCTGAATGAGAGTCATTGTGCGTTGCTGACTTGGAATGTTGTTCATTCGGGAGATATTTGTATCGTGCACAACCACCCCTTCTGCGGAGTTGAGCTGGAGGTCTAGGGCTCACTTTTGTGTGCAGCGCTCCGGTGATGTGTCGCGCTGTGGTGTGATTGAAACCGGGTAACCTACAGTCCCCCCATGCGGCTCGGGTCCCCCCTTGTGAATTCGAACTTGCAAATTCGCACCTACGTGTGTGATTGTGAATCTACAAGCATGCTCACCAGCGGTTCGAACATTGCCACAACTCAAAATCGAGTCAAGTTCAGGTTATTAAGACCTGCTAAAATCGAGTCAAAAACATGAACTTTCATAAAAATTAATTTCACACACGTCCTAAGTTCGTTATTCTACCCACGAACCACACCAAGATTGTTTTTGCAAGATCATGTTTTTTTATTTGTGTTCAAAATTAGGTATGTCTGAACGGTTGCCTAACAAATTTTGGCGAATGCTCCGTTTTTTTCACCCTTGCTGACTTGAGGAAATATTTGACACGCTAATAGAATTTTACCTTTCCATGACGTCATCAACTTCGCCTTGGATACTTCTTGTTCCATCGAGCTGGGTAATGGTGGCCTTGATTGGGAAACCAAGTGGTCTCTGCCAAGGGATAGAAAAGGGAACAGCTTCTCACTGATAGCTCATAGTTATTTTTCGATGCCTTACAAGTTACAAGAGACTTCCAAGGCGTCGAGTTTTGCGAACTCCTAGTTAGACGCCATGCCAGGCGACTTACCAGGTAAGTTACAGGGTGCCTTTTCGGTTCACATTCGATTCTCGTAGGCCTTTCAGAACTTCGCGTGGCCTGCTATTCGTTGCATACCTTATGACGTCGTCATAGGTCTCCTCTCTCATTGCCGTATTCCAACGTTTCTTTGTCTCCAGTCGCTTCAGGTCATGTTAGCGAACATCCGAGCGACGCAAGGCATCAGCCGGCGAACGGTAGTGCGATGGAAGCAACTGGAGTTGGGACCAACGGAAAGGACGTTGAGAATGGCGAGAACGACGCGCTTAAGAAAAACGGGAGTGTTTCGGAGAAACATCTTGGTTCTAACGGACACTTGCTCTTGGAGGAGGTGCTGGAGACTGCTGACGTGGCGACTTTGACTCACGCGCAGCGCAAGGCGCTGGTAGAGCACGCGTTAAACACGCTCGACCAGGACAATGAAGGGTTCCTTTCCAACTTTGCCGCTAGACTCGAAAGGTTCGTCGCATGGCAGCAACCCGAGATGTGGATCGTTCAGTCATTGAAGATCGCATGTACACCGCCGAGCCGCAAGAAACTGGTCACGCGTTCGTCATTAGGCAGCACTCGTTCCGAATGTATTTGGCTTCCGCGTGGTTCCCATAACAGTTCCCGCTGCGTGCTAGGCAGCCTAACTCTCATAGTGTTCCGGTTATCGACCTTATTGCCAGGGTCGGAGTCTCGATTCCAACGGTGGAGGTGCGCTTCGAGGACATTCACGTGGAGGCGGGCGTGTACGTGGGCGACCGATCCGTGCCTACCCTGCTTAACTACATGCGCGGCGTGCTCACCGTGAGTCCTTGCTTCCGTCACTCCCTGGTTCCGTCATTCCCCGCTTCGTCATTCACTGCTTCCGTCACTCCCTGCTTCCTGGGCGTCACGGCCTTTACCATGTTGCCTCTCGTCGCTGTTCCCGCATCAACACAGCCTCTTGGCCATTCTCGGAGGTACATCACGCTCCACCTATTCCCCGCACAATCCTGATGCACAGTGGCTGATTTTAATGACTGCCAAGCCATTGTACCCAGCGTGCTTTTCCCCCTTCGCAGGCATCCGCTTAGGCCGCTCATCCGCAAAACAACCACTCGTTCATTACAGCGTTCTTCCTTTTCGCTTCTCCCCTTATTCCGTTCTCCCCTTGTCCCCGGTCTCGTCGTGGCCGCATCCCGTGCACCTGACCTCAGCAATTGCCCCGCGCGCTGCATCTACTGCCAGACTCGCGCCAGCGCCTTCCCATACTCAACGGCTGCTCAGGCATCCTCAAACCAGGCCGGTACGAAACGTTAAAATAATAGCGCCTTGCAACCCGGGCAACTTTATTTGGCTGCTACAAGCGCAACTGCCTCAGTTCAGAAACATATCACAGAGCACGGCCGATCACGATGCCTTGCGTGTTCATCCTTCTCCCCTCTTTCTCCCCGATTTCCCCCTTCTTTTGTTCTGAACGGGTACAGGCTGACTCTGCTGCTTGGCCCTCCAGGAGCGGGAAAGAGCACTCTCCTGCAGGCACTGGCTGGCTTGCTGCCCAAAGACGTTAAGGTAAACGCCACTGCTCTTGCTCCCCATCGTCGTCGACGTCGTCGTTGGCGGCGGCGGCGGCGGCGTCATCATGATGATATTGCTACTTTCCGTTGCCTTCACGCAGACCCCCATACACAGCTCCTCGCCTTCTTTTCACGTTATTCCTTTCGAGTTCCCGCATCATGTCGTACTTTGTACCGCCTTCTGTTCCTCCACTCCTCTGCACCAGCAACCACCTGTCATCATAGCCGCTCATCTTTTGCGTCCTCTCCCATCCTCTTACCTCGCATCACCTGCCACTCGTTCCTCCGCTTCGTCCCGTCCGCTTCCCCACTCCTGTCCCTGCGTGTTGCCTCCCTGCCTCGCCCCCCGCGCGCGCTTATGCGCGCCAGGCGTCGGGCACGGTGACATACAACGGGCACGAGCCGAGGGAGTTCTATCTGCCGCACACGGCGGCGTACGTGCCGCAGACCCAGGCGCACATCGGCGAGATGACCGTCAGAGAAACCTTTGACTTCGCGGCGCGCATGCAGGGCCCCGCGTACCGGAAGGGTGAGAGCCATGGCGGTTGGGGGGCTGGAGCGAGCTTGAGAGGCGCACGGTGTTGTGTGGGCGGTGCAGCGGTGGTGAGAGATGCAGGGTGACTGCACGTGCGGTGGTGGTTTACTGGGTTATTTACTGGTTCCCAACCCCGCACGCATACTTTGCATGGCTGTTTATGCATATGGCTGTGCTGTGTTTGTGGTGCATGTATATCTGATGTATATTCTCGTGCGTTTTCGCGTGCAGAGCTTGTGGCGGAAGTGGAGGAGAAGGAGAAAGAGGCAGGCATAACACCGGATCCCATCATGCAACAGATGATGAGGGTCAGTTGTCCCCTTATTTCACCTCCCCAACCAGCCATCTTCCATTTCTTTCGCTCCCCTTCCAAAGCCCCTTCACGATCCTTTTCATCTTCTCCTACCCGCTCCCGTTCCATGTCGATTTACCCTCATTTTCCGTCCCCTTTCCCCTCTGCCTTCCACCGCACTCTGCTCCCTGTCTGCTTCTTGCGATTCTCTCTTGCTTGCGCGCATGCTCCTCATGGCACGGGCGTGGTGGCGAGCAGGCGATGGCATTGGAGGGCAGCCTTACGAGCGTGCTCACGGACTACATCGTCCATGTGAGTGCCGCTGCTCGGGGAGAATGGGAGGCTGGACGGTGGGGGTTGCAGAGTGCATGGTGCAGGGTGCAGGGTGCAGGGTGGACGGTGCGGGGTGGGGCGTGGGGGGAGGAGGGTGGAGGGTGGGCAGCGGAGAATATAAAGTTATGGGAAGATGGGGAAACGTGAAAGTGAAGAGCACAGAATTTGAAGCAATATGGTACTAGGGTTATCACAAGATACTCACACACACGGCCGTGGTTGAAATGGCTCACGCCCAGCACCCTAATCCTGCTCCCACCTCCCCGCCAGTCCCTCGTCCCCCGTTCCACGCTCTCGTCCTCGCCTGCTGTTTCATGTTCCTCGTGTTGTGTGTGCCGCTTACTTCCAAGTTTTATCTTCTTGCACCTCTCATCCCAGTTTCTCCGTCCAACCAATCTTCCACCCTCCCTCCTCTCTCACTTGCCTCGTTCCCCTCACGCCCGCACCCTCGCCCCCTTGTGCGTGTGCGTGTGCGTGTGCGTGTGGTTGAATCAGATCCTGGGGCTGGACGTGTGTGCGGACACGGTGGTGGGCAGTGCGCTCAGGCGAGGCATTTCGGGCGGCCAGAAGAAGCGAGTTGCCACTGGTACGCTCACCTTCACTCTGCCGCACCGTGCAGCACTGTGTCATGCTGTGGCCGATGCAGTTCCAGCCACACGACCCATGGTCCCACGTCCCCTCTGGCCCCAAACTCACCAACCCGCCCTCTACCCTCACTCTCCCCGCCCCTCCCCTCTCGCCCCATGCGTGGCACCAGGTGAGGCGCTGGTGAGCGCGAAGCAGGTGCTGCTGATGGACGAGATCTCCACGGGCCTCGACTCGTCCACCACGTTCCTCATCACGCGCTGCCTGCGCCACATCTCGCACCTGCACCGCGCCACCACGCTCGTCGCCCTCCTGCAACCCGCCCCTGAGACATACGAGCTCTTCGACGATGTGCTGCTGCTGGCAGAGGGCCACGTGGTATTTCACGGCCCGCGCGTTGAGGTGCTGCCCTTCTTCCGCTCGCTGGGCTTCCAGTGCCCGCCCAGGAAGGCCGAGGCGGATTTCCTGCAGGAGGTGCTGTCAGTGAAGGACCAGGGGCAGTACTGGGTGAACACAGAGCAGCCGCACCGCTTCATCCCCGCACAGGCGCTCGCTGCCGCCTTCAGTGACACACAGCGCGCCAAGGAGCAGCAGGCTGAACTCTCCGTACGTGCTGTGCCTGGTTCCACCCGTATATTCCACGCCTTCTCTACCGCAAGGTGTTTTGTTGTTGCTCTTGCACTCCGCTGTTCCTCAGCGCCTGCTTGCTGACTCAGTACTGGTGCGGCGAGCTGTGAGGCAAGAAGAGAAGCAGCCATAGTACACAACAAGGATGTTACAAAGACAAAGACGCTCTTGCGATCACACCTCCGGTTGCCTCGTCTCGTCCTCCCCCCTCTCGCCTGCACCAGACGCCCTTCCCCAAGGAGAGCAGTCCCAAGGGCGCGCTGGAGCACCGGCGGTACATGCTGACGGCGCGGGAGATGTTTGACGCCATGGTGCAGCGCCAGCTGCTGCTCTTCAAGCGCACCTCCTTCATCTACTTCGCCTCCATCGCCAAGGTCCGTGCACACCACTCCCCTCCGCTCTCCACTGCTGCTTCCAGCGACACAACCACTGATACGTTTTTTTAGCGGCATCCTCACCTCCTCCACTCCCTGCACTCCCTGCACTCCCTCCCTCCCTCCACTCCCTCCCTCCCTCCCTCCCTCCCTCCCTCCCTCCCTCCCTCCCTCCCTCCCTGCCTGCACGCCCTCCACTCCCTCCATTCCCTCCACTGCCTCCCTCCCTGCGTGCCACCCTCGACGCCCCGCAGATCATCCTGATGGCGCTGGTGACGTCCACGGTGTTCCTGTTCCCGGAGATGCACGTGTCGGTGCCGGGCGGGCAGATCTACCTGGGAGCCATCTTCTTTGGGCTCATCGTCATGCTCTTCAACGGAGGCTCCGAGACGCCCATCCTCATAGAGCGCCTGCCCATCTTCTACCGCGAGCGCGACTCGCTTCTCTACCCTGCGTGGTCCTACGCTGTGCCCATGGCGCTCATCTGCATCCCCTACTCCGCCGCGCTGGCTGTCGCATGGACCTCCATTGTCTACTTCCTCATTGGCTTCGCTCCCAATGCCGACCGGTACGCATGCATGCATGCACTGCTGCCACACCCGTTCCATGCTGTCCCATGGTTGTGTTTTCGGTGCTCAAGTCCTGCTTTCGGTGGTGGCGACCTGGTAACTTCGAGTCAACTCAAAAGTCGCCTATAATTTTGGTTATTTCAACCTGGCACGGAGGCATGACACTTGTGGTTTCCCCCCGCCCATCACCGCTGTGTGCCGCAGGTTCTTCACGCAGATGCTGATGTGGTTCCTGATTCACCAGGTGGGCTTGTCGCTCTTCCGCTTCGTGGCCAGTGTGGGGCGCAGTCGCGGTGTGGCCAACACCTTTGGCACCTTCGCCCTCATCGTGCTCTTCCTCCTTGGAGGCTTCGTCATTGCCAAAGGTGATTGCCACCCTCTCAGGCTGATTGCTCATTGCTGCTCTCCATGTTGCCTGCATGGTGCTCATGAAACGAGTATCTCTTGCAATCACCATAATTGCTGCCTGTGGGCCTCTGTGCCCTCCATGCTGGCCCCAGCACAAGCCAATGTGACGCACACTGTTACACTGCATCATCTGTGCATCTGCCTTTGCTCAACATGTCAGCACGTGCCGTACGAAGCGCAGCGCTGTGATCCCTCGTCTCCGTTTCTCATTTTCCACACGCCGCTTCCTGCTGTCCCCCACTGTTGGTGTGCGCAGAGAACATCCCGCCGTGGTGGATCTGGGCGTACTGGCTGTCACCGCTGGCCTATGCGCAGAACGCCCTTGCGGTCAACGAGTTCAAGGCGCCCCGCTGGCAAGTGGTGCGTGCCTTCCGCGTGCCCTCTGCGTCATGTCAAGGGGAATGTTCTAGAGGCTCTTGCATGTCTTACGAGTGAAAGAGGGAGGGATAGAGAGTAGCACAAATGGTCTATCCAAGAATTCCATTGTAATCATGCTTCCTCCATTGGAGACGTCTCAAAGGCCCTCCCCGCTACATGCTCTGCCGTCTGGTCTGGTGTGCTTGTGTTCCTGTGCTGTGCGTGCCACCCAACAGCTCCAGCCAGGCAGCAACATGACGATGGGCGACATAGTGCTCATGTCGCGCTCCCTGCCCACCAACGACAACTGGCGCTGGATTGGCATCGGGGCCTTCGTGGGTTCATTCTCGTCTTCAACACCCTCACCATCCTCGCCCTCACCTTCCTCAATCGTACGTGCCCAACTCCCCCCACGCCTCCTCTCCTTCTCGCCTTTTCACCTCGCACCTCTCTTATGTCAACCATCTTATCGCTCCCCCCCTCCTACATCCCACCATCCCGCCTGCCTCCCCCCACCTTTATCGCCCTCAATCCCATTCTGTCCTGGTTCCACATCGTCCTGTTCCTTAAGCGCACATTGTTTCAGCAACTACGCCGCCACTCTCAACCCCCCTCCTCTCCCCATTCAAATCCCCTTCCCCCCCTCTCCCTTCCCCCCCTCTCCCTTCCCCCCCTCTCCCTCCCCCCCTCTCCCTTCCCCCCCTCTCCCTTCCCCCCCTCTCCCTTCCCCCCACCGCTACAGCGTTCGCGGCAGAGCAGCAGGTGGTGTCGGAGGAGCAGCTGCAGGCGAGGCACATGGCGCGCACGGGGGAGATGATGGACGAGAAGAAGCGCAGCCGCGGCAGCAGGAAGCGCAGCAAGTCGCGCGGCAGCAGGGGCAGCGGAGCGCTGGACAAGTACCGCAAGAAGAGTGTGGGAGCCCAGCGCAGACCCCTCCGCTGTAGCCGAGGCCGGGGAGGCGGGCGTGCGCGGCATGGTGCTGCCGTTTGAGCCGCTGTCTCTCTCCTTCAGCAATGTCAACTACTATGTGGACATGCCTGCTGAGATGAAGGAGGAGGGCGCTGAGGGCGACCGCCTGCAGCTTCTGCGCAATGTTTCCGGTGCCTTCCGCCCCAAAGTGCTCACGGCGCTGGTGGGCGTGTCGGGCGCGGGGAAAACAACGCTTATGGATGTGCTGGCAGGCAGGAAGACCGGGGGGTACATTGAGGGCGATGTGCGCGTGTCGGGTTACCCCAAGGTGCACGAGACGTTTGCACGCGTGTCGGGGTACTGCGAGCAGGACGACATTCACACGCCCCAAGTCACGGTGTACGAGAGTCTGCTGTACTCGGCGTGGCTGCGCCTGCCCCAGGACGTCGACAAGGACGTGCGCGAGGACTTTGTGGAGGAGGTGATGGAGCTGGTGGAGCTGGATGCGCTGAGGAGCAGCATAGTGGGCCTGCCGGGGGTGAATGGGCTGTCCACGGAGCAGAGGAAGCGCCTCACCATCGCCGTGGAGCTGGTGGCCAACCCCTCCATTATCTTCATGGATGAACCCACCTCAGGTAGGTTATACCTCTCCCCAGGTATGCCTATCTCAGGTAACACCTGCCCATCGCCGTGGAGCTCGTCGCCAACCCCTCCATCATCTTCATGGATGAACCCACCTCAGGTGCTGCTCTTGCTACGCCAGCTTTTTAGTCATGCACCTCTCTTGTTCAACCAATGCTTCTTCACTCCATAGTGGCGCATTTCCCTTGGATTGACTAGCTTGACGATCATTGCCGGCGTGAAGGAATAGACAGGAAGGGATTTCAAAAGCATTTTCTATCCTTGGTGTCACTTTTAAACCCCGAACCCCATCTCCCCCCTCCCTGGCCTCTCCCCTTCATCCCTATGCACATGGCAGGGCTGGATGCGAGGGCAGCGGCCATAGTGATGCGCACGGTGCGCAACACAGTGAACACGGGGCGCACGGTGCTGTGCACCATCCACCAGCCGTCCATCGACATCTTCGAGGCCTTCGACGAGGTGAGCCCATGCACCCGCCCCTGCTTGCTATACTTCCCTCTGCTCGCACTCCACTCCCCATGCACTAGGTTACACAAGAGAGCACGTGTCATCCCTTGGGGCCGTCTTATTCGGACTGAGCCATCCCCTGTCTCTGCTTGCACTCGCAGCATCAACCATCCTTGTGATCCCATGAACCCTGACCAATCCCCGCATCTGCATGTGCTTCTCCGCAGCTGCTGCTCATGACGCTGGGAGGGCAAGTGATCTACTTCGGCCCTCTGGGCGTGCAGTCACAGCACCTCATTGACTACTTCCAGGTACCTTCCTCGCCACTCCCTTCCGGGCGTCCGTTGCTTTCTATCTCCATGTGACCACCACTCTTCGTGCCAGATTCTCCCCTCTCTCTGCTCCTCTCCACTTCTGTACGTGCACTGCTGTGCCTCCTCCCTCCCATGCATCTCTTTGTCTGCTGCCTTGCCTCACTTGCCGTTATACCTTGCAGGCGCTGCCGTCGGTGCCTCGTATCCCGGAGGGCTACAACCCTGCCACGTGGATGCTGGATATCACCACGCCAGCAGCATCGGAGCGCACGGGCGTTGACTTTGTTGAACTGTACCACCAGTCGGACCTCTTCAAGTAAGCCTCTACTCCTCCCATCTCACCCCTCTCCGTCACACCCTCTCGCATCGCACTCACGTTCATGCTTGACACGGTCAGCAGCACCTCGCTCTTCAACCACACGTGTGCTAGCTATACCTGGATAGCCTTCTCTTTCCGTATGCTCCTCATCCCGCCCCTCTCCCGTCCCCCTTTCCTACTCCCACCCCTTCCCCACCCCCCATTTCCTCCCCTCCCCCTCCCCCTTCCCATCAGGCGCAATCAGGAGCTGGTGGAGTCACTCAAGACGCCTCCGCCCGGGCAGCAGGACCTGCACTTCGCCACGGAGCACTCCACATCCTTCGCGACGCAGTTCTACGTGAACCTGTGGAAGCGCGCCGCCATGTACTGGCGCGCCCCCGACTACAACGCGGTGCGCTACATCTTCTGCACCGTCTTCGCGCTGCTCATCGGGCTCGTCTTCTTCGGCCTGGGCAACAAGACCGGCACCATGCTCGACATCTTCAACGTCATGGGTGCTCTCTACACCACGGCCATCTTCATGGGGTGGAACAACTCGGCTGCCGTGCAGCCGCTCGTGGCAGTGGAGCGCACCGTGTATTACAGAGAGAAGGCCGCAGGGCTGTATGGTGCGCTGCCGTATACGTTCGCGCAGGGGCTCATTGAGGTGCCGTATGTGCTGGTGCAGACGTTCCTGTACTGCATCATCACGTACGCGCTGATCCAGTTTGAGTGGACGGCGGCCAAGTTCTGGTGGTACTTCCTGTTCATGTTCATCACGCTGCTGTGCTTTGTGATGTACGGGCTGCTGGCCATCTCCATCACGCCCAACGAGCAGCTCGCCATGCTGCTCTCCTCCTTCTTCGTGCCCTTCTGGAACCTGCTCTGCGGCTTCATCGTCCCCAGGCCGGTGAGTGCGCGCGCACGTTGCGAAAGTGACTGCTGGCCATGGTACACTTGTGTATGCCACCTTGTCTTGTTTTGGCCTTGTCTTTCTGCCTCGATATGCGCGTTCATTTCAGCTGCAGCTTCCTTACCTCCATTCACATATCCTTAACATCCTCCTGATTAAGTTTCGCCAAGCTTCGCCACCCAACCTTTTCTCTCCCCTTCCCTCCTGCCCTGCCTCCCCACCCCCCCCGCTCTCTGCCCACGGCTGTGCCATTGCAGCAAATCCCGGTGTGGTGGCAGTGGTTCTACTGGCTGACGCCCATCTCGTACAGTCTCTACGGCCTCATTGAATCGCAGGTATGGTGCCATGCTGTCTCCACACGCACGCACGCACACATCCACATACATGTGCCTTTTCACCCACATGCAAGCGTGCATGGGTAAGCATATGAATATATCCCCACTCCCCTCTTCACAACCCTGCTTTCCTCCCTTTGCCCTGTTTTGTTTCTGCCGTGTTGGTGTGAGCAGTTGGGTGACATCACGACAACCGTTCAGCAAGTTGGTGCGACGGGCACGCAGACAGTGGCGAGCTTTCTGACAGACTACTTTGGCTTCCAGTACTGGTTCCTGCCGTATGCCGCCCTCGTGCTCGTGGGACTCACCATTGTCTTCTTCTTCTGCTACACATACGCTGTTCGCAAGATCAACTTCCAGAGGCGTTAGCTTAGTACCAATGCCTGTAGACTCTACACTACAGGGTAGAGGAATGCCTAGAGAAACGGCCAGTGTGTCTATTGTCGCTTCAGGCATAACTTTATGGTGGTAGAGATTGTGGATATTAATAACTTCCATCTTTTTCTCATTTACCGATGTTATAATGTGCTACGGCTGTGTGCAGCGTCACACCTTAAAGCGACGGGCAACTTTTGGCAGTGTTGGGTTCAGAAGTTTTTTTTTTGAACCAGGCTTGCCAGCGCGAAAGTGTTGGCTGGCGAAAACCAGGATTTCGTGCAGACACTTTTCATCTGCAGTAACAGTTCGCCAGGGTTCTGGGTTTTGGGTGGCAAATGTGCACCGTCGCTTTAAAACAGTCTTCAGCAGGCATTTGTTGTTAGGGTAGGGGGCACCACCACCACCGCTTGTTAAACACTGCAGTGGCAATAATAACCTCACGGGCTTACGGCATGATTGCTTGTGGGTTGAGCCTCATTTGGAGTGCAAGCGTCTCATGCCCTACCATACGTGCAACAGCAGCATCCACTACCAATCCCACTGCTGCTGTGTATCCTTGTGTCTGTGCCTCACTGCATGTGCATGGGTTTTCAGCAGCAGCACCTGTGGCCTCTTGGGTGTGTGCACGATGGTGCACAGGCTGTAGTACATATTTATGAAACCAAGTTTTGTATTCCTTGTTGATTATAACAGCCATAACACTACCTGCAATTGTAAGCAGATTCGTGGGGCATTCTATGTGGAAGCGTTTTGAACTTTTTGCATCCCTGCTGCTCGCTGCAATTATCGAGGGCCTTGGGTTCTGGGGACTGAATATGATGGGAATCAGTTCAGCGATCAGGCTTCTCTTCTGTGAGCCGTTGGATCGATTTGATCCTGAGGTGTACGATGGTTTGACAGAATTCCCGCCAACACTACATTGGGGTGCCTCTTGCACGAGGACTCCAGAACCGCAAAACTGGGCAAGTTTTCGTGCAAACCTTAGAGTTGATCCAATGCTGGCGAACCAATATCTTTTCGCCAACATCCGGCATCTCAAAACTGACGCGCGAAAAGATTCGCCTTGTAGGGGTAACTAGCAACTTCACCCTCGAATGAGAGCCATCCAGCTGCGACTCCCTTCGTGCGCGTTGACGAAACCTAGTTTCCAGTCACCAATGCGTTCGCTGATTTGCAAGAACCTTAGCTGCCTTTCATCCCCAAGCAGAGGATGATTTTACAGCTGCTCCGTACCTTACCTCTACCGCCGTTTGTGTCAGAGCCAGCCCAAAATCTCTATTTCCCTCCCAACTCATCACCCTCCATCCGCCTCCTTAGCACAAGAGCGGCTCATTTTGTTAACACGCTTCGGGAAACGAACCGCGCCGGTTTGATTAGCGGCTGTTCTTGGCCACGTCACGAGATTTTTGGTGTTTCCACCCGTCTTTCATTTTTGTCCAGTCAAACAGCCCACATGTCTTCAACTGAACCCACAAGATGATGCTCCCATCGCTTTTGGTCGATTTCACATGAGGTGGTCCAATCAGAAGCTGGTTTTCATGTTGTCGGCGGATTGTTCCGATCCACCAAAGTCCAGGGTGGACTGTTTGGGACCACCACATAGCCAGCAAGGCATATTCTTATCCATAGATTGATTTCATCACATTACGCGCCGCGACGTTGGGATTCCAACGGCCCGCATTCAGGCAGAGCACCCTTTTCTGCAGATCCACTCATTGTCCCTGCTGTTCTCCACGAAATTTAGTTTGTTTCCTCAGCCTTCTTGGCATTTTTGGCACACGAGCTTAGTTTTCGTCCACTCCACCGGTTCGAAACGTTGTCATCGCCTCACGTCGCTACGAGTCAGCCTGTTCCGGATCGGCTGGTTGGATCGCCGAGCTCCATGACTTTTCGACCTTAGATACACGACTCCACTTCGTCTTCAACGTCAGGTACACGTCTTTTTTTTTTTTTTTTTTTTCGTTTTTGCTTGCATTCTTCTCTGATTTCCGTTTACTAATTTCTGTGTAATTAATTTTTGCAGGTTTGCGTGGAGACTCCTGGACGTACTTTATAAAGCATTGGAGGAGCGGCGACTCAACCTTTCAAGCTCTATGGCGGATCAGCTCCACGATTCAGTCATGGTGAAGGTTGAATGTATCAACCTCACCATTCACACACCACAGAACCACCCCCCCCCTGGTCCAGGTGTGGTGCAGGTAAGGTACAGGTAAGGTGCAGGTCCCCTTAAGGTGTATTTTTTTGGTTGGTACGTTTTTTGTGGTTCTGTGGTATGCACCAGCACATGTTTTTTCAACTTTCGCAAATTCGTTTCCATGCTTTTTATTATTCCGTTTACTAACTTATGTTTTATTAATACTTGCAGGTTTGCATGGAGCTCTTGGGCTTACTTCAGAGGCATTGGACGAGCAAGCGCCTTCATCAACCTTCCAAGTTTCATGGCCTGCAACGAAAGACTTCTCCACGACTTGGCCATGGTTAAGGTTGAATGTATCAACCCCACCATGCACACTCCACAGAACCACCCCCCCCCCCTTGTCCAGGTGTGGTACAGGTAAGGTACAGGTAAGGTACAGGTCCCCCTAAGGTGTGTTTTTTGTTGGTACGTGCTTTGTGGTTCTGTGGTATGCACCAGCACACGTTTTTTTCCGCTTTGCAAGTTTTATTCATACTTCTCTTAATTCCGTTTACTAACTGAAGTTTGTTTTATACTTGCAGGTTTGCTATTGGGCGTACTTCAGAAGGCATTCGAGGAGCAACCGCCTTAATCTACCTTTCAAGCAGAGGACAGCTCCACGACTTGGCATGGTTAAAGTTGAATGTATCAACCCCACCATGCACACTCCACAGAACCACCCCCCCCTGGTCCAGGTGTGGTACAGGTAAGGTACAGGTAAGGTACAGGTCCCCCAAGGTGTATTTTTGGTTGGTACGTGCTTTGTGGTTCTGTGGTATGCACCAGCACACGTTTCGTCCGTTTTTGCAAGTTTTTTTTTCACGTTTTTCTTAATTCCGTTAACTAATTACAGTTTTTTCTATACACTTGCAGGTTTATATGGAGGCTCTTGGGCTTACTTCAGAAGGAATTCGAGGATCAACCGCCTGTCTCAACCTTTCAAGCTTCATGGTGAAGGTTAAATGTATCAACCCCACCCCACAGAGCCACTCCCCCTTGGTCCAGGTTCGGTACAGGTGAGGTGAGGTAGGTGTGGTACAGGTATTTGGTAATCGGCTCTGTGGTGGTGCGGCAAGTATACTTGCATTCAGTTTACAGTTTTTGCATCTTTTGTTAATTCAGTTTACTAACATTCGCTTGTTTATACTTGCAGGTGTTATTCAAGGCTCTTGTGCCACATTGCTAAGCTCCAAGGCGAGGTGAACGTACCTGCCGACACCACTGGCAGGCGCCTCCTCACTCTCCACCAGCAGTAAGTTCCGTCTCTCTGGACTTTTCCCCTCATTCTTGCTTTCTGCTGGTTGGTGATTTTGAAGTTCCTTGATTTACTAACTTGGTTTTATTTTTTACTTTGTGTGGCAGGTTGCTCAACCAAGGGACCTTCAGCATGTCCAACATCCATGGTAGCACCATGGTCTGCTGAGGTGCCTGAAGGCTCAATCTTGGCAAGATAAGTTGCCTCCCTTGCCTTCACCGCTTGCTTAGTTTGCTGCACATTCCCGTTTGCTACCACAATTTCTGATTCCTTCGCTTTATGTAAGTTGTGGCTTGAAGATGATCCCGTTCACTGACTTGTTTCATTTGCCTTGTGGCAGGTTCTCTCCAAGGGCTCTCTGCACTGCACACCCATGAAGCTCCAAGTCCTTGTGCACTGCTCAACACCTCCCAACTCTTCATCTACAGATAAGTTTCTGCCCTTACTTTGCGCCGAGTCAGTTTCCCTAAATCTTTTTAAAGGATTTGTGTTCATTTTTCTTTGACACGCATTCTGCATGCTTGCTGTTTTTAAAAAGCCTGTACTATTTTTTTTTTTTCTTATCATGCAGGTGCCTTCACGGGCAGCAATCATGGCATTGAAGGTTGAAGGCAGTGCAAGTCCTTGGCGCAGTGCTCAACGCCATGCCCATGAAGCCCCAAGTCCTTGGCGCACTGCTCAACACCTCCAACTTCCCAACTACAGATAAGTCTCAGCCCTTGGCGCCTTGTCAGTTTCGCTGATTTTTTTTTCTAGATTTGTGTTCATCATTTTGCTTTGACGCATGCTGGTACCTTCTTGCTGTTTTTTAAGAGCCTGGACTAATTTTCTTTCTTTCTTACCATGCAGGTGCCTTTTTGTGCAGCAATCATGGCATTGAAGGTTGAAGGCAGTGCATGAGAGAGGGTGAAGTCATGAGCATTGGGCTAAGCACTCGATTCCGGGCCAAACCGGACTGGTTCTGTCCCCCTCCGCCCCCGCCAAGTGCCAACACTGTCTGGCCAGCAGTTGTTGTCATTTGGTGGAGGTGGGGGTGAACAGAGCTAGTCCCTAGTAGGGCTCCCGCACGTCTTGGGCGAAGCAATGCTTGTGGCTCAGCCTTCCTCTCTGCCTGTTGGCGCTGTCAGTCCAAGCCGGGTTGGGCATGGATGGCATGCTGCCACTAGAAAGGATACTAGCAGTAGTACCTTGAGCTGGGATGCAACAGCTTGTATGTCTAGGCAGAGTATTTATGTACATTTAGTGCACCTTAAGGATTATGAGCTTGCTCTATAAACACTTCCTAGTGTGATGCTTTATTATAAAAAACGCAGGTGTCCTGGTAGGCAGGTATAGCTGAAAGTAAACATAGAAATCCCACTCGTGAGGACATCTCAGATTATACACAGGGCACGTTACTAGAGAAGTATCTGATTCTAGAAAAACTAGCCGTGAATCCTCACACCAGGATAGCTTCCCCCTATAGTGTGAACGTTCAAAATCAGCTGGAGGCTGGTTGCAGCTTGATGCCGACAAGCCAAAGGGGAGGCACTCGGTGGGTTTTGGGCCTTTCCGCCTCGTAGCACCGCCATTCGCCGCGACATGCGCCGCTTCCTAGCGGGATCCGCCACTGCTTCGCCTCCATCACACCCCGGATCCGCCATTCTCGCCACGGCCGTGTTATATAATTCCCTCGCACCCTCCCCAGATTCCTTTCCGGCCGCACCTCATTTTCGTCCTTCCCGTTGTGACGACCCTGGGCCCCAATTGTTTCCGTTCACTCTCTAGCTCTCGATCTACCTCGTGATCTCCCGTCCGTTCCTCATGCCCACGTGGAAGTTTCTCCCTCGCGCGGTTTACCGATGCAGTGTACGGGCTGCGAGGGGCAGCGGTAGCGGCGCCGGCGGCAGCGGCGATGCTGTGGCTCGCGGGCTTCGGCCCGCGGATTCGTGCCAGCGATCGGGTCGCGATGCCTTTCAGGAGTCGCTGGAAACGTGGCGTCACGCCAGTGGCCAGTCGTGCTCGCGAGTCGCCGGATCGGTGATGGACGCGGCTATGGTCGCTGAAGTCCCGGAAAACACGCCGTGGGTTGCGGCGAGATCATCGGAAGCAGGAATGTCGGTTGAAAAATCTACGGAGTTGCGAGGATCGAGAGCAACCCTGCTCTTTCACGGCGCGTCTGACGTGGCGAGATCTCTGCCGCACGTTGGGTGCGGTGCAGACGCGTGGGCGACGAGCAGCTGTCGAGAAGCAATGGCGGCGCCGCCTTTGCTGGTCAGCCGCTCCCTCTTGGCCCCTCTATCCTGTTAGCATCGTATCACTGTCCACTCGCGGTCCCTTACTATCCTGTTCTTGAGCCGCCAGAGAAAAGGTTCTTGTCCTACACTCTCCTATGAAGTCTTCCCTCCTTCGTTCTTAACCCGCCAACCAGTTTGAACCCCTCTTTCCGCCACGATCCAGCTTCCCTTACCCGCTATCCGCTGTGCCCCTCTCCGCCCACCTTCCCCGCTCCCTCCCCCCAGCACCTCACATCACCGCAAGGCCCTTCACCTCCGCCACCCTACGGCGCGGTCCCCGCTTCTTTTGTCCTTCGACCCGCACTGTCCTCGCTAAGCGCTGCTCCAGTATCGGCTATAACTACGGCCACTCGCCCGTACGCACCACAGCTGGCTGTGCCTTTCTCGAGTAGCGCGGATGGCAGGCCAGGGGAAAGGGCTGGGGCGGGCGGGGGCAGTGCAGCGGCAGCATCGGCAAGTGGCGCTGAAGGAAAAGCTGCTGTTCATCTGTCTGGGCTGGGGGGAGCGAATGAGGGTGCTGCGAGCGTAGAGAAGAAAGCGGAAGGAAGGGAGCAAGGGGCAGGGGCAGGGAAGGGAGGGACCGGGGGGAATGGCTCTGGGAAGGCGGTTGTGGGGGCCGCGGGGAAAGGTGGAGCGGGGGAGGCGGTGGCAGGGGGAGGGCAGGGCGGGGAGGAGGCGTCGGACATGGCGATTCTGAGCACGCTGGCGCACTACCTGTGGCCCAAGGACAACCCCGACTACCGCCGCCGCGTTGCTGCCGCGCTCACCCTGCTCGCCTCCGCTAAGGTTAGGCTGATGGGGGTCTTGTGGGGGATGCTCGTCAGGGTTCGGGGGACAGGGTTCTGGGGTTACGGAGTTGATGTGGTTTAGTGTGGGCAGGTGATTGGTCGCATGAGGAGGGAAGGGAGGGAAGAACGTCGTGAGAGTGCAGGTGCCTCGTGCTCATCCGTCCCACCCTCTCTTCCACTCCCCTGCTGCACTGCACCGCACTGTCCCCCCCCCCCCTGCACTGCCCCTCCCGCTCTCCCCCATGCACTGCCCCCCTCCTCTCCCCTCCTCCCTGTGCATCCCCCTCCTTTCTCCCTCGCCCCTGCGCGTCTGCTCTGAGCAGCTGTTGAACATCCAGGTGCCGTTCCTCTTCAAGCACGCCATCGACAGCCTGTCAGCAGCGGCGGGCGCCACGGGAGCCACAGCGGCGGCAGCAGCAGCGACAGCAGCGTCGGACCCGCTCTTCTTCGCGCTCTGTTAGAGGGCCCTACGACAGCAAGGGCCCTCGACGACTTGGCAGATTGCTAGATTGACGACCTAGACTGACGCCCTTCGCCACCGACATGGGAATATTGGTGATGGTCGCGTATTGACAAAGCGTGACTGCTGAACTTGTCGTTGGAGTTTGTGCAGGGCAGTACAAGTCTGTGGGAGTCATTGGTGGTGTTGCCGAGTTGGAGTTGGTTGGTTGGGGTGGCGTGTAAGAAGGAACATCCCGCTGCTGAGTCAGGTTGGGATTGGCCGAGGCGCGGTTCACCCATCCACACGACAGTTTCGTGGGGTTGGGTTACTGCGCAGCGCCACGGCAACTTTGTGCAACTTCCCCGTAGCCTATATCTATCTTGTGTGTTTGCTTTTGTATTCATAATAATATTACAATCTCTACTCAAGTTCTCACTTAGCCATTTGAGACAAGCTCTACCGAAACGCTACCGAATTCCTCGCGCAACACCATTCTCACAAGCAGAAACTCTCTCGCCGTCGTAACGCTCTCCATAGTATTCCTTCATGGTGCGGTGAGCGTGGAACGAACACGCATAGATTTCCGTCGTCGATTATAGTGACGTTCGTATACTCGCCTTGGCGTGCGGCGTTAGTGAAGGGCGCTTATTAATTTAAGTTGAATTTTTCTTAATGTCCCTCCAGTTACGTTCTCGGACCCAAGGATAGGGCGTTTGGTAATTTATTACCACTCGTCTGAGGACCCTTGTGAGGTGACCCCGAGACGAGGGATTTAAGGAAGGGACAATTTATTTTAATTTGTGGTACCTTATAGAGGCGTCGTAAAGGATGAGTACGGAGGAGGCGAACGTGGAGGCCGATAATTTCCGCGCATTAGAGGAGGACCTCGTGGCTCGTCGCTCTCGTGGTGAGCTTAGTAGTGAAGATTACGAGCTCATGTTGGAGGGAATACGCGCTCGTCAGCGTCGCGATCGTCCCTCGCCACGTGTAGAGCAAGCCGCGGGAGGAACTAGTGCGTGGGATATGGCTGTTGATGGCGGAGATGGCGATGACGAGGAGTTTGATGGGTTGGTGTCGCGTGGGGTCCTGCGAGGAACGACTCGGTTTAGTACGGCTAGCGTCGGTGGTATACAGGAGCGTGTTCATCGCGCAGCGGCGTCACACGAGCGTGCGAACGTAGGACGACAGAGCGTTGCTGGAGGAGGGAATGCGGAGGAGTACGATAGTGGAGCTATGCCAGGCATTACCCCGATTGGATCGATGTCGAGGGACGAGGGAATAGCCCCCAACTATGGCTTCTTCAAATTCACTCCAGACAAAATCGTCGTGCCTAGGCCACTCGAAGGACGCCACGACCTGTCGACATGGGTAGAATCGATCGAGCCGCAGCTTGAGATCGCTCAGCTAAAGCGTTTCATCGACGGTACCACTCCTATTCCCCCAGCACACGCAGTGGTGCTTCTCACACAGTTTCGCGCCATGCAGTTACTAACGTTCACCACGATTTCCCGATGCTGCTCCCCAACCGTACAGATCGCCCTTAAGGCGTGTCGCATGAAGGTAGATGCCGGCTTCCACGCGTGGCAGTTTATCATGCGCACGTATCAAGCGAAAGACGACCTGTATATAGGTCAGTTAGAGCAAGCGCTCACTAACCTCGAGATGGGAGAGCACGAGTCCGCCACATCCTATTGCAACCGTGCACAGCAGATCCTAGTGAACTTGAGGATGGCCGGCGTAGATTATTCGCAGGCGTCTTACATTACTCATGTCGTGAAGGGGTTGCCACAACAGTACAACCTCTTACGCAGGATGCTGAAGCTGCCGCAGGTACGCAAGGAGTTGGACGAGGACACCCTCGCTAGCTACATTATCGAGGAGGAGTGTACGCTGGCAGCGGAGGGACGGAAGGACCAATTTCTTCCCCAGGCCAACCAGGTCTTTACCAAGAAGGGTAAGCCCCAATCCCAGCAGACTTCATCCCCTTCCCCTCCCACTACGGCACAGCAGCAGCAGCCTAAGACTGGGGGTGGGGTTGGAGGTGGAGGAGAGAAGTGGAAAGGGGCTAAGGATGGTCAGCCAAAGGGGGGGAAAGGTGGCTTCAAGGGGAAGTGCTACGTGTGTGGACAGACAGGGCATGTTGCTAAGTACTGTCAGCAGCGGGCAGATAAGGAGGCAGACACGGGTGGAGAGGGTTCTGGAGGCAGCGGCGCGAGTGGCAAGGGGGGCGATGGCTCTAAGGGGAGCGGGCAGTCATCATGTGCGATGGTGAAGCCCGTTGTAGAGCAGACTCCTCTTGTCGTGCTGGAGCCTGAGGCCGGGGAGGGCTTACAGGCTCTTGCAGCTGCTGTGAAGGCGAACCCGAGCGTCGTGCTACTTGATAGCGGATGCTCCCACCATCTCATGGGAGATCGTTCTGCCTTTGTGGAGATGAGCAGCGGCGGTAGTATCAAACAAGTGAAAGGCTTCAACGGCGCGCTTCAGGACGTGCAGGGGCGAGGCACAGTCGCTCTTCTTGGAGAAGGGGGCAGGCGTCTCTTGGTGTCTGACGTGCTGTACGTACCTGGAGTGCAGGCGAGTCTTCTTTCTGCTGGGCAGCTGCGTGATAGTGGCGTGCAGCTGCTGGATGCAGGCGACGTGACTCTGCTGCGGGCACCAGATGGGTCACTTCTTGGGCGTGCAGAGTACAAGGGGCGTGTTCTCTGCACGAACTTCCAACCGTGTTTGTCGCAGCAGCAGGAAGGCGAAACGGTGGCACTTCGTACCTTGACGACGGGCGTGCGGTCTAAGGTGGACATGTGGCATGCGCGTATGGCACACGTTGGTATTGATGCCATCGAGCGCACTGCGTCTCACGGGTCAGTGAAGGGCTTGGACCTGGAGAAGGGGGGCAAATCAGGCATACCGTGTGTCTCCTGTGTTGGGGGGAAGATCACTCGTCATACCTTCCCGCCAGTGGGTGCGGAGGAGGATGAGTTGCTTGGGGTGGTGCATGCTGACCTGTGTGGCCCTTTCCGTGAAACAGCTAAGGACGGCAGCCGCTACTTCCTGGTGCTGAAGGATCGCAAGTCGCGGTACGTCTGGGCCTACCCTTTGGCTCAGAAGAGTGATGCGCTGGCGGCGTTTCAGAAGTGGCTCCCGATGGCAGAGCGGCAGTGCAAGACCACGGTGCAGGCGCTGCGCACTGATCGGGGTGGCGAGTTCCTGGGGCATGACTTCACGCTCTTCCTCGACGGCAAAGGCATCATCCATGACCTCACGTGCCCGTACACGCCGGAGCAGAACGGGATGGCCGAGAGGGAGATGCGCAGCATTGTGGAGGCGGTGCGGACGATGCTACTGCACATGGGTGTACAGCATCATTGGTGGCACCTGGCGTTGGCGCAGGCCGTCTGGGTGCGCAACCGCGTGGAGCACGCCTCGCTGCCCTCTGGTGTGACGCCGTACGAGCTCGCCTTTCGACACAAACCCGATGTCAGTATGGTGCGGGTATGGGGCTGCATGGTGCAGTACATGTTGCCTCAGTCGCAGCGGGGGGGGAAGCTGTCACCTAAGGCTCGCTGGGGGTTGCACTTGGGGGTGTCCGCAGCGAGCAAGGGCTGGACCGTGCTGGACTTGGAGTCCAACCGCCTCATCACCACTGTGGAAGCTGTGTTCTATGAGACCATGTCCTTGGCAGGATGGAAGGCGTGGCATCGGCAAGAGCATGGGGGGCGTCCAATGCCCTATGAGCCCCTTCCCTCTCACTTCCCGATCACTCTTGAGGAGGCGGTGGAGGAGGAGGAGGTGGTCGCACCTCCTGCTATGCCCTATGTCCCTACCTCGGTCCCCACCCCACCTCCGCCTTCAGTTTACCCTCGTGTGGTTCCCCCTGCCCCACCTTCTTCATCCTCACCCCCCTTGGCTTCCCCTCCTCCTCCTGTTATTCCCTCTCCCCTTCCACCCTCCATCCCTCCTGCACCTGCTCCACCCTCCTCTTCATCTTCCACGGCGCCGCCCGTTGGTGAGGGGGGGAACATGGTGCCACCGTCTGTGGAGATCACCGACGGGCAGCGCCTTGAGACTGAGCAGCTGCAGGACGAGAGCAGCATGGATGGAGTACAGCAGAGTGGGGGGCAGGAGATAGGGGAGCAGCAGTTAGGGGAGCAGCAGAGTGGGGAGCAGCAGATAGGGGAGGAGCAGATTGAGGAGCAGCAGATGGTGGACCAGCAGCTAGGGGAGCAGCAGACAGGGGAGCCGCAGACAGGGGAGCAGGAGCTGTGGGGAATCAGAGATGGTGGTCGTGTGTTGGCTTCTGGGACGATCACTGCGCCACTGCGTCGCTCCACTCGCATCACCCGTGGTATCCCGCCTCTTAAGTATGCTTGGGCTTTAGTGATTGAGCCAGCGGGATTGGATGACGAGGAGGAGGACGAGGAGTGGACGGACCTGGATCCTGACGTGGTGGCCGACCCTGAGAGGCAGTGGGATATAGCGAAGATGACAGTGAAGGAGGCCTTGGGCTGCTGGAAGGGCGACAAGGTGAAGGAGGCAATGGATGAGGAGATGCGGAGCTTGATTGAGCAGGGGACGTGGGAGTTGGTTCCGCGTCCGCCAGGGGTGAATGTAATGAAGAACCGCTGGATCCTGAACACCAAGTTCCGACCGGATGGGGTAGTGGAGCGTGAGAAGGCGCGGCTGGTGGTGAAGGGGTTCACGCAGGTGGCAGGGGTGGACTATGAGGAGACGTACGCTCCTGTGGGAAGCTATGTGACGGCGCGCGTACTTCTGGCGATCGCAGCTGCACTTGACTTGGAGCTGATGCAGCTAGATGTGAAGAATGCGTTCCTCCATGGCGTGCTGGACCGAGACCTGTACATGGAGCAGCCGAGCTACTACGAGGATGGGACTCCTCGTGTCTGTAAGTTGTTGAAGAGTCTGTATGGTCTCAAGCAAAGCCCGATGCTGTGGTATGAGGCCTTGGATGGGGTGCTGCTTGGGGCTGGATGGAAGAAGAGCAAAGTGGATGAGGCTTTGTACTTCAAGAGTGATGCTGACGGGGAGATGTGCTGGCTGCTGGTGTATGTGGATGATTTGCTTGCTGCCAGCCGCAGTCAGAGCATGCTGGGGGAGCTACGTGAGCTGCTGCAGAGTGCGTTTCAGCTGCGGGAGATTAGCCCTGTGGAGAAGTACCTGGGGCTGCAGCTGATTCGGGACAGGCCTACGAGGAGGCTGTGGCTGCACCAGGGGGCCTACGTGGACAAGGTCCATAGGCGCTTCTTCGACGGGGAGCAGCCGCTGCGAGTGCCTCGCACCCCCCTTTCCTCTGACCCTTTCAGTGTGCAGACCTTTGAGGATGCGGGATGGCAGTCTCGCCAGGAGGAGGAGTACAGGCAGAAGGTGGGATCCTTGCAGTTCGCAGCCTGTACCACTCGTCCCGACATCTCCTTTGCCTGCAGCAAGCTGGGGTCAGGCCAGACTGTGCGGAGTGACCAGCACTGGAAGGAGTTGGACCGGTGCTTGGCGTACTTGGTGGGGAGCAGGGATGTTGCGCTGGAGTTTGGTGGTGGGCCTGAGTCCTTGGAGCTGGTGGGCTATGCCGATGCGGATGATGCGGGAGACAAGCAGAACAGGACTAGCACTGGTGGCTATGTCTTCGTGCTCGGAGGTGCTGCTGTCTCGTGGGCGAGCCAGAGGATTCGTTGCGCCACCCTCTCTTCCACTGAGTCTGAGTACGTTGCTGCTGTGGAGGCGGGGAAGGAGGCGCGTAGGCTGCGCTTCCTGCTGGCAGAGTTTCAACTGCTGAGGAGTGAGGTTCCCACTACTCTCTTTGTGGACAACTCCTCCGCCATTTCAGTGGCAGGTGGCATGGGGCTCAAGGGGAGCCTCAAGCACATGGAGCGTCGTCACATGTGGCTGCAGCACATGGTCAAGCGCAGGAAGCTGCAGCTGCAGTACATCCCTACGAGCGAGCAGCCTGCTGACTACCTTACCAAGGCATTGCATTTCCCCGCCTTCAGTCGTTGCTTCGAGGCTGTGGGGCAGGTGAGGCTCTCGAGCGAGGGGAGTGAGACCTAGACACTCCTTGATGTGGTTGGTGCCATGGCCTATCCATGGCTGGTGCGGTGCGTGTTTGCACTTTGAGAGTGCTTCGTTTGTGTGTGTTTCCCTTTGTTTTGGTGTGTATGTGTGTATGCATGCCCTGTGATTATAAAGGGCCTTGCTGTAGTATGGCAGGGGAGTGTTAGAGGGCCCTACGACAGCAAGGGCCCTCGACGACTTGGCAGATTGCTAGATTGACGACCTAGACTGACGCCCTTCGCCACCGACATGGGAATATTGGTGATGGTCGCGTATTGACAAAGCGTGACTGCTGAACTTGTCGTTGGAGTTTGTGCAGGGCAGTACAAGTCTGTGGGAGTCATTGGTGGTGTTGCCGAGTTGGAGTTGGTTGGTTGGGGTGGCGTGTAAGAAGGAACATCCCGCTGCTGAGTCAGGTTGGGATTGGCCGAGGCGCGGTTCACCCATCCACACGACAGTTTCGTGGGGTTGGGTTACTGCGCAGCGCCACGGCAACTTTGTGCAACTTCCCCGTAGCCTATATCTATCTTGTGTGTTTGCTTTTGTATTCATAATAATATTACAATCTCTACTCAAGTTCTCACTTAGCCATTTGAGACAAGCTCTACCGAAACGCTACCGAATTCCTCGCGCAACACCATTCTCACAAGCAGAAACTCTCTCGCCGTCGTAACGCTCTCCATAGTATTCCTTCACGCTCTTCACCACTCCCTCCGCCATGCTGCTCGGCTATGGACTTGCGCGCGCTGGCGCCTCTGCATGCAATGGTGGGCGCTGCTGGTGGGCTGGTGGTGTGGCTTGGATGGGGCTTGGATGGGGTTGTGTGGTGGTGCTGGGTGATGGAGCTTATTGTGGGGTTGGGGGAAAGCAGCAGAAAGCACTGGATTCTTTCGTCCGTTGTGTGTTACATATGTTCTCTCATCTGCTCGTCCCTTCCCTATCCACCATTCGGTTCTCCCGCAGCATGGTCGTGAATCTTACCGCCGGGCTGTTTGTTCACTCTGATACCACGATCGATGGCCGGGGGGCAACGGTGCAGATTAACGGTCCCATGGCTGTGTATGGGTCGCGAAATGTGATTAGACACAATGTGGGGATAGGGAATGCCAAGGGGAACACGGACGCCCTGCATATACGTAACAGCTCGTGCATGTGGGTGGACCATTGCAGAGTGACCAATGCGTATCGCGGCACGTTTGACGTCGTGAAGGGGTCGACGAATGTGACTATATCGAACTGCTTCATCCGCAACTTGTAAGTGGTGTGGTGCATCAGTAATATAGCATTCCATGGTTGTTGCCTTCAGCAATTGCATCCTTCCCTTTCCACTCTTTCTTCTCGCTCCATATTGCCTCACACGCCATCTTAACTCCTCTCACCTCATCATTCTTGTCTCCTCCCTGCGCCCTCCCCCTCCCCCTCGCCTCTCCAGTGGTTTCACGATGCTGCTGGGAGCAGCAGACAACGACACATTCGACCAGCAGATGAGAGTGACAGTCTACCGCAACTGGTTCTACGGGTCGGGCCAGAGGCAGCCGCACGGGCGCTGGGGCAAGATACACGTGGCCAACAACCTCTACACCAACTGGACCTACTACTGCCTCGGGGGCCGCGTGCACGAGCTGACTTTTGAGTCGACTCAAAAGGCAGCTCTCTACACCACGGCCATCTTCATGGGGTGGAACAATTCGGCTGCCGTGCAGCCCCTCGTGGCAGTGGAGCGCACAGTGTATTACAGAGAGAAGGCCGCGGGGCTGTATGGTGCGCTGCCGTATACGTTCGCGCAGGGGCTCATCGAGGTGCCGTATGTGCTGGTGCAGACGTTCCTGTACTGCATTATCACGTACGCGCTGATCCAGTTTGAGTGGACGGCGGCCAAGTTCTGGTGGTACTTCCTGTTCATGTTCATCACGCTGCTGTGCTTTGTGATGTACGGGCTGCTGGCCATCTCCATCACGCCCAACGAGCAGCTCGCCATGCTGCTCTCCTCCTTCTTCGTGCTCTGCGGCTTCATCGTCCCCAGGCCGGTGAGTGCGCGCGCACGTTGTGAAAGTGACTGCTGGCTATGGTACACTTGTGCATGCTGCCTTTCTGCTTTTGACCGTGTCCTTCTGTTGCGACCACCTTAGCACAGCCAGGACTGCCTGGATACAGGCATAACTTATGGTGGTAGAGATTGTGGATATTGAAAACTTCCTACCATCTTTTTTTTTCATTAACCGATTCTATAATGTACTAGTTTTTCTCGTTGTCCATTGTGAGCCAAGGCTATGCTGAGTGTCACACGTGAGAGTCTTCAACAGGTATTTGTCGGTAGGGTATGGCACCATCACCACCACTTGATAAACACTGCAGTAGCAGCAATAACCTCTCATGGGCTTACGGTATGATTGCTTGTGGGTTGAGCCTCATTTGGAGTGCAAGCGTCTCATGCCCTACCATACGTGCAACAGCAGCATCCACTACCAATCCCACTGCTGCTGTGTACCCTTGTGTCTGTGCCTCACTGCATGTGCATGGTTGGTCAGCAGCAGCACTTGTGGTCTCGTGGGTGTGTGCACGATGGTGCGCACATGACGGCACTCCAACACAGAGATCGCTGACAGCAGTGCTGGTGGCAGCAACGGTATTGGCAGCTGTAGCTGTGGTGATGGCAGCTGCAGGAACTGTGGTGGTGGTGGTGGTGGTGCTGCTGCTGCTGGTGGTGGTAGCGGTGGTAGTGTAGGGTAGCATGGTGGTCACGAGTGCTGCCAGGGCATCCACATGGGGGTCGCACGCACCTGGAATGACCAAGGCTCGATGGAAGAAAGGGAGGGAGAAGAGGGGGAGGACATGAGCACGTGGACACACGCTCCTAATGGCATGATTCTGTGAGCGGATGCAGCAAGGGGTGCATACACTGGGTGTATTAACCTTGAAAAAACTTACAGTGCAAACACGGCTGAACAGCACGCACGTACCCAAGTCTCTGAGTGCGGCCTGCAGGTTCAAGAGGTACTCTGAGTTGGGTCCTGACGGTCCATGCGCTGTCGCTATCTGCCTGCACCACGGTTGGGATGAGAAGGAGTGCGGGCAAGGCGGGGAAGGGGAGGACACAAGGGAAACCGGTGGAGGGCAGTGTTGGGGCAAGAAAAGAGTGATGAGGGGTGCACACAGTGGATAGGGCTGGGGCGAAGTGCAGGGCAATCCATACGGGTGGGTGTTACCGTGCCATGGCTTCGAGGGGAGCAGGGCCGAGGTAGTAGGGGTTGGAAACTGGGTTGTCCGAAGCAATGAAGCTGCATGGGGAGGCCAGGGACGGACACACATGGAGAGCACAGGAGAGGACGTGCTAGGGGGAGGCGGAAGCTAGAATGGAAGAGTGGGCGATGCAGCTTGGCCATGTGTGTGTGGTGATGAGATGGTGTGAGCACGTAGCATGGAAGTGCAGAGCAAGGCAGGGCAGGTGGGTAAGAGCGCTTACACCATGACTTGGATGACAGGAGGGTGGGCGGCTGACGGCTCCTGTACAAGTTATTTGTGTTGGACGCGGGATGGGGGCGAGGGACGAAGGGAAGGGAACGGAAAGAGTACAACCTTGATAAGTGTGAAATAGATGGGGGCTGGTAGAGTAGAGTAGAGTGGATGCCGTGAAGTGCAGAGTGGTGATGTGTGTTGAATGAAGCACCCGCCGTACCCCATCCCCCACCGTACCCCATCCCCCACCGTACCCCATTCCCCACCGTACCCCATCCCCCACCGCACCCCATCCCCCACCGCACCCCATCCCCCACCGCACCCCATCCCCCACCGTACCCCATCCCCCACCGTACCCCATCCCCCACCGTACCCCATCCCCCACCGTACCCCATCCCCCACCGCATCCCATACCGCACACCGCACCCCGCACAACCCAGGCATGGGTCACTCACTGTATGGAAGTCGATGTTGACCTGCTGGTCATACTCCTTCTCCCGGTGCCTCAGATACTGGCGCGCACATGCATGCACACACACGGACCACGAAAAATGAGAGAAATAAGGAGACGAGATAGATGAGAGCGAGAAGAGCGCGAGGTGGAAGGAACACATGAGGAACGAGAGGAGAGAGGAACGGAGAAAGAGAGAGGGGAAAGGGTGAGAGAAGCGAGAGAGATCGAGGCGAAAGGAAGAGCAACAGGGGGAGGGGGGACGAGAGATGGGGTTGCCAGCGAAAAAGACGATGAGGAGGCCTCAGCAGATGGCGGGGCAAAGAGAGCCAAGCCCAGGTGGTGGGGGTTGAGCGCATATCCACCTGGAGAATCTCCCGCTGCTCTTTCTCCTGCCCTGCCAGGCGATACGCCACACCGTACTGTTAGTGCATCCATGCATCACGCAATTCAAGGAGAAAGAAGGAAGGTGAGGGGGAACAGCCATAAAAATCTTTCTTGAGTATAACAATAGAAAGACAAAAACAACAAACAAACGACAACAACAGAAACAACAATACATGGCCCTTCTACACATTCTGGCGGGAATTTAGCCGCTACCCTTGCCAGGTCACCTCTACTCCCCCTCCCCTCCTCCCGTTCACCGTCAGCACTCGCAACTCTTACAGTAACGGCGTCTTCCTCTTCTACCAGCGTCACTGTCCTCCCCGGTTTCTCCGGCGTGCCTCTGTGGTCCGTGTTGCCTGCCACGTCACGCGGTTTAACACGTAGGAGAACGTGCAAGTTCAACCACTGGATTCGAGAAGATGCGGGGGAAAGTTATAAGACCAGCAGGAACGGACAAGGCAATAACATCGGCTCAACGACCAGAACCTTGGTAGAAGACACGTCGGTAGCCGCATATGTGCCCCGGCACGCGCGCAGCGAAAGCGAAGCCAGGCCGCCATACCAGTGAGCCGTAGCCAAACACCCAAATAGCCATGCTGGCCGTGACGCACGTCGAGCACCTGATGCCGCCTTGGAAAAAACAGCAGAAATCGGTGGGAGGGAGCAGCTGTGTATCCGATATGCGCTGCCTCTAGCTGTTACTGAAGCTATACTTGTTTTCACAACTAACCTAGTTTACAGACACTACCAAGATCAGCCCTTACGTTCACCTAATTTTTACTAATCAAAGCAGCATATAAGGGAAAATGCTGTGAACATTTTTTATTTTCAACAATGCGCACACAAATCCGCACGTGTTGGATATGTGGCTGTCTGTCTTGTTTCGTACTTCTTTGAACTTAGGAATATTAGCAACCTCGATATTATTTATAGAACGAAAAACGTACCCTCAATATCAGAGTTTGAGGCGATTTTACAATGGGCAATAAGGTAATATAAGGAATAGTGCATGCTATACACATCCAAAACATGAAATTTTTGGGGACGCGGCGTGAATTTGGGGACGAGGCGTGGGCAGGGGTTAAGTCATGGGAGTGGGAGGCATTTTTCTGTGTGGAGGCGGTTGGAGGGAGGACAGTGCGCCGGATCCCGCAGCGGGCCCGGTCCGGGGTCTTAGACGCACTCTGTTGCATCTTGAAGCGGCTGAAGAGCCGACCGGGAGATGAAGCTGCTACCCTCCTACTCCTGGCGTTTCCGCGCCTCATCCTAGCCGTGCCTCCCAAGCCAGGCATAGGTCAGAAGGCGCTGATCATAGAGCGGCTGGGGGCCTTCTGGGAGGGGAGGTGGCGGGAGTTGTTCGACGCTGCCATGGCGGCGGCACGGCCAGCAGTTCGCCCACTTGCCTACACGTGCTCTGACCAGGACCCGGAGGCCATCCGCCTGTCACGGTGCCGATCTCGGTGTAAAGTGGGAGAGTGGAGCCGTGGTTTGGCTTGCCTCACAGCAGGAGAGTTGGCTCGACCGTCTGAGGCTATGGTGCAGTCGCTGCGAGGGAAGCACCCAGCTAGCAGTGGCGAGGTACCACCGTGGGTTCGTGAGTTTACTGTCGACGCTCCTCAGCGGCCTCCACTCACGACCGACATCCTGGCTAGAGCTATCCACACAGCTGCTCGCGCCTCAGCTGCAGGGCCATCGGGATGGGTCACAGAGCATCTGCGCGACACTTTCCTCACGGAACCTTCCTGCCTCTCCCACCTGCTGGAAGTGTTCAACCAATGGGTGGCGGGACAGGTCCCCGAGCGAGCTCGGCCCTGGCTCGCCGCATCCTGTCGGAATCAACAGACAGGAATGACTGTACTAGCACAAAGTTGGATACAAGTAGGAAACCCTAATCTAGTGTACCCCCTAAGGTGTAACCCACTACAGCCTACAATCATATAAACATATAATGTTTGACACACCCCCATAGGCGCAGTGGGAGACAACCACAGGGTCACGAGACCAGTCAAAGCAAAGAAAGGCAAGCTCAGGGTGGATCTCAAGGATTCCACACAAATTCCGAGCGCAAGCAAGCGGTCACAAGACCAGTCCACATGCAGGTTTATAATAGAGCAAGAGATACAGTGATCACAACCTAGCAAGAGTGAACATGCAGGTATACATATAGATATAGTGATCACAGTACAAGCAAGGTCAAGAAGTAAGCAAATGAGGTCCAGTAGGCACAAGGCCTAGCAGAGTGCAGAAGCGCTGATGGTCACAAGGCTGAAGCGCCTTGGTGAACACATCAGCAGTGTTGGCCTCAGTGGCCACGTGACGAATACAAAGCTGACCGCGCTGCTGCAGCTCTCGAGCAAGGAAGTACCGCAGGGCGATGTGCTTCGTTCTGTGCTCCAGTCTGTGCTCCTCACACAAGGCAATGGCAGCCTTGTTGTCGACGTACAGCACTGGAGGAGAACGAGGCCGCTCTCCCAGGTCGGTCAGCAGGTAGGTCAGCCAGCGTAGCTCCTGGGCAGCCATGGCTGTGGCGTAGATCTCAGCCTCACAACTGGAGCTGAGAACAGAAGAAGAGCGTGTAGAACGCCAAGAAACTGAGCCAGAGCCAAGGCTGAAGGTGTAACCCTGAGACGACCGCTGAGTAGCCTGGTCGTCAGCCCAAGAGGCGTCTGAGTGTCCTGTGAGTACAACTCGGTCTCGCCCTCCAAGCACTAGCCCCATGCCCGACGTACTGCACAAGTAGCGCAACACCCTCTTAGCGGCATCCATGTGCTCCTTCCTGTGACGGCCAGGAGCGACATAGCGTGCAAGGATGCTAAGAGGGTATGCCAGGTCAGGTCGAGTGCAGGTCATCAGGTACATGAGACAGCCCACAAGCTCTGGATACGGGCCACTCGGCTCTACGGACTCATCCGAAGGCAGAGCTGAGAGCGAGTGATCGGTAGGCAGAGGAGTGGACTGAGGCGAGGAGTACGTGAAGCGGAAGCGCTGAAGGATCTGCTGCACCATGTGTGACTGAGTCAAGGTGATGGTGCGCCGTGCTCTGTCCCGGGTGATCCGCAAGCCAAGATAGCTCGTCAGTTCCCCCAGGTCTGTGCACGTGTGTCTCCTCTGCAGCTCCGACTTCACGTGGGCGAGTGCCGCGGTGTCAGCAGTGGCAAAGACCAGGTCGTCGACGTACACGAGGATGTAGAACGGCGGCAGTGAGGTGTCTGTGCGTAGAAACAGTGACGGGTCAGCAGTAGAGGGAGCGAACCCTAGAGCCGCAAGTGTCGTCCTCAGTGTGTCGTGCCACTCACGCGGTGCCTGGCGGAGACCGTAGACTGGCCGCTGGAGCCTCCACTGGGTACCAGGAGGAACCGACCCAGTGAAACCAGGAGGGCGACGCAGCCAGATCTCCTCGTGCAGGCTGCCCTGTAAGAAGGCAGTGCTGAAGTCAAGTGAGTGAAGCTCGTAGTCGCGCTGAGCGGCTATGTGCAGCAGCACCCGAAGAGTGGTCATCTTCGGGGTGGGGGAGAAGGTCTGAAAGAAGTCAACTCCCTCTCGCTGGCTGAAGCCTCGAGCAACGTAGCGCGCCTTGAAGACAGGAGGAGAACCCGGCGGCCGTTTCACCCTGAAAATCCACATGCCATTGACGATGTTCGCCCCAGGAGGGGGAACCTCGTCGACGTAGGTGCGTGTAAACTTCCAGGAAGCCATCTCTGCGTCCATGGCTGTCTGCCACTGAGAGGAGTAGGGACCCGCCATCGCCTCAGCGTAAGAGCGCGGGGTCGGGATGTCAGGAGCATCCGGGTCTCCCTCAGGGGCAACTAGTAAGGACACGAGACGGGGCAAAGCAGCAGCAAGGCACTGGAACTCCTCCTGTCTGTCCTCAAGAACGTCCGTGCCAAGAGCACACTCACCCCCGACGGACGGAGGACAGATAGACTCAGACTCAGACTCAGCGACAAGGCTAGCAGCGTAGTCTAGACGACACCGGGCAGCAAAGTCAACCAGCTCAGCGACCAGCGCAGACGCAGCAGAGGACTCAAAGGTAGGGTCAGTGACAACAGTAGCGAGGAGGCGCGTGACAGTGGGACTGGCAGCACGACGGGAGTCAGACTCCGGGTCAGGAAGAGTAGGAAGAGAGGAAGCGGGAGGAGACGGTAGCGGGACACGCTGAGGAGCAGTGGAGGGACGCAGAGTCATGTAGTGAGTGCCAGGGACAGGAGGAGGACGCTCACGTGGGACACGACGACCAGTGCGAGCAGTACGAACAGGCGACGCAGGACGAGACTCAGGCTCACGACGCTCTGTAAGACCTCCCGTGGGACCAGTGTAAGGAGAGGGACCAGGGAGAGGCGAGGCAGGCGGTAACTGTGACTGCGGCGGGACAGGCGGAGGACACTCTACGGAGGGAGGAGGACAAGGAGGAGGAGTCTGACCAAGAACCTGCTGAAGGAGCGGTACGAAGTACGGTCGCGGCCGCGCAGCGTCTCCAAAACGAGCAGAGACACCAGCAGCAGGGTCCTCAGTACCCGCAGTAGCTCCAACGTCCGGGTCCTCAGCACCAGCAGCAGCTCCACCGCCCGGGTCCTCAGCACCAGGAGCAGCTCCAACGCCCGGGTCCTCAGCACCAGCAGCAGCTCCAACGCCCGGGTCCTCAGCACCAGCAGCAGCTCCAACGCCCGGGTCCTCAGCACCAGCAGCAGCTCCACCGCCCGGGTCCTCAGCACCAGCAGCAGTGCCACCGCCCGGGTCCTCAGCACCAGGAGCACCACTCCGAAGACTGCAGCGCCGCGCGTACCACTCTCGGATCTGCTGAATGGGGGGGAGCTCCTGGGTAGGAGGGGAAGTACTGGTACGAGCTCCAGCAGCACCTCTCCGGAGGCGGCAGTACTGCAGGTACCTCTCCTGCAGCTGCTGGGAGGAGAGGGCTCCTCCAGGTGTAGCACGCTCAGGCTCAGCACCTCCAGACACAGCACCCCCAGACGCAGCACCCCCAGGCTCAGCACCTCCAGACTCCGCACCCCCAGGCTCCGCACCCCCAGACTCAGCACGGTCAGGCTCAGCACCCCCAGGCTCAGCACCCCCAGACGCAGCACCCCCAGACGCAGCACCTCCAGGCTCAGCACCTCCAGACTCCGCACCCCCAGGCTCAGCACCTCCAGGCTCCGCACCCCCAGGCTCAGCACCCTCAGACTCCTCACGGTCAGGCTCAGTACCCCCAGCAGGACGAGAGTCAACAGCTACCTCGACAGGCTCAACCGGGTCTACCTGGGACACACCTGAGGGAGCGGCACCCTGAGGGGGGAGGGGGTCTGGTACCTCAGCACCTGGAGCGAGGAAGAGAGGCGGGGGGGGGAGCGGGGCAGTGCGGTAGGGGAAGAGGCGGTAGTAGGGGACGGACTCGTCAAAAGTGACGTCCTGAGAGGCCAGGACACGACGCGAGGTGGCGTGGTAGAACTGCCAACCAGGCGCGTCCGGGACAAAGCCAAGGAAGACACAGGGGACAGCTCGACGGGAGAGCTTGTCCGCGGACGTATCGCGAACAAAAGCTCGAGATCCCCAGACCCGAAAACGCGACGCATCGCCAGCCTCTCCCGTCCAACGCAGTGT